CCAGTCCGCGCACCCTCCGCGCAAGAAAACGAAACAAATGCCCATCCCCGCACGCAAAATTGTCAAGCAAATAGTTAGAGAGCAAAGAGAGAAAGGAGCAATCACAATCGAGGGTCACTTGGCATAATCATAGAAGAAGCAGTAATCTTGTTCGCAATTACACATGGATAAACAATGACAACAGCTAAGGAAAAACTGGGCGACACTTAGGCAGAGCCAGCGTTGGGCTGCTCGTCCTCCTTGCTTGACTTGCGACGCACCAAGGGGCTCTCCTCTTCCTCATCCTCGTCTTCATCGGCCACCTCGCCATCCCTCCGGGCGCCTGTAACCTCCTCCCCGGCCGGACGATCTACCTCCTCCCGGCGCTCCCCCTCTTCCTCCTCCTCTTCCTCCTCTTCCTCGGATTCGGAGTCGGAATCCAAAGGACGCTTCCCGCTGATCCAGGACTTGACGTGCTGGACCATGTCGCGAGTATCCCACTGCATCCCTGGATTCTCGGGGCGAACCTTCTTGCCGACCGCTATCACGGCCTTGGTCATGGCATCCGCCATGATCTTCCCGAAAGGTTGGGAAGACTTGAACTGGCGGATAGCCGCGACCTCGGCTGCGCGAACGGCCTCAGCCTTCGCGACGGTATGAAGGCGGACCAGGTCGTCCTTCTCCTTCTGGAAGTCCTCGCGAGCCTTGCGCAACTTCTCAGAGAAGGAGGCTTCCAATTCTTCCCGGAGGGCGGAGCGCTCTTCGTTCCGCACCTTCTCTTTGGCCGCTTCCACATCCGCGGCCAACCGGCTCTGCAAGAGGCCGAGCGACTCCAACGCCTCATTGGCTTTGGATGTCGCGTCTTCAGCCCGGTTGTTTGCCCCCAGCACCTTCCCCTCCAGCTGGACGATCTGCGCCTCGTCAGCCTTCATCTTTGCGCGCATCGCGGCGCGCTCTTGCTGAGCTCGGAATGTCGCCGACAGACCCTACAACGCCACGAGCCTTAGCCAAATGCGATGGCAATAAAAAGGAAAACGGAAGAGAAGAGAGGAAGGTAAAACCTAAACTACGGGGATCTAACTAGGGCTTACCGCGAAGTGGATCTGCGCCAGATCATGGAGGGGGTCTGTCTCCTTCACCCGCGGAGGAACGGTGAGAACGGGCCCGATCGCCCGGAGCGCATGATTGGCGGAGACCAGGTTGCACGCCGCCGCCGTATGAATCCGCACGTCGCGAACTTGGTGGACGGCGGCGGTAGTGGGAGTAGCGCTAGCGGGGGCAGCAGTGGTGGTTGCCCCGGAGGAGCTGCTCGCTCCGCTCCCATCCCGACGAGCGGGTCTGGTCACCGTCGCCTCCGGCTGCGACAATGCTAAGGACAGCTGCTGTGCGGCGGTCAGCTGCTGCGTGGCAGGCGTCTGCTTCACCGCGGCAGGCGTCTGCTTCACCGCCAGAGGAGTCGGCTCCACGATGCGAATCGTCTTGCGGGGCCTCTCGACAGCCTGCGCGGCCGGCTGCTCGATATCCTTCCGCTTCGGAACTTTAGGCGCCGCGACATTCTTCTTCTTCTTCTTCTTGTCAGCGCGGGGCGCGACGTCATCCACCGACATCATACTGGCAATGTTGGAGAAATCAACACCTGCGCCAATAAGTCGTAAGAGAGCGGTTAATAAGATAGAATACAAAGGAAAGAAAATATAACTAACCATCCCCAAACAGCTCCTCCAAGCAGGCCTCGCGGACTCCCTTGGTGTATAAATTGATGCGATGAGGCATGCAAGCCTCATATTCGTCGTTCAGCCCGACGTAGAACCCGACGTCCGACTCGAACCCATGCGTACTGCCCTTCTCCCAGGAGGTGGGCTCCGCCATGGTCCCGCTGGCCCATTGCCCGGGGGTAGGCTTAACATAGAAGAATTCCTCGAACCAGGTTTTCTTCAGCTTGGGCGAGCCATACACAAAACCCTCGGGGCGGTGGTCGCGCCGCTGGATGGAAAGACAGTCGCTCACCCTGGTGGGCTCCTTGATTTTGTACATCTTCCTGAACAAGCCATACGTAGGCTCGATGTTGAGCCTTTTGCACGCGAGACGGAGGCAGCTCGCGTGCATGATGACTGAAGGAGAGAGCCGCCCGACGGAACACTTGAGGCGCTCATAGATCGCGCACAACAGCGGATCGATGGGGAACTTGAACCCCATCACCCAGTATTCCGTGTACACGCCGAACCAACCAGGGGGGCAGTTGCCCACCATGCTGCGCACCGACGGGGCAGCGTACTCCCAATGGGGGGGCAAGCCCAGCCCGCGGACCAACTCCTCCACGTCGTCCACGTCGTATGTTGAGGAGTGCTCGGGTCCGCGCTTAAGGTTGTCCGAGGGCGCCGGCTGATCGCCCCACATCTCGGCCCACTCGATCACACGGTAGGTCGCGCCGACGCCTTGCGGCCCCAGACGGGCAAATGCTTCGGAAACGCGCTCAATGGCGCGCGGCGCGAATTGCGCATCAATATCTCCTTGCGCCATCTCATCCGCGGCCTCATCATCGACGACTTCATCGTCGGTGACCTCATCGTCGATGACTTCATCGGCCCCTACCGGTCGACCACCCGGATTACGCCGGATGATCATCACTCCCCGAGCCTGCTGCATGGCTTCCCCACTGCCGGAGGGAATATCACCCACGTCGGAGGAGCTTCCGACACCGTCGCCGGACCTGGCATCGTATGACGGCGTCGCCGGAATCCCACCATCGCCACCGTCACGTCCGCCGTCAGACCCGTCATCCCAACCCCCAGAACCACCGTCCCCGTCACCGGAACGGTCAGAAGAAGTGTGCGAGAGAGGGGAGAAATTACCTTCTTCGCCTTGCACGACCTCGGCCTCGTTGTTGTTGTTGACGCCGGACATGATGTCGACTCGAAACTTGGCAACAGCTGAGAAGGATCGAGGTTGCAGAAGGAGGAGAAAAAATCTCAGAGGAAGCAAATCTCAGTGAAAGCAGAGGGAAACAGTAATCAGAGGAAACAGATGAATCCTTACTTCTCACAACAACCCATTCTTATAGTGGGTCGGAGGGAAAATAAAGGGCCAATGGGAAGGCAAGGGGCCAATGTCGGCCAGCGGAAGGCGAAGGGTTAAAGCAACATAGGGATCCGTAACCGTCAGATCCTACCAAATCTTTTCGAAATTCAAAAATCCCCGCCCAAACAACCTAACCACACAATGACACGTGGATACCTACCAACGTAGGCACTAGTCGGCGACGCCACGAGTGCCGCGCACCGCCTGGGGGGCAAGATATACCCGCGAGGAAAGAAAAACATGCTTCGCGCAGTACCGGGTATCTCGCGACGCGCGAGCGCGCGGAGTACCCATAATCGCCCCACACATCGCCTGGGGGGCAAGATATACCCGCGAGGAAAGAAAAACATGCTTCGCGCAGTACCGGGTATCACGCGACGCGCGAGCGGAACGCGCGAGCGCGCGGAGTACCCATAATCGCCCCACACATCGCGCGCGACGAGCCAAACCCTATTTTAAGCGCGGTGAGGAGTCCAAACGCGTCACTGTTTCATAATATCGCGCGCCGAAAAACCTAAACGCGAGCATGCGCGGGAGCCAACCGATCGCGACGAGCGGAATAGACCCAAAAAAACCAGCATCACGGAGACCACACGGGCCCGAGTCATTCAGGAAAAAATCCAAACAGGAGGTGTTCGCAAAACACCCCCTGATGGGGGGCAATTGTTGGGCATGTGACTCGGGCCTGGCCGCGTCAAGGAACGGACGCAACTGGATGGACTCCGACATAGCAGCGCGAAGACCCCGAGCGCGACACCTCATCGTAGTCAACTACGTCCTGGCGCGAAGAGCTTGTGCGCGATGTGAGGTACAGGCGCTGAGGAAGAGCGTAGCGCAGGCAAAGCCAAGAGAGGAGGGAGGCGTAGCTTTCCTCCCCAGGAAGTGGTCACATCAAGGCCAGTGGCAAATCTCTGACACGTCCTAGGTAGGGGGATGGCCTGGACAGGGTCTAAAATCCTTAGTATGTGCCAGGGGTCACATCATTGTATCCCAATTGTCACATCTTGTATCCCCACTTGGGTCAACCACTCACCCACCACAACGAAGCCTATAAATACGGCATTTACTACGGTGGGTGAGGGGATCGCATTTTTCACCATCCTCTCTCTATAACTATTACTTCTCTTTCTAAAAGTTCGGACTCCGGTCCTCGCTCAACTCTCTAATTCCTCTCTCCCCGATCGAACTTGACGCTCGCGTTTCTCCTTGACCCAAACTCTCATTCGAACCTCACTCCTACACTCAGTTAGGTTCAAACATCTATCATGTTAGTTCATAAGTTGTAAATTAGATGTTACTTTCTCGAATCCAAATTAATGGTGTAATTACAACTGACAAGAGCATTGTTTGGTTTATGAAAAATGTATATATATATATATATATATATTTTTTTTTGCTTCTTCGAAGGGTTATTTGATTTGACAACGGATAAATCATAAATAATAGGGGTAGAAGGGTGATTTGACAAAGTATACTGATCTGGATCCTGGAGCTTCGATTTTGTAATTTGTCTTCTCGTTTACCGGACCGGGCTCCATTCCTTAGATCCGGGTCGGGCCCAACCAACTTTTCCCTCTATATAAGACGTTTCTGACTTTTTCCAAGACATCCCGCTCCTCCTCAGTGGAAAAGTCACTTTTGCCCCGCTGACGTTCGCACATCTCAATCCATAGCTTCCCCGTCCCGTCAAAAAGAATTCCCCGTTTCCACAGAATCGACGGACGACACTCCATCTCCGGCCACGTGTCACACATCTACGCCCGCTCTTCCGTGCACCAACCCGTGAAGTTATCAAACCCCCCACTTAATAGAAAACGGAGAAAAAACAATTTCTGTCGGGGAATTTGAATTTTGTTCTCCTCTGCCAAAAGAGACGTTATGCGGCCCTTTTTTTGAACTGAGAAGAAAAAACAAGAAAATATGGCTTATTTTCATTTAATTCCCTCCGATTATTTCTTATTTTTCGAGTGTCGCAATAGTAATCGCAATAATAAAGGAAGAACAGGAGACGGGGGTGGGAGGGAGAGCAGTAGTGGAGTATTCATGGCGTTTTTCTTTTTCTCTCTGGGTCTCCATTAAATGCAGTTGAATTGAACTATTGCAGCAGTTGGGAAAAGAAAGAACGACAAGACCTTTCTTCTTCTCGCTTCTCACTTCTTCAATCCCTGTCTCTGTACTCTGATCTCTCATTAAACCCTCCTGCACCGTACTCTTTAATTGCGCCTGTTCCGGAGCCAAGTGAGGAAGGCCAGAGCTTTTTCTCCCCTTGTTATCCACATTGATTGAACTCTGCATTTGACGAAAAGAAACAGAGTTTTAGCTCAAGAAGAGGCAGATCAGTGAGACCTTTTTTTTCAGTGGTCAATTTCCAGCTGATTCCCCGCATTGCTATTGTTTGCCAGGTGAGTGTTTCGTGCCAGCTGAGAAAAGGGGTTTTGCCTTCTGAGATTTCCCTTTTCTCCTTCCTCTAATGTTTCTGTTGAATTGCTGCAATGTGGGTCTTTTCTTTTCGTTGCTATTCGTGATTCGTTGATCTTGGTTCATGGGAGGGAAATGTAGTTTCGGCTTGATTCGTTTCTGGGTTCTGCTCTGCTCATAAAAAAGCGACAGTCTTTCCAGTTGATTTCACATCTATTGAGTCATTTTTTTAGCTTGCGTAGTGCTTGATGGAATGCACAGGTTAGCTAAGCTAGCAATTGAGCTCATTCCCCATCTTAGGTGTCTAGAAAGTTCAGCTGTTTTCCCAGTTTTCACATTCTGCTGTAGTTTGTAGAGAATTGATAATGAAGTTTGGCTATCTGATGGATTAGGAGATTCCAACAGCTAGGGTTTTACTGATACAACAGTCTCCTGTTACAGATGGGTGTTGTGAGTCATCGTTTTGTTTGACAAGGGCTTGATACTCGGTCTAGAGAGATGAGGATGGATAGGGAAGATGGAAAGAATGGAGGAGGCTACGTTGGTGGTTTCTTTCAGCTGTTTGACTGGTCTGGAAAATCAAGGAAGAAGTTGTTCTCGAGCAAATCGGACTTACCAGGTAAAAATAAACAACTGGTTTACCTTGGCTTTCCAGAATTCTTGATCATGGGTTTTCGCTTAATCTTGTTCTCGTTGTCTCCTCATAGAACGATCGAAGCAAGGGAAGCGAAGTGATGGAAACTTGCCAATGACACGGCTCCGTCTGGTAAGAGATGGTGATAGCTAATTCATTTTGGAAATCTTGGAGTCTGCTGATCAAAATACATTCCATCACTTATTGTGATTCCTTTTGTGGCGATTTCAAACCAGATGGATGACGACGAGAATGGAGGAGGACCATGTAGCATAAGAAGTGGTGGCGACTACAGTTGTGCTTCTTCAGTCACAGATGAAGATGGATATGGAGGAGCTAGGCCAGCTGGAGCTATAGCAAGGCTCATGGGGCTCGATTCCATGCCAACAACATCCAGTTTCCTGGAGCACAAGGGCACCACCGCGTTTTCCGATACTCAGTCACTACGTGAATCGTCTTCTCACAGTAGCAGAAATCAATCCGCTTACTACCATCATGACTACCACAGCATGTACTCAGGCGAGCTGCTCCATAGGCCTCAAAAGGCGGTAAGCAGGCCTATGGAGAAGTTCCAGACCGAAGTCTTGCCTCCCAAGTCTGCTAAATCCATCCCTATTACTCATCATAAACTTCTCTCACCTATAAAGAGTGCCCATTTCGTACCGAGCCATTCTGCTGCTCACATAATGGAAGCCGCTGCTAAGATCATCGAGTCTAGTCCGCAAGCTCCTCCTCCCAAGTCAAAGCTCTCTTCTTCTTCTTCTTCTTCATTGGCACCCTTGAAAGTTCGCAACTTGAAGTCGAGACTTGAAGCCCGTGATCATGCCAAGGAGAAAACTGCTTCTAGGAAGCCTGCTGAGTCGAACGCTGCTAAGTGCTTGAAAGGCCAACCTATGAACAAGAGCTGGAATGGATCAACAGTTGATGCAGCAAGTACTTTTAGGGTTTCCCATGAGCTGGAGGAAGGACCTTCTTCGTCTTATGGTCAAAAAAGCAAGGGGAAATCCGTGTCACTTGCTGTCCAAGCAAAGGTTAATGTACAACAGAGAAGAGAAGGCTTGACCTCGAGAGGTAATCGGGGTATAGTAGTAGAACAGCAACAGCAACAACAACAGCAGCAGCAGCAGCAGCAGCAGCAGCAGCAGCAGAAAGAGCGACCAAGTGGTGATATGGCAACAAGCCAGCAGCCATTCAGGAGTCAACTAACAAATTTCCAGAAGACATCATCTAAGAGGTCTTCTTCTCCACCGTCTCCAGTACTTAGACAGAATAATCAGAAACAGAATTGCTCAATGGAGAAAGTTAAATCGTCCTCAAAACCCTCCATTTCAAGTGTCCAGAGTCGAAAAATAAACACAGGGAATCCTTACGAGCGACCCAAAGCTTCAGGAAAATCTTCGACCGGTTATAAATATGGGTCCAGGAAATCAGGCACAGATGAAGGTCATTCATCAAACTACTCTATAAAGAAAACTCCTCCAAGGAAGAAACGGGCAATAGACAACATGTTGATTGACAGAAGCCCAAAGGATGAAGCGGAGAACTTTACTTGGGCGGCAGAAGAGAGCAAGAGGAAAGGAAGTGATGTCGTTTCGTTCACATTTACAACTCCTCTTGCAAGATCTTCATCAATGCCTGAAACGCCAAATCCTAGTAAGCGTTTCTTGATCGACTCGGAAACCAGGAAGTTGTCTTCAGGGGGAGATGCTTTGACTTCGCTATTGGAGCAGAAGTTGAGGGAACTAACTGATGCTGTCGAGTCTTCTAGCCGCAATACCATTGGTAAAGTTGGATCATCTGAAGTTAAGGAATATCAGAAGCAGCAGCTACTACCATGTCGAGAGAAAGTGTTTGGAGGCTATGGGGCTAGCTCGTTTTCACCTGATCCAGTGGCATATAGATTCAAACCCATATTTAAGGTACCCGCAATTTCTCTTTCTCTTTTCCATTAGAAAGAGTGTTCATTTCCTGGTTTCTGGGGAGTTATATATGTCACTTGCAAATTTAGCAGGGGGGAGTTGATGCAATGGAGGAATGCAGCAGCACTAGCAGCAAATATTATGATCATGAAAAGCTGCTTGATTGCAGGCGGCCAAGCCCGATCTCAGTTCTTGATCACTCCTTCTCAACTGAAAGCAGCTGCACATTGGAGAGCATGGACAGTAGCAGTACAGAAGGTAAATTTCTACAGTGTGTTTTCACTGTCTGCAACTTGTTGGTACAAATGTTTGCAACTTGTAGACAGGTTTACTCACTCTGACTTCCATAAGAGTTCTCACCTTTTTTCCTCCTTGTATGACTTTTCATCTAAACAGGCAAGCAGTGCTCGTCCTCTATTCAAGCACAGCAAGTCCTTAGCTTCACTTTCCCTAAGAAACATCACCAGCCATATGCCGATGCAGAGCTTCTTGATTCAGCTTCATCTACAAGCTCCCATGCAAACACATTACCAGACTTCAAAAAACCAAGTAACTGGGAGGGTGAATACGTGAAGAAGATGCTTGTCTATCTGGATTTGATGTTCCATGACTTTGCAATCGGTAGGTCCAGTGAGGTCGTGAACCCACACCTCTTCAGTCAGATAGAGAAAAATCAAAATGATTCGTCGAAGCTTGAAAAGAAGGAACTGTTCGACTGTGTGAGTGAATGCCTGGACTGGAGATGCAGGAGATACATCAATGGAGGGTATAAAGCGTGGGAAAAGGGAGTGACAGTCATTGGAAGAAAAGACTGGTTGGCCGAAGAAGTGCAGAAAGAGATCGTGTCCTGGAGAAAGATGGGAGACTGCATGGTGGATGAGCTTGTGGACAAGGACATGGGAAGCCAATATGGTAATTGGCTTGACTATGAAGAAGATGCATTCTGTGTTGTTGGAAAAGAGATTGACGGGCTCATACTCGATTCGTTGGTTGATGAATTGGTTGCCGATATCCAGAAGCACCCTTGATCCAGCCGGCGTAAGTTTGAAGAAGACGGTTACTCTGTCAATGATGTGTCAAAATCTCCGCTCCATTAGTTCTTCTGCAGTTCTAAGGAAGTATTGGTTCTTAAAAACCATGTCTTGATTGCTTTTTGGCTTTCTATATATAGATAAAGGGTTGGTATTCATGAAAGAAAATATAGGCAAAGGGGTATGTCAGAATTGCAGCCAAATTTATTTCTCCTTCAGACCTGGAAAGTACCTCTTTTTCAGAGATTCGTTGAACACCCAACAGACTTGAAAATTGCATCTTGATTGCTTCTTGTCTCTTGACCTTTTACACATACAAAGGCTTTGCCAAAATTGTGACCAGCAGACTGCCATGACAAACAGAGACAATCTGCAGCCATTTTGATTTGAGACCTGTTAAGTGTTAAGTACTTTTTTCAGAGAGATTCATTAAACAGCAAACAGTCTTAAACATCATACCTTAATAAAAGGGTTATTGAAACTTGTAATCAAAGCATTGAGAGACCAAGATGAAGGACGCAAAATTTGCAGCCACTTAATTGATTCCTCTTCCAGAGCAGGAATGTACCCCTTTTGCAGAGAGATCCATTCAACAAAACTGTCATGCTCTTGATTGCTCTGTGGCTATAACATGATTAAATAGACAAAACACAAGACCCAAAACTGCAGCAATTTGATCCCTGTCCTCTCTGAAACGTGGAAAAAGTACCCTTTTCTCTCCTCAGAGAGATTCATTCAAACAACACCTAATCAGACCTCTATAGTCTCTATTTACAAATAACCATACATAAAGCTAGAGTAATTAAACATATATATGTGACTACTAAAGATAACAAGCTAACAAACAAGATAATCCAATCCAACTTGTTCCCACCATTCCTTCCTTCCTTCATCCCTTTTATTGCAGCTGTTCATTGCCATCCAAGAGCCAAGACAAAATGCTGCTGTCGCCTTCATCCCAATGAATGTTCTGAATCTCGTCTCCTCCAGTGATCTGGTCCCAGTCCAGCCATTCTTCCTCCGCCTTCTCCTCCCCCTGATCATGATGCTCACAGTTACAGTTATTACTGTTACTAGCACTGCTGCTACTGCTTTCAATTCCTTTATTACTCTCACTCTCAACCACGACCCTTTCACTATCACAACCATTCTTCATTCCCCCACTAGCCAAATCCTCTTTCCCCTGTCCTTCTCCTCCATCTTCACTGCAATGATGGAGTTTACTCTTAAGCCGGTTCATTTCACTGTCCAGCCACTCATACGGTCCCAAAACCCCCTCCTCTTCTTCACCTCCCACAACAACTTCCACGTTTCCATCCAATTCCATCATCAATTCTCCACCGTCGAAACCCAAATCCCCGCCGCCGTCACCTTCGCTCCCATTCTCCCCGGCGGAGGTAGTGATCCCGCTCACCGGAGCCGCAGTCTTCTCGTCTTGGTTCCGGACGGGATTCTCAGATTTCTCCTTCGCCGCCGCCGCAGCAGCAGCCTTTTTCCGCTTTCTGCTGCTGCGCGCGGCCGCCGCGGCGCCGACATCGTCGACGAAGGCGGTGGTGGTGGAAGAGGAGGAGGAGGCGGTGGAGGAGGCGGAGGAATCGAAGGAGGCGGAGCGGCGGAATGTGTAAATCTTGCGGCTCAAATGAGAGTTCCAGTAATTCTTGATCTCGTTGTCAGTTCTTCCCGGTAATTGGGCCGCGATCACTGACCACCTGAAACAGTAATTGGGCCCCCACAATTAGTAAATTTTCCCCCGAATAATGGGCCGAAGATAGGGGGTGAAAAAAACTAGATCGGTTGATTTCTTGTCAGAATTGGACTGGACCCAGTCCAATAATAGTTTTGGCAGGGAATGGCTAGAAACTTACACACTCAATCACTACGTACTTTACTACGAAAAAAAATATCGTTGGACTACAAATTCGTTGATATTTCGATGTTTCGTCGTAAGGTAATAAAGACAGAAAAATGTTACGAGGCCAGCTAGCTTGCTAGGAAGTGACGCATTGATTAGGGTTCCAAGTTGATGACGCGGCTCCTAATTACACCGTTGGAAAGAAGAAGGAAGAAGAAGGCTCTCCTCTTTTAATGGGAAAGAAAGAAATGGACAACCGACAGGTAACCATTTGGAAAAATAAGGACACAAATTAATGATGCTGTGGTACTGTGTTTGGTTTTGGTTTGTGTTTGTGTTTGTGTTTGAGCAAGCAAAAAGCCTGTCCTTCTAGAATATCTCTTAATATTTTAAATTGAAAAAATATAACCAATTTTGTGGGGAAAAAATATTAAATTTAACTAATTAGCACACCTAATTTGTGATGTAAAAAACTACACTTTACAAGTGTAGTTTTGTTACTTGTTGTTTTTCCCCCCCAACGTAGAGACATACTCTCCAACACATGTGAGATATTTTTTCCATTCACAATGAGAATAATAGTGCAAAGATTCCATTTCACCATTTTGGTATCTGATTGGTTCGTTGACATGATATCACAAAGTTCCGAGAAACGAAATGTCACATCTTTGGTAATCGATTGACTCTGTTGTGCCTTGATTTGGATGCAAGATATGGTGAATTCGTGAAAATACTGTGAACATGACAACTTTCACTTAGAAAGAACGTATGTCTCGCAAAAGCACCAGTAAGAAGCAAGATACATTCTTCAATTTAGATGAATAACTTGAGTTTGGAAAATCGGTAGCCATTTAATTGGATTTAATATTCAAATATAACTCCAATTGAATGAATTATTTAATTCCCATAAATTTTGGAGATTTTTGTTTGCTTGTTGAATGTCTTGTCCTTTTTTTTGGGTAGAAAGGTCTTGTCTTCTCTAGTGTGCCCATAAAATCAAAATTTCTAGGTTTACAAAGAACTCTAGAATGTAATTAAGCCTCGAGTCTAATCAACACAATCATCAATCATCTATCAACACAGCTAATAAACTAATTTTTAGCGACAAACAAACAAAAATTTCTCTTTTAATGAATAACAACTTCTTCTTAAATAAACAAAGAGACTCGAGTTCAATGTCTCTATACCATGACTGACAAACGATTACGATATCACATAAAATCCTTTTTCATTCAACAAACAACCATTTGTACTAAAAAATTTAATACCTAGGACAGAAAATTGTACCATGTATCGATTTCCATAGCTAAAAATACAGTACAGTAGAAATAAGTTGTGTCTCATGGGTTTCTTTCATAGGCAATAACGTGACAAGAAGGACAACCCATAATAAATAGAATAACCACCAAAGTTTTTTTTTTTTTTTTTTTACTTTGTCCCAATTAATTGGGTGTGTGGGGAGGGGAAAAAAAGACTAGGCAAGCCGGCGGTTTAGGTCATGGTTTCATAAATTGTTAGGCTTACTAGTTTTGGCTCCTATGGTACATTCTCTGGTCCTTAAGTTGGTCTGGCTAAGTTTCGGCTATACGATTTACGTTTGTACAAAACGAACACCAAAGTGAACATGTAAAAGTTGCTTACGAGTTCAATTGAGATAACAAACAAAAGTAAAGTTGTTACGTACACTTCCTCATATTGTTGGTGACGAATCAAAAACCTTACCATTATCAAGCTTACAAATTAAAGTGACAGAAACAATCAATAAGAAAACAAGAAAAAGAATTCGTGCGTGCAAATCCCAACACATTCTAATTTGATTATGTTGGAATACCGATAGACGTACGTAGCTGTCAATATGAGTTTTGACATCACACAATCTTTCAACTTTGTAAACAATGACGCCCCTCGACACTTTCGATCAGGTGACAATTGAGGGACAGTTTGCCAACAAGACCATCCCGATCGGCACGTCAGCGAAATTCAAAACAAATTGAATTACTAACGACCGGGTGGGATCACCGTCAATGAAAATTCGACCAAAAAAGCACGAGTCGGAAAAAAAAGGACAATAACCTAATAAGATTACGACTGGTATAAGTCGCAACCAATAACCGGTTTATACGACCCGATCGATCGAACCGAGAGGCTACGAGAGAGAGACACACTGACACTAGTTGAAATTGGCATGGTCTGGCATAACCTTTCAGCTTCTGGGCTCCAGATACTTAACTTCTTTGGGCCAACATCAACTAGAGAGTAAGGACAAGTAAAGACAAGAGAAATTAAATAGTACCTATTGCCAAGGGAGCCATGGAGCTTAACGATGGTCTCTTCTTCTTCCTTGCTGATGTTGCCTCTCTTCACATCCGCCCTCAGGTAATTAATCCACCTCAGCCTGCAACTCTTCCCGCACCTCAACAACCCTAACAAGTCAACAACAGCAGCAAAAATGCATCAGCAGCCTTCACATTCGAGACTTAATTTCGGCCTCTGCTCGAGCAGAGACCGACCGGAGTATGAATCTTACATCATTCTCTTACATTACGCGTCAAGGGGTAGGATTCAGAACATGGGTATAACATTATAAGCCGTGAGAAACAGAGTAAAAAACAGAGGAGGAAGGGTTTTGAGGCAGGGGAGTGCGAATGTTACCAGCGTTTTTGGGGAGGGAGCGCCATTTGCCTTCGCCATTCTGCTGAATGTAAGAGGTCAAGATCTGGTCTTCTTCGGCAGTCCATCTCCCTTTCTTCAGCCCAACTTTCTCGCAGCAGGGCGCTCTCCCCATGACTGCTGCAGCAGCAAAGCTTACGAGAAGGGGGAAAAAGCAGAGTGTTTTTTGTTTTTTTTTGGGACAAAGGGGAAAAAAGCAGAGTGGTAGAAGTAATAATAAACAGAGGAGTGAAGAAGTGGACAGTGTCTTTCTTCTATACTCTGCCTCCCCGTACTATATACGAGCTTGGGTGAGAGGAAGAAGAGAGAGATGGTGGCGATGTGGACACGTATTGGGATTAGGGAGTGCCACGTAGGCTGATGGAGAGGAGTTTACCCACCATCCTTAAGTACCCATTTGGGTTTGAAATTTTTTTTTGTGGTTTTGCCTTTTGCTGGATGCATCTCCTACTAAATCAAGTTGACTAATTACCAGGTTTAGTAGATTCTTGGGCCCACACCCAGAAATGGAGAGCAAGTGAATTGTGGCACTCACCTCCCTTTTCTCTATTAAGGCAAGATTTTGTACAGAACAAGGACATTGATTGTAGTTTGTTTCAGTTTCATCATATTTGTGTGTTTTGAGAGATTTACTAGAGATTTGCTTTGTAAATGCTGAACCGTAATGGTAGTGATGAGCTAGTAGCAATCAATGTGGGTAATGATCGCGACGATAACATTTCGAACGACGATGGAAAGTCGGTAAAACGATTCATCGGTTTTTATAATCGACGGATCAGATTCGTACGTTCCGTCACTATATTTAGGATTTTTGTCCTTTAATGTTTTCAGTCACGTGTTAATTCAATCCTCTACTTGAAACAATAGCTTGCGATCAAGTTAAACCCCAAGTCCTCCCCTCCTCATCGGTCCCCACGATCTTCTTAATCTTGTTATTGTTTCGTGGTGTTTTATTCTAGTAACTTGTATATGGTATACCCTTACATAACCATGTGAAATAGCAAGTTGTCCGTTGGGTTTGAAGTTCTAGTGTTCGAATAACCACGATCGAACCCGTGATTTGAACGTCGTGGACTGCTCCTATACTATGCACGTCCGAAAATTCCTAACTTTTCGTAACCTATTCACGTCCTCGCAAGTTACAACCCAGATCACGAAAATCGTAAATTAGATCTCATTCGTCCGACACTCCCTCAAACCTTTTGCCACGTTTCGTCGATTTCTGACCGAGATGAACGAAAACCGGCCCGCGGGCAACCCACTAGCACATCCATGGACGGGAAGCGGTAGAGGTGGAGAAGGGAACAGCACAAGTCCAGTCGAGTGAGTGTGTGTGTGTGTGACGTCCTCTCTTCTTCTATTCTCCAGGTATTAGTTTCTTTTTTTCGGGCGGTTCGTTGGACACATTCAATGCAGACAGTTGGGGGGAGGTTCTTGAAGGCAAAGATATCTCAATCGATCTTTCTATTCTCTCCCTTTCATGGTTTCCCCATTATGAACAAAGCACCAAAAACTTCAATACACAGCCCAAAAACACACCAAGTGAGAAAGAAAAAAAAGTGCTAAGCAAGCAGGCCCGCATAAATATCATCATCCTACATTCATAAACGTTAAATGCTTCTAGCTGGGAGAAGAGTTTCCCCCCTCCCAATTCCTCGACCTCCAACGCCCGCCCATCTCCTTAGTAAATTTCATTCCTTTTGCCTCTTCCCGTCACGCCCTTTTCAGCCCAAAAAACAAGTTGCCCGAGAATGGGCATTGGTGGTATTGGCGGTTGGTTTTCAGTATAGTTAGTGATAGATTAGAGATGCTCTGTTTTTCTTCCTTTTCGTTGACACTCTGTTTTTCTTCGCATTGTCGTTTTTCAGGTTGGGTGATCCAATCCAACTGAACTTGGTCCAATGAGTTGGTGAGTGACGATGTTTACTTGCAAAAGGTCGTAGCTGCCGTTCTTCTTCTTGGGTGGAGAATATTCCACGTGAATCACTCACTCACCGCCTTCGACCACCCACCACTAGTCAGTCACGTCCATCACTCATTGAAGCTTTTTTTTGTCATGATCCATTGATTAAACTCTCGGTCACTAACTACATATGCTTCGATTCAAATACGTAGGACTGGACGAACTTAGGCCATGTATCAATGTCTGAGGTACATGCAATTTTCTAATCATGAAAATGTGCCGTGGAGGGATTGTGAATTTGACTTCTTCGAGTTAAAAGAAGAGTGCTGCCCATAATCTTTCGTCAGCATGACGGGGGGAAGTGTTATCTGGTTTGTTAATACGCGATTTCAAATCGAACTATCCACAAATAACTCGAATCGCAATGGATGGGTGGATAAAAAAAAATTTCTATCGACAATTATTCGAGTGGGTGGGTTGTTGCGGGTCATCAGAATGGCCTGCATCTCGAATTCACATGACGAAAAAAAAAGTTATTTATCGTTTACACTATCAATTAGTTCTTCGTATTCCTAGCAGTATCACACACGGACCATCAACTTCTAAAAGAGGAAAATAAAGAGCATTTTTGTACTACTTAATTACTTTGTTGTGTAATAAAAGATCCTTTGTTTCCGGGATTTCTAGTCAGTGACTTTGTTTTTTTTGTCAACTAACATTTCAGTGGCAAACTGAAAAATTTACGGTCGAAAAAACGGGTCACAACTGTATCAAATATCAACTCGTTAATATGCGAATGGATGTGTTTAACACCAAAATCCACCCTATCCACCCGTCATAAACCAGTTGGTCCCAATAACTCGAGTTGTTGGGAGAGATTCAATCGTGGATCATATACCACAACACTAACACGCCCCCTCAAACGAAAGTCACTCACAAGTGCTTGAAGTTTACACAGGTCTGAATACCATGTGCTTAACAAATGGGGGTCACTGGGAATCAAACACACTACCTCTCGGTCACAGAAGGCTCTAATACAATGTCATAAACTAGTTGGTCCCAGTAACTCAAGTTGTTGGGAGAGGTTCAATCGTGGATCATATACCACAACACTAACACCACCCAAGTCACCATTAGGAGACAAAACAACGCCTTTCTTATTGCCTCTTTGCTAACGTTAGATTAAGGAGCATGGGGTGTGAAGGAAAACAGCAAAGAGTGCTGCCGTAAATGCCTTCGTCAAGCTGGCAGAATCCCGGCACCTCTTCCCTCCGTCCGCACACATTACCTGCCAACGTCTCGCTTTTCCAGAGATTTGACAAAATTTGTCACTTTCACCCCAAAGTCGGGTCAGCGAGGAAAGACGACACTCTCGCTCTCTTCCTAGCTAAGGCTGTCTCTCGAACCTGGGTCGGTCGGATCCGCATCAAAAAAAGGTCTTTATTCCGCCACCGAGAGATGCCGAATCAACGAGAAGATTCAATTCAATATGCCCCAGAAAGAAATTAAGACGATTGCGCTGTAAAGCAGTAAAGGTTTCTCCCTGTAGGGCGGTTCTCGAAAGGGAGGTTGGCGGTAGTACTAGTATTCACTATCCAGTTTTCATTCACACCAAGCCTAAGGGAGCAATTTAAGGCTCCATCCACCGTTGTAAAAGAGTACCTTGCGCCCTTTAATGGCATTCACTGGCAACTTGCGCAATGGGCCGCCACCTCTTCCTTCCCTTTTTTACTCAATCTACGTGGTCCACCGTCCACCCTCGCCGGAGAACCCTAGAGAAAATATAGTGTAGTGCCCAGCAGGTACAGGGCATTTTGTCTGGTCCAAGGTAAAACACAGTTCGGCCAGACGTAACTCCAGTCCCTTTTGTACTTGGAATGGAAACAAAGAAGAAGAAAGAATAGTAGAATTTTAAAATTCGAAACCGAGCTGAATTTAGATTCAACCCGCGGCTCGATCCCCACTCAAACATCAGCTCGGTTCGCGACCCATGGTGATGATAGGCTTTGTGTTGGGAATGACTCGGAGATGCGATATGTAATACACACTACAAGAGGCTATGTACAGGGAGCTGCGGAAGTGAATCGTAGCAGGGGAAAAAGCAATTGTATTTACAGAGCTCGTTGAGATATAGATATTTATGTGTACCATGATAGGGAGCAAGTGTGCTTTGGTGTTGGAGGTGGCTTCAGGAAAAAGGCTTACCGAAGATCCATGACCTCGAACTTCATCTTGGAGTTGAGGTAGACGTGGGAGCAATGCTCGTAGATGGGGTTTCCATTCAAGGGCTCCTCGTGCGGATGGAAGCCCCTTTGCTGGCAGTTACGGATCACAGATACTCCGGCTGGGTCTGATAGATGAAATATTCCGTGTGGGCTGTCCAACAAGAGAGTTGTAGCAAGTAAGTAACAAGATTCGATAAGGAGATATTCGCGGTGTACTATGCAAAAGATTCGGAAACAATGGGTCTACCTCGAGTCGTCGGTTGGAGCCATGACAATGGCGATTGCTTCCGGTAGCATTATCTGGAAGAAGAAACGGGTGAGTAAGATAATTCCTATGTTTAACCAAGAAACGAATAACAATAAGTGGGTTTTGGTTTGTGGATATACCTGGTAGGAGTAATGTGTGTGCAGATCGACAGACGACATGAAGCAGGTTTGCGTTGGATGTGTCTGAAACCAATGAAGAATCAACAAGGAAGAGAACGAGCGTAATTATTGGGATAATTCAAACAGTAAATATCGAGTAGTGAATAAGAGAGGATGGAAATGATGGAATTGCCAAGATGGTAAAGTCAACAGCATACATGGATCCAACCAAGGGGAAACAACGAGAGTTTGTCTTGAACTTCAAATATTTCTTCTTCATTTAACGTCTGACACTGGCAAGGTAAACACAGAGACAAGGAATTAGCATAAGCATACTAAGGTCAAACTACAAGGTTTTACAAACATACAAGTTACAGCTATCATTGCTCAAACGAAAAATCAAAAGACAGCCCATTGAGAAGAATCTAAAGAGATTCTGAAGAGTTGCAGCTAATATTGCTCCAAAACAGAATGGTAAACTGAGATTTGAGAGAGGAGACACTATACCGAATCTGAAGTTGACTCTTGCTTTGGGATGATAAGCGTGCTGATGTGGAACACCCTGTTTTTCTACAGCACATAAAACAAGTATATAAGGAGCTGCGGCTGCAGCTGCCGAAACAAATATCCAGACTGACTCATTTGCAGCTTTTCCCTTACCAGAGCTCCAGCCAGAACACCACACGTTTCTAAATTCTTCTCTGTATTTGCCCGGGCCAATCTTAAGAAATCTTGCATCATATTCACAGGCTGCAGAATATAGTTAGGAATCATAAGAAATGGTAGTTGCCTAAGAAAAGCATATGATTCTCATTGTATAATAAAAGCAAGGAGTAGAGTTTAGAAAACAAAAGGAGATAACAGCATAGTGGACCTACAATGTGCACATCTTGATACGAATTAGGGCCAGACATGCCCTCTTGAGAAGGTGCTGGACCCGGTCGTGGATCAGCAACTTTAGATGGAGCAATTTGAGCATATTCATGTTGCACTTGAGCAAGAACCGGAGGAGGGGATGGTTGCCTAATACCAACAAACTGAAAAGGATCTTCCCTTGCCTCGTGAACTAATGTGTTTCCTGGCTCCTCAGCAGGGTGTATCCATCTACCATCATCCAAGGAAAGAATAGAATCCATGACAGCACCAGAATCATTGTTCTTAACTTCCACGCTGCCATATTCTCCAGCCAGATTTAAGCTGTGCACCCAAGGCATGGAGCAGAAATGAGGATAAATTATACATGTGATGATAATACGGAGCAAGGAGAAGTAGGCCTTGTGACTGAAACACACAATAGCTAACTATATTGAAAATAATTACCTTGTATCCTCTGTAGATGCCAATTCAGCGTGGCTAGGATACTGCACCTGTGTAACACAACACAACACAACACAACACAACACAACACAACACAACACAACACAACACAACACAACACAACACAACTACTTAGTCTGTGGAGGCCATAAATATACAATGTTTGACAATAACAACCATCCAGGCAATAAAGTTACCTTGATCGCTGCAGTAGGTGGCCGCCATTCAGCATTAAGGCCGTTTGGACCTAAGAGCGAGTGCCTAGACAAAGTTTCCCGATTGGGAGCAGGCCTACCAATAGATCTACATATATGAAGATATGTTATTACCGTATACACTGTCTCAGGAGACATCCCCAGAAACAAACTTTATCTACAAAAATAATTATCTTAAATGACGAAAATAAAAGAGAACGAACATATGACCGAGTACCTACTAGTCTTGTAAGTTGTAACCAGCATATAAGTTAATGTTCTCTTATAGATGAACAAACATCATGAAGGTTAGACCACAGAGCAGAGGTAAGGGGTTTATCTAACAGGTTTTACAAAGCATTTTTCAAGCCTTCAAAATGTGATAATAAGAATCATTGAGCATAAGATAGCTAAACTGAACAGCTACTGGACATTAAGTACAGTTTTCGTACGGAAATTGACATTTCATGGTACAACATCACAAAACAATGAATGCATTATTGGAGAAACATACTCACAACTTATGCAATTGCTTTTCAAGTGGCGAGGGACTTGAGTAAAGAGCTTGAGCATCATTGTTCTTCCATGAAGATTGAGGAACCATGCTGGTAGGCTAATAATCACAGCATTAATAACATAAACCTAAAAATTATCTATAGTAACTAAGAAAAAACACAAAGAACTCAAGTAAGCACCACATACCTGTGCAACATCTCTTCCAGAGGATGATCTTCTATTCACTGAGGGCCACTGTGGTGAAGATGACTGCGAATCGTACGAATTTTCTTCCGTACCATCGAGTTCTCGTATCCGTACATTCGAGTATCCCCTATTCAGTTCCTCCACTCGACGATTGAATTCAGGTTTCAAGGATTCAAGTTCCTCTAACACAGAAAGCAACCTCTGCACAATAGGATCAAGAGCCACAAAATTCCATTGAATTATTATATTATCTCAACTAATTATGAGACTAACAAGCAACAACACGTTATTCAGATTACAATTCACATGCTTGGTCACCTTCTTATAGCCAGCCTTATCCTTCAGAAGGTAACTGTGATAATCTCGATGGAATGGAATAGTCTCAGAGACCAAACTGGTGAAATCCACAAAACATAAATCCATTTCAGAGCTCAAAATCACACTACGAACGAAGAACAGTTTCAGTTACATCGATAACTAGCTGCGCAGCAATTCCGCGCCATCAACAATATTACCTCGAGAATCTGAGAAGCATGATGTACAAATCCACCACATTACGCTCATCTCGGTAGACGGTCGCCTGAAAAAAACGAGAACGAATAAACCGAAGTCCATCCATGGATAGCCCTAGAAACTCAATCAATCGACGAAAGAACAAATAGCGCGCGAGACAACACCTGACGGAGGAGGTTGTCGGCGATCCTGTAATAGTACCGGAGAGGAATCCGATTGTCAACCTCGACTTTCCGAGCTATTTTATTGAGGTCGATCTTCATCCTTCCCTTGCGATTGTTCGTCTAAGCCTTATCCGGCGGATTGCCGAGCCAGCGGGAAGTGTCTTCTGTGTGATTACAGTGAGTTCGCGGCAGCAGAAACCGGAGATCGCGGAGCGCGGCGGAATCAATTTCGCGACGTAGCAGCTAAGTAACAAGGCAAAAGAGGAAAGTCGTCTTTCGGAAGAGCGGCTTCTTCTTTTTCATTTTTCTTCTGCACAACAAGTGATTAAACGAGGCCGAGCTTATTTGTGTACTAAACGTGCCGACAAACTATTTGGTAATTGGCTAATTGCTAATTTGCTATGGTTGTTTTGATGATTGGATAATCCAATCCGTCCACGTTTTGGCGGAGCAGGCACCGTAATCTGAACGGCTATGAAGTATTGAAGTACATAAGTTACAGCCTGTTTGGATGGACAAAAAACTCAGGAATTGGAATTCCATTTCCAATTCTATTTCATTATTTCATGTTTGGAATGGTAAGAAGGTTGGGAAATGAATTCCATTTGACTAAAATATTAGAAATTAGAATTCCTATCAAAAGTGATAGGAATTGGGTTTATGGAGATGGAATTAGTGGGACCCATTCATATTTATTATTATTTTATAATTCCACTATCTTATTTCTCTCTTTCTCTCTCATCCATATTTCATTTCCCAAGATAAAAAAATCTACTAAATCATTAATGATTGTTAAAGAATACAATTCATTTCCATAGTTGTTGGAATTATGCCAAACACAAATATTGGAAATGGAATTCCATAAAAGTTAGAATTGGGAATGGAAATCCATTTCCATTTCTTATGGAATTGTATCCAAACAGGCTGTTAATAGAAGAATGATGAAATAACCTAACCGACTTTACTAAAAATCCACAGATAGTAAGTAATTGGGGATAAATTGGATGAAGAAATTTGAGTTAATTGTCTCTAAATAAAGTACTTGAATTGTTTCATTTGATGGGAATAGTGCAATTGGATCGAGACAATTTTGTATCAATTTGAATTGGCAGGGGAAGGATAAGTAGTTTGAAAAGATACATCAATTGTAAGATGAAGCAATTTTGAGGCAATCAAGGCAAATTAAATCATTTCAGATATCCATCATTTACACGACCAAATATATCCAATTCACTCAAATGGATAGTCCACCCAAAAATTATTGAAGTCTAAAAAAATTGATCTCTCTAATATTGTTGAATGTCACATACTACAATATTTCTTCCATTAACTCGAATTATCGAACTAAACTCACCATTCGGACAATGAAAATCGAGCTAGTCACCATTCACGTAGGTCAAACTACCCAACCCATGGTTAACAACACAAAAGGAAATCTGCTAAGTAGCAACTCCAACCTTCACCAAAATTGACACCAGTGTCACCAAAAAGAGTTCCCCTTAGCAACCAAGCAGGTTGCGTCACCGTCCACCGCCGCCGTCGACCAACAGAGCGGCGTACAGAAGCTGGTTCCACGCGTCCGGAACCCCAGGAAGGCACCAGTGGCTGCAGTCCTGAAACTCGGCCCCACCACCGCCACTCGCCGCCGCAGCCCTCCGCTCGTGGTAAATCGAAGGGTGCCCGTCCCGCCGATACGACGTCATTTTGGTCACGTTCAGATAAAAAACCGGCGTCTTCATCTCCCCGATCACCGATTCCACCGCCTTCATCATCCACCACGGATAGTCCCCCGCCCCCAGCTCCGCCTCGTTCGTCACCGGACCCGCCGCGCCGCCGTCGTCGCACCGCTGCGCCGGACCGAAATGTGAGGCAGAGTATCCCCTGAAGAAGACTCGAGTTCTGCTTCCGTTGATGTTGGAATCGACCCATTGGGACCAAGTCGTCAGAGCTTTTTTGTACGCTTCGGTCACTCGCAGCTTGCTGTAGACATGGCTGCCTTCTTGGTAGTAATTTTTACTGCAGTTACAAACACTTTCTCAATTACTCAATTACCAGATCTAAAATTAATTGAGTTCTTAATTTTTAACCTTACCCTCGATTAGTTTTCCGGTGAGTCCACCAGTGGCCCGTGTTGAACACGATGACGTCAGCATCCCGGTAGTCGGAGAAGCTGCCCTGTATCATGTCCAGCCGCAGGGTTTCCCGGCGGCGGCTTCCCGGCGACTTCCATTCTTGAACTAGGAACGGCGATTTCACGAAATCCAATGAGCAATTGGATTCCTGGGTTCGCATGAGATCAGACGGAATTAGAAAATGGACTGATGTGCTGTAAAATAGAAAAGATTAGGGATTTGATCTTTGACGGGAAAAACTCACCGGGAATCTGACGGAGTAGAATCCCTGAGTTCGGAACTCCCGCCGGCCGAAGACTTCAAAGATCCCGGTCTTGTTCTTGGCCGATTCTCGCAGCGAGCAAACCAGAGCCTGCCACATGTTCCTGTTCAGCGAGTCGCCGACGAAGACCAGCCGTTTTCCTCTGAGAAGCTCCAGCATCTTTCTCCCATTAAACCTGCAAAGAAGATTTCTTTTTGAGAAACCCGAAACTCCCCTGAATTGGGGAAGAAGAAAGACGAACAGAGGAATTTGGGGGAATCATAGGACCTCGGGATCTCGCAGCCGTACGGCTTCCATCGGAATTTGAGGTAGCCGGAGTCCGGGCGTCCGTTCTTCAAGCAATTGAAGGAGTTGTCGAGGAAGGGGCAGGACCCGGGTGAGTAGAGCGGGTCGGAATCGTCGTCGGGGACCCAATTCCCGTCGAAGATGTCGCAGGAAGAAGAAGAAGAAGAAGAAGAGCCCAGTTCTTCTTCGTTAGTGGACTTCCAGCGAACTGTTTCGATGGCGGCGGCGGTGGGGAGCCTGATTTGGTGGGATTCGGAAGGGGGGATGAGGGAGGAGATGAAGGGAGAGGAGAGGAGGCGGGAGGCGAAGTTGTTGGTGCTGGTGGTGGTGAAGGCAGGGGAGAGGCAGAGGAAGGCGATGAGGAAGACGAAGGGAGGGATTAAGGCGAAGAGAAGATGGGTTCTTGGAGAAATTGCTGAGAGCTTCTTGGCGCTTTCCATGGCGGAATGGAGAGAAATGGATTGGGGATTAGAAACGTGGGAGAATTGCTCTCTGTGGGATTTGATGGGGAACAGGGGACGGAATGTGGCGGGAAGAGGATTAACTGAATTGGGAAATGGGTGGAAAGTCTCAAAACCAGTGGGGTTTAGTAGAGTTATATGTGTCTGCAGGTTCGATTTGATTTCAGTACATTTTAGGAGTTAGAGGAGAGTATATAATCATTATGTATAGTCTACAGAATCAAGATTTGGATGTGAACATTTTCTCCTATACATTGATTCATGATTTAAGGTTTGAATTGGTTAATTTGAAAGCGTATGATATTATTTGTTACGAATGATCTCTCTTAACGAAAACGTATAGGTCGACCATATTATTTGTACTTCATTGCATGATATTTACATTGACATCTCAAATCAGCTTCTGATAGTGCTAAAAAATCATGCGATTGCCCAATTAACAACCAAAAATGATAATTTTCTTTTGAATATGACAAATTTAACTCTCCAAGCACCCCCACATTGTCGCGCAACATGAAGAATCATGATTTTTATCATGACATTTGGAAGTAGGGATGACAAGGGGTCGGGTTGGGGCAGGTTATGCCAAACCCAAACCCATATGTTTATCGAGCAAAAAAATCCGAGGTTAAACCCACTGGATTTGAAAAACTCAAACCCAACCCAACCCAACCCGCTATGTATCCGCGGGTTCATGGGTACCCATGAGTTCATGTACAAAGATGCAATTACACTAGTTTTCACTACTATTGTCTACTATAGTACTACTTACACACTAGCTCGTAAATCATTCATACTAATTGTTCAATATTAAAGATAAACATCCACAAACAATATGATTAATTGAACATGTGAGGAATTAGTTTATAAATTATAGTTAATTTGTTAAGGTTTCGTGGGTCGTGGGGGTATGGACTTGAGTGCGGGTATCTATGATTTGGATATAGCTAAACCAAACCCAACCCGCAAAAAGAATAGTTGATTTACACTCGAACCCAGCCCGCAATCCGTCAAAGCGAGCTGTACCCGCGTTGACCAGATTAGTTCGAGTAGGGTACCCGCAAATTCAAGTTCTACTGTCATTCCTATTCGGAAGATCGAGTGTGGCTAAACATGGATGAAACAAGTAAAAAAAAAGGAAAGAAAAACACACACTAAACATCATTTATGTAGCAAAATTTAGAGCCAACTTTGACCAATGTTGCATCTCCAAGTTGGTAACAATGTCAAGCCAATAGAGAACATGTGATACACATATTTCAATCATCATTTGATCCAAATCAATACACAATAATGCAATCAATTTCCACACTCCATATACTAAACCAAAAACAATACCCACTTATACTATAATCCCTCCCAAAACCCTAAAAAATCCCACCAAACAACCTCTGCCTCCCAAATCACCAACGGAGCAAAGCTCGGCCGGCAATCAAGTAACCAATAGCACACAAACCCCAACTTGCACCCTTCAAAACAGTAGATTCAGACGCCTCGAGATGCTCAGACACATCGAAATTCCCTGCAGAATCACAGAAAAAATCTCAATCAAAACCACAACCCACGCCGCACATCCACAATTTCCCCACACGATGTACTCTCGAGTTCAATTCTCGCGTCGTTTCAAAGAACTGTAACATGGATGTACATTACCAAAATTTACCTCTCTCAGGTCCATCGCTGCATCCCGCAGAAACAGTGTCCTTAATGTCCTTGATCGTGGCGGTGTTGTAGAATCTGAAATTCTTCATAATCCCTTCAAGGCAATCGAGCACCATGTTGGTCTCCGTCAAGCAAGAACCGCCGCAGTAGGCATCCACTTGCTCCAATGGAACTCCCAGTCTCCCGCTCTCGTTCAATCTGAAGTCCTCGTCGCAGCTTCTGTAAATCTAATTAGCAACCAGAAAAATGTTACCCATTAGCGAAACCAAATAGAAAAGGGGAAAAAAATTCTCTTTGTGTTTTTGGGTTTCTGATAATGAGTTACTTACTCCCCTGTTGTTGAAACAGAGCATAGCTTTAGCGACCATTTCTGCTGGATCGTTGTCATTATTGCTGCTGCTCGAAGAAGAAGACGATGTGCTTCCAGAAACTCCATTGCTGCCCACGTCTATGTAAGGCGCTTCCTCGTCTGCCTTTCCTGTTAAGCATCACCACTCAAAAATTGTAACTTTTCGTCGCTAAAAGGTTATGCGACACCATTGAAACAGAGAAGGAAAAATGAAGAAACTTTACTCTGTCTCGTACCTAGTTGAAAGGGGGAAATGATCAATATGGCTACAAGGAGCAAAGCTGTGACTGCGAAGCTGAATGTTGACGAAGCTGCCATGGCTGGTGCTAAGGGGGGAAGCTGTGACTCTCGATAGAACAGTAATGGAGGTGATACAGGGGATGAAATTGAGGTTGGTATAAATAAGAAATCGAGTGCCACCAACCATTAATGGAGGAAATAGCAATTACAGAGTAATGGGTTTAATCTCGTTAGCTTGGAGACAATAAGAAATTGATTTCTTGGAGAGATTGACATAACTGAAAACCGAATCGGGTAAACAAATTAGGGAAAAACTTCAGGGGAGCTCCAATGGGAAGTGTTAGCAGGTGATTCTTCTGCACGTTTTGGTTGGGAAAAGAAAAGGATTGGTATTTGATAATGGACATATATTCAGTCTCTCCATTGAAGATTTGGTGACGTTCTGGGTGAGGGAAATTGTGGGAGAGAGAGAGAGAGAGAGCAGTTAGAGTGCAAGTAACCAACTGTGAACCGGTCAAGAAACAATGAAAACTTCTCCTTCAATGGTTGTTCAATGTAGGGTTTTCATGAGATTTTCTAGTCATCGTACTATGCCATTTTTGGCAAACACATCCTTATACTATGCATTATTTTCAACAATGTTTATGCCGTTTACATGTTAGTTCTCTTGATTGCAAAGACATTTTATTATCGTGATTGATTCACGATTGATAAGCAAGTATTTGATAGTCCGCAACTCGCATGGACCAGGACAAAAAAAAACAAGGATTCCAACGGTAAATAGCATGTGAAGGTCTTTCGCCTTTCCTGCTCAATTTGTCTGTTGTCTAAACATGGTCGAGCTTCTTTCTCTTACGTGACTAATTCAAGAGTAAAAGCATTAAAATTACGGAGAAGTCAAAGAAGAAGTATCGTAGCGAACATCTATCCAGTGGTCTCAACATTACGTATCGACACTTTCTTCTCTTATAACTATATTTCGATACTATACATTTTTAACATGATCGTCTCTTGCATCATAGTTACGTTGATTAATGCAATGTTTGTTACAATGTGACAATACGCGAACATGTTTGTTAAAACAACATAATTTAGGTACTTGAGAAAAAGGTTTTGTCTTATTGATGATGATGACGACTTAAAAGTCTCAAGGTTGTTTTCGTGGTTTGACCCCGCGAAAGGAGGATTTTTTGCAGGAAGAACGGGAAGCAAGAGGGATCCATGCACGTAAATGCGTAGGCAATGACATGAGTATATATGCCCAAAACAATTGGCGTCTGCCTTCGAGAAAGTTGGGGTTTCTTCGTAACTTCACTCAACTTGAGAGTGACACGTTTCCCTTGAGAAAGCCCTCCAACACACTTTGTTGCTAGAGCATGGAAGCCCTCTCATGTTGTAATTTGGGCATTTGGCTACAGTATAAATCAGAATGAGTGGGAATAAAAATCAAATTCTGTAGACATGTCATGGTTGACTTGAATATGGTTAAATTGGTATTGAAACTGGCGTGAACACCATCGATATGACCGACATTATTAATTTACGAATCTTAAGCAAAACGAAGTCGTTTTAATGAACTTAATTAATAAAAAATTAATTTAGCATTTATTTAATGAGTTTAAAATTAGTTAAATGTTGATTTTGTTTGTTGAATTCAAATATAAACGTTTAGTTATTGACGTTAAATATTGTAATTAAATATGAGTATCATAAATGACGCATTTTATTTGAATGTCAATATCAATGTTAAGTAGATTAAGGCCTTGTTTGCTTAATGGATTTTATTATGGATTTGGTACATAAAAACCAACCATCATGGACTTTGTACACAATTCGTCGTTTGCTTGATGGATTTAGCAGGGATAAATCCGTGGGGCCCACAGTTTTTTAGGGTGCATGGACCTCACGGACTTGGAAATTCCATCTCAAGGGGTGGGATTTGTGTGGGTGTCTCGAGTCCATGATGGTTATTTACTATTTTATCCTCATTTTGTTTTGTTTCTAACAATAAATAAGATGTAGTAAGGGTAGATAGGTAAATTCATAATGTAACCATAATTATAATTATGCAAAATCCATCATGAAATCTATCAAGCAAAAAATGGTTTTATCCAAAAAACCAAATTGACCAATTCCATCATAAATTCTTGGTTTTATAAAATCCAATTTTTGACCAAATCCATCATGCAAAATTCACATTTCTCCATATTTTGATAAACCGGCATGAACCTGCACACTGGTTGTACTACTAGTCGAACCATTCCACTTGTTAAACCGACGCAACGTTATAAACCGGTCTGACAACCTTGAGCTTTACCAAACAACTATATTTCTGAAATTTATTACAAAATTTACATGTACTTTTCCATCATTTTGGGAGTTGAGAGGGGTTGTAAGCTCCCTTTAGCCTAATGTAGCTTTGCCACTGACTACTAAAGGTGGGTATCGGTCAAGATCGGATTGGATCATACTCAGAAGAATTGCGATCCAATAATGAAAGATATTTGAGGACCAAGAACCAGACCAATGCCCAATAGTGCATTCGCTACGTTTTGATCCGGTCCATTTTTCTTCGGTATTTATAAAATTCATGAGACTAAAAATCGAGCCATATTATATTCGATTCGTTATGGTCTGATTCAAGCGTCAATTTGATCCAATATGGACCAACCCATTGCCCTGGCTACAATCTCGATGCTCAATGGGAGTTTCAGCTTCATGATATAATTCAAACTGTTATACTGCAAGCTTTTTATTTGTTTTCACGGCTGATGAAAGCGCGACACTTTCAAAAACGACTCTTACTCTGTACACCCATTGTTCATGAAATACCGAACAATTCGACCATCATTAGCACGTTACAGCCTGTTTGGATACAATTCCGGAAGAAATGGAAATGGAAATGGAATTCAATTTTTTATTTTTATAGAATTCCATTTCCAATTCTAGTGTTTGGTATAATTACTACAACTATGGAAATGAATTGCACTTTTAACCATAATGAATAATGTAATATGTTTGTTTTATTTTGGGAAATGAAATATGAATGAGAGAGAAAGAGAGTAAAATGATAGTGGGTCAACAAAATAATAAAAAATATTGATGGGTCCCACTAATTCCATCTTCATTCTCTCAATTCCTATCACTTTTGATAGGAATTGTAATTCCCATATTTTAGACCCATTGGAATTCAATTCTCAACCTTTTTATTATTCCAAACATAATATTTGGAAATGGAATTGGAAATGGAATTCCAATTCCTTACTTTTTTGTCAATCCAAACAGGTAGTCAGCACCGTATAGCCTGATTGTCACGGTGAGAAACCAGATTCCGAAATAATTAGCACAAGAGGAGATGGGCCTTTACAAATATCAGTTTGGGCTCCAGTTCAGCCCAATATGGTTTTTGGGCTTCGCTTATAAATAGACAGTGCGAAAACACACAAAAAAACCACAACCACGAGACCATGGACTTCAGAGACGTGAACTTCAATTCATGGGCCCAGCTAGTGGGCCTGTCGCAAGCTATTCGGGCTACAGCGGGATCATGAATCCATGATTTTACGACGATGATTGTGTATTTACTTTGAGAACGCAACTGGTTTCGTAAACCATACTCAAACTATAAGCAACGATGAATAACATAATTATTATACACTTAGCCTGCGTTAATTTCTTCGGCCGTTAGGTTTAAGTTACGTAACACTAATAATAATTAATTAAGATTAATGGCCACGGTCGCATGATACGTTTATTAAAAAGCTACTCATTACTCAAACGATTGGACAAAAGCCCCAACCAAACTAGTACCACAGTAATTCCCACTTTCCTCTACAAAATGGATATTTGAAGCTGAGATACAAAAGTCACGAAAGCCATCTGCCTCGCATCCGATTTGACAATCTCCCAAACGCTGCCTAATCAATACGACTCCCCCTGCATCCAAAGAAACAGCAGCCTCCTCTTATTTTTCAACTCCAATAAGCACAGACTAACTAACGATATGTTTGGTGAACCTAACGTAAAATCTTTTGACTTTGAAACAAAGAAAGAAAGAGACTCACGTGGCTGCTGGATGTACACGCTGGCCTTCTAGGTGGCAGTTGCTGATGTGGCGTCCTCTGTCACCAATAACCAGATTCGACCAAGTCAATTTTCACTGATTTTACTCCCCCCTCTAATCTCAATTGAATATCCATTGTAAAAATCAGACGGTAACTTTTTTTTTTTTTAACCTTTAGTTTAGGTTGCAAGGTTTCTACTGCCACCGTGGTCTTCTGAGCCTCCCCTGCTCCTCCTTGCTGCTGCTATTTTCATACATATGCAACATTAATAATTCCCAACAAATTCTTTCAGAAATCAGAACTCTTATTATATCAATTAATAATTAGTATTTATAGTTATTGAATTCAAAAGGGCAGTGTTATGTGGCTTTTTATTTTAGTAAAGGAAAAATATGAAGAAGAAAAAAAAATTGCAGGGATCACATGGAAGTGCTATGTGGACCAAATTTGAAGTTTGGCAAAGCGATGTGTGTGATTAATTACCTTGCAAAGTGCCCAATCAGCTGAATCGAAGAAGGCACGTTCATGATCCTACACACCAATTAAACACATAATTACCCATGTGGCTTAATATCTAATCCTCCTGATTTGCGTAGCAATCACGACTCTTAAATACTGATTAGAGAGTAATTAGTACCTTGGAAATCAAGGGTTTCTTCTTCGGTGCAAGCCCACCGTACTTGTTCGCCACCTGTACCAACCACGGATTTCATTAAATAACACCACCATTACACTACCCTAAACCACATAATTAGATACCGTAATCATCATCATAATCATACAATTAAGACACGCGTAATTCCGTGCTAAATGTTGATATACAGTAACGTGACTTGCCGTTGGAGGCGATAAGGTTTAATTTGATTGGCTGAAAGTGGAAAGTGGGGGCAGGCAGCAAAAGCAAATTGTGCACGTGATTATGTTAATACAAAAAAAACAAAAGGAGGTGAAAAGCAATTAAGCAAGTAGTATAAGTTTGATATTGGGTATGTCTCTTTCTCGAAAGTGTACGGTACTGCTCCTGCCGACAATTGTCCAACTGGAGGGCACCCCTGCCCTTGCGAAGGGACAGGCGTCACAGGAATTTCTATTGAGGAAAAGACGACGTAGTCGTCGTCCACAAAAAAGTCAAAGATACATGAATCAAAATTATTACCCAAACCGACCACTAAACTTTACATTATTGACAATTTCACCACCGAGGTTTGCGATAACCTTCATAATAATCACCACCGGGAGTTGATTGAATTTCTCGTATGTATTTGCCCACCACAACGATAACATACAACCTCTAAAGCTATGAGTATGATAAGGTTGTTTTTTTTTAATTGGATTGAAATGAAAGGGTGACATCACTATTATATTATTTATCTCATACACTTACGATTGATTTGAGACTGACCTCGATCCTTTCGAGAACATTCGACAAAATTTCGAAACGAGCTTAGTGACCAATAGTGTAAATAGTGTAAATTGACCATATCGCCGTACGAAATTTCTCCCTAACCTAGCCGTTAGATGGTAGGGTCCACACTCACACGACAATAGGGATCACCATCCACATGTTACAATTGCTTGCTTGCTTGCGCCACCCATTGTCCTCTCATTTTTAGGGCCCCCAGCCCCAAAACCAAATATCCACCCACCTTTTAAGTAATTTGATTACAATAATTAATCAGAGATTAATAGTTTAGGTTGGAAGATTTGGAGGCGTAATTAGCATGGCAACCATATTAATATACCAACAAAGAACAAACACGCGTTACGCCGTCTGCCGTTTTGACAAGATTCGGTCGGCAATTAAGGACGGCTAAATCGCTTCTTAATCAAGCGCAAGAATCCTAAATCAGGGGCGGCTTTAATTTCGTCCTAGTTTGCTAGAATGAGATCAACACAACAACAACAACAACAAAAGGTCCCAATAAAAAAAAAATTTCCCGAAACTTTCTTTCATTTTTGTCTCGTTACCTGGATTTCCTGAGGAGCGTAGAGGCTCTGGTTTCCACCGCAATCCGCCATTTCTCCTCCGACCCTCCTGTTTAAAAGAGACACCAACCCTTCAGTAAGCCGCAATTCACAAACTTGCTACGAGAATAATAACATCCACCGCACTCTGTTTTTTTGGTACCAGAAAACAGAGAGAGAGAGCCAAGTCAGCCGTAACAGAGAGAAACAGAGGAAGAAATATCTAATTTTTTTTGCATTACCTTGAGGAAGAGAGAAGGAAGAGATGAAAAAGGGTAGAGAGAGAAGGGAAGGAAGAGTAGTTTTTGATGGGTATTTGGTTCTTTGGGAGGGCTCTGCCCTGTTTTTGTGTTTGGGGTTGGAGTGAAGGAGAGGGATAAGAATATGGAGTGGGGGTTTTCAATTGGTGAGAAATAGATAAATATGAAGGCTTGGAAATTTTAATATAAATGTATGAGATCTTCCTTAGAAGGCCAAAAGAGAATAGAAATTTGTCTTATGAGAAAAAGGGGAGGGAGGAAGGAAGAGGAGGAACTAGAAAAGGGGAGGTGGTGGGTGGGAAGTTGGAAGCAAAAATTAACTTATAGGTTTATGGCTGGTGGGCAAGCTACTTGTCATTGTGAAGCTCTCTCCATATTTTAAAATTTAATTAGTGAGAATTTTTTTCAATGACGAGTCAGGTTGGCACATACGTAGAATGTTATCTTTGTATTTATGAATTGTAGGTAAATTTATGAGAGCATATGTTTTGACTAATAATTTTGTTGGTAGTCCGTTAGTTTGTGACAATTTTTATCACTTGATTCGTGGTTGAATAGTTGTGTTTGTTTACTTAATTGATTGCTTCACTGAATTAAATATTAACTTTAATTTAGATATATAGAAATTTTGACTATTTTCATATATATGTATGACGGGACGACAAGAAAATGAGTCTCAATTTCGGTCATATCCGACCAAAACAAGAAATATGAATATGATCTATCGGTTTGATTCACCTCCATTTATCGATAGATCTAACGCATATAAAACTTCTAACCCAGCCAAAATTTTCAAGATGTACGAACTCGACAAGTCTTGAAAAATAAAGTCTTGAAAAAATATCTAAAATACTTATTTCAATGGTTTACCCGGTCCTAGAATATTATTTTATAAATAAATGAAATGTTAGCATAAATATCTCATTGGTCTAAAATCCAGCTGGTGATTACTATTTTGCTAGTCAGAAAACGCATTGTTTTTTTCAATGAAAATGTTTTTCCTCCGTGGTGAACGTTTCTTTGACCTCCATATGCTTGGATGGGTATAAACGGTATCATCAAAATTCTGGTCTCTTCTCCTATTTTTTTCTTCTAAATTATTCTATATTATTAATGTTCTTATGGCAATCATGCTATCGTTGAAGCAAAGGATAGAATATACAGTTTTGAACTAGAGTAGGACGGTTGATCACAATAAGCTTTGTCTGGTATATAAATACAATCAATTACTTAGAAAGAATATAGTTTTGAAAATAGAATATATACCTACGGCAAATGCTAGCATACGCCCGACATATAGATGTACTTTGATTAGATGTACTTTGATATACTTTGGTTAATCAAAATCATTGGTTTTTATTTTTTGTATAAACTTGATCGTATGGTTTGAGTTTAGAGAATCATAAACGACAGTTGAGCGACTTATTAAAAATTAAAATATATTATCATATCCCAATTGCCAATCCCTCAAAGCAAAATAAAAAAACTCTATGTATATCAAAATTACCAACAATGAAGTTTTCAACTAGCGTAGACCACTAATTGAGTAGAGTTTATGGTAACGAAGGGTGTTAATGGATCAAAATCAGATGGGCCCATCTTCGTATGGCCTCGGCCCTTTTCCTCTCTCGGCCGCAGAAAATCCATCAACCCGCTGGCTACTGCCGACACTCTTCCTTTTGAAGGGCACCAGGAACAAAAGACAGAGGCACTTGTGGACTCAAAAGTTGGTGTACCAGAGCCCTCTATCCCGTGCTACATTAGGTCGAGTCAGGAATAGCGGCGGATTCACTTCATAGTAGAGCATCGAACCGCATTTTGAATAAAAAAAATTAAGATATTGATTAGTAGTTGTTCGAAAGAGGTGAAGAGGGCTAGAAGAAGCGAGCAAATTTCGTTTGCTATACTAGATATGGACCCCGAGAAGGGTTGGGTGGCGGCTTCGCCCTAAGATCCGCCCACTGGTATGGAATCCATGGGATTGCTTGCGATTCATTTTTCCCTTTGTTGTTTTGTATAGAATTGTTCATGATATGAAATGTCGACTATTATCGGTGTTCGTGAAAAGGTTGAACTTCCCATTTGTCCTCTGTCCATCAATATAGGGTTGACTTAGAAGAAACCAGGGACACAGCTTTAGTTCAATAATGGTTGGTAACATGTTTGCATCGTTTGTTATGATATGAATTGGACTCATGGTTGTTGGGAGGTGTTGGAGCTGGATTTTCTTCTTGGCCATGTGGAGTAAACAAGAAGGGTTTTGGCTGTTATATGTGCAAAAAATTGAAAGGCACATGTGGAAGTAATCTATGGTGACTTCTTCATGATAAAACCCAACCGTGACTTGGATAAAGATGGAAACATGCCCCTTTTTTTATTATTCAATTTAAGGGTAAATTTGTATTTTATTACGTTAAGTCAATTCGGATTTTAGATTAGATTTCGGAGTCTATACAATGTAATTTAGTTGTTTAGTTACATATTATCGAATGACAAGAACATTCAAGTATATGTACTCTAATCCTTGTTTTCTTAATTTCTTTTTCTTTCTTGTCCAATCTATTTCTTCTTGTCGTGCATAACCAATTGGTCTCGATAACTCGAGTTACTGGAAATGATTCAAATATAAACTATATACCACTTATTAAGGCACCCCTCAAACCAAAGCCAATTTAGAAGAGTTTGAAGTTTGCAGAGAGACCAGAATACATTGTACTTAACAAACGAGAGTCATCGGGATTCGAACAGAAGACCTCTCGATCATAAAAGACTCTAATATCATGTTAAGAAATAAAAAAATTGGTAGAAACTGTTATATCTTGTATTGAAAGCCCATAGAATTTGTATAGAGATTACAATAATTGGCTCTTGTAATAACACTAATACTAATAGTTAATACACAAAATTCCTAACTTGTACATCTCTCATAAAAGAATATTACTATGTCAATTACAAAACAATACTCACAATATAACATAAATAGTAATCTTACCACTCATACTCTAATACTTCTCGCCCTCATCCTCAATACTACTCTCTTCTTCAATATTATCCAGGATTGCTTGGTGAACCTTGATGATTTTGCAAAATGAAGAGAATCCAGACAAGCAAATATCTTCAGATTGTAGTTTTTTTTAGGCAAAATTCACTTCCATAGCCATAACTTTACACTTTGTGACAAATATAGCCAAGTTTTGAAAAATACACAGAAATAGCCATTCCGTCCATTAATATAACGGAACTGTAATGACGGCTGTCTGGACAAACGGTCGTCTGCGGTCGCTACCGATTTCGTCTATATGGCATGCCAGGGTGGATTTTAAATTTAATTATATTTATTAAAAAAATTTACTTTACCAAATTATTATTTCTTTTCCTCTTCTCCATCCTTTTCCTTTCTCCATCGGCCCCTCTCCATTTTCTCTTTTCCTCTTCCCAGAAACCCACCTTCATTCCACCCGAACTCCGCCGGCCACTCTCAATCGACGAACGGAGCAAATCAAAGCCATAGGGAGATTCTTAGAAGGAACCCAGTCCGAGCGATGCTTGACCACCATCCCTCATCGTCGCTAGCAGAGGAATCCAGAAGCAACCCACAGCAGAGGCGACCGAGCCAAAGCCAACCCCAAATCTGCAATATACTTGCTCGATTAATGTAATTATTTCTCTGATGCTGGTGGTGATTGTTCATCTGCCGCTGTCGCTGCACCTCATCGTCATCTTCCTCTTCGTCTTTCCAATCCCTTCAGCTGTGGACTGGGGTTTGGCAGTGGCGGCGGTGGTGGAGCAAAAACCCTAATGAATCGGCGATGTTGAAGAAGAATCACCGCCAGTAGTCCTTTTCAACAGCCCATTCTCTGTCGCTGCTTCTTCTTCCCCATTCTCGATGCATCACCGAACCCCTTACTCCATTGAAATGGCGATAGTCGTTGAATGTGAAGGCGGTGGTTGTGGCATCGGCAATGGCAAAGGCAAAAATCCCTCTTTGCCACGATAAAAATTCCCCGCCTTCCCATTTAATCTCAACCTGGAAATCGGGATCTGGGATCGGCGGGATTTGATCTTCAGCCGCCGTTGGATTTGTGGATGACGGCCCCGTTTGAGCTTCATTGGCGGCGACGGGGGAAAGATAGAAGCTCGCTCATAAGGGAGGAAAATCAAAAATCGACTAGCCGGTTCTCATTGGGGCTCGCTCAGAAGCAGAGGGATGACATGGCGAAAAATCCGCTATCTCCACCGTGAGTTCCTCCTTGAAAAGTCCAGATCGAGAAACTGAACAACCCTAAGCGGCGGCACTGATTCTGCAACCAACCGAAGCCACCCCCAATTGAAGGTACGATATCCCAGAACCACCCTTTTAAAGCTCGATTCATCCAGAGGAGATACCGGCGGCCGCTTCCACCGAGCTTGCTGCCGAAGACGATGAAGAAAGGTTGGAGAAAATTGATTTCCAGTTTTCTGCTTCTCCTTGTATCCTTTGCCGCCGCACAATTGTTTCCACTCGACGCTGCTACTTTGCCAAAATATTGATTCGCAGATTAGGGTTTGTGGGCCAAAATATTGATTCGCAGATTAGGGTCGGAGAAGATGATGTCGGCAAGACTTCTTCCTCACTATTTTCTTTTACCAATTTTTGTTTTTTATTTTTTCCTTTAATTGAAAACAAAGAAGGGGAATCGGTCAACTGAGTTCTTTTGTTTTTTGTTTTTTCTTATTTTCTTTAATCTTTTTAATTTTTTTGTAATAAACAATATTTTTAATTTTTAATTTGACATGGCATGACATGTGGCATGACACGTCGACTAAGAGTGGATGTGTAAGCTGACGAGGCGCCATCTCAGCTTGTTGTTGACGGACGTTAACGACATTTCTAACTCCGTCATTTTTTTTAACGAAAATGGCTATAATTGTCAAGGTAGTTTCAAATTTATGGCTATTTCTGTGTATTTTTCAAAACTTGGCTATATTTGTCACAAAGTGTAAAGTTATGGCTATGGAAGTGAATTTTGCCTTTTTTTTAATGGGAACAACTAAACAAATAGGTCCTATAAAAGAAAAAGAAGAACCAGACGAAAGAAAATCAGTGGCTATAGGGGGAGAATCTGAAGTGACTTGGGAAGCCAATGAACCCAAAGGATTTATTCCCTTCCAAATGTAAGAAGAAGTCACTTTCAATGGTACCACAAACCGCATATACCAAAAACGACTTCATGTCTGAGAGATCTCCAAAATCTTATTTCCATCATCGCCACTTCAGATTTGTATCTTGGATTTGTCAAGAATTGAACACATGAGAATGTTGTTAGAAATCAGATGGCATTTCATAGTTGATGTATGAGTTTAATATAAGCTTTAAAAGGCCAAGAAGACTCCAGCATGTCTCCTTCATTTTGATGAAAATTGACCAGTGAAGTAGGACCTCAACGGGTGTTTCATATTATACTTCTTTTCATAACTAAATCGATTGTGATAAACTTGTTATGAGCAAAGTTTAAGAAGGCGGATTACGCGTAAGGCGCACATTGGGAGTGTTGTCTAGCGTCTGGCTCACCTAGCCATCACTACGCTTAGGCATATATAGGTGTCATCTAAACGTGTTTACACGTCTCCTAAGCGTGCCTAGGTGCTGAAAGAAAAACAATGCAGTTTGTATTCAATGAGGAATGAAATAACTAGGTTAAATACGTTACCTGTGGATTGGGTTCAAGTTTGTAATATCATTGCTCCACTATTGTAATGTATTTGGTTTCTCTTGATGGGGTTGGAATAAAAGTGCTCATATTCGCAAAAAAAAAAAAAAAGAGGAATGAAATAACAGTTTTACAAGACTCATGCACTTTAATGAAAATTACTAATTAGTTATTTAACACTTAACAACAAGAAAATAGTTCTAACATATAGTCTGTTAATTGATCCATCGTGTTTCGATAAAAATGCGAATACATGTGATGTATCTGTCAATCTCAATAATCAATAACTCCAATTATTGAAAGAATTTCTCAGCATAAATTTAATCATTCCTTAGGTATATGCCCTGTGGTCAATTTCGCACCTTACACAAAGATCCTTAAAACAAGTTGGTGGAATAGTAAGATCTTTCTTGGGGGGAAAGAACAAAAGAGGAATCTCATGTAAAATCAAATGACAACTAGGGCAACAATGTTCAACATGCGCATAATTTGTTATGTCGCAGCAAGTTGGGGTTGCTCTCTCTTTAGGAATCTCAAGTGAAAAAAGCTGCAGTAAAAAATTAAAACCAGACACTTCAAACTAATACACATTCCATTAATAGAGCCTCGGATTTCTTGAGGCAACAATACTTCAGGGTTTACAGTAAAAAGGTAAAAAAAAAAACCAAACAACAAAACAAGCTTCAATTCTATCCACAGTTGCATTCCTATGTAACAAGAAACTGCAACCAGCAGAGGAATCCTTTAATAAACAAAGCTGGCAGCTTACCTACTAGACTCTCTTATTCTGTCTCCCCATTTTCTTTCACCAATTCCTTTTACTTGTATTCTAATAATCTTGTTTACCTTGTTTCTGTCTCCAATTCCTTCTTCCTTCTATATCTTACATTTGCCAAGGAATAAAAATCAAATCTTGAACTTAACCTTCATCACTTTTCAATTGACTCCAAGTTTGCTCAACTGGACCGAAATCGGATGCTTGAGCTCTCCAATGTGAACGTGATGCTGCCCAAACGGGATCCTTCGAATCCCATTCCGATCCACCACGCTCAAATGCTTACAAACCCGAACATTGACCCGAACCCGCTTCCTCGACCCGGCCGCCAGTTCCACCTTCTCGAACCCGATCAGCTGCTTCTCCATCGACCACTCCCCACCCTGTTTCGGCGGGCTCGAGAACACCAGCATCGTGTGGGTCCCGTCCACGCCGCCCGCGTTGTGCACGTCGACGTCGAGGTCCAACGACATCGCGTCGCTCTCGCAGTTCGAGTGGATGGTCCGAATCGCCTGAGAAGAACCCAACAAAGGAGGAGGAGGAGAAGAAGAAGAGGCAGAGGAAGTGGTGTTTTGTTGCAGAGCAGTGAGGGTGGAAAAGGGCACGTTGACTTTTCTCGGTGCCAGCTCGGACAGTGACGTGGCGAATTTGGTGTAGGACAGCCCGAACCCGAACGGGAACACCACGGGTCCCTTGTAGAACCGGTAGGTCCGACCCGGGTAGCCTCTCGCCGGGTCGGGTCGCATGCCCATGTCCGTCATTGGCACCTTGGCGAGGTAGTCTTGCGGGTACCACGTCATCGGCAGCTTCCCATCTGGACCAATCAAATAACAGAAGGGATCCGTTGACTCGGCTTCTTAAACGACGACGTGGAGGTCAAACAAATGGTGGAAAGTGGAAAGCTTACGTGGATTGGTCTGCCCGAAGATGACGTCAGCGATGGCGGTCCCGCCGTTCTGGCCCGGGTACCCGGCCCATACGATTGCGCTGATGCGCGGGTCGTTCTTGGCGAAGGTGACGTCGATTGGGCTTCCGCTCATCAGGACCAATATGGTTGGGCCTTTCGACACACGGGCCACTCTGGAAATGAGCTCCTGTTGATGACCTGGCAGTAGCAGCCCGGCCCTGTCCCTGAATTCGGCCTCGATGGACTGGTCGAGGCCCATTACCAGAACCGTCGCGTCCGCCTGCCGGGCTATGGCCTCCGCCGCGCCGAATCGCTGGGCGCCGCCGCAGGACACGTCGGCGCAGGCGTTTTCGTGAAGGGTCCTGGAGTAACGGGCGATTCCCTGGAGCGGTGTCGTGTAGCCGCAAGCAACGCCTGAAAAGTGAAAACCATAGCGTAATTATAAATTTGTAATGTGATAGTAATTGAGACATTACTTTTTTCGGAAAATTATTAAGAAAACTCACCGGCGTAGTTTCCGATCATGGTGACGGTGACGTCGGAGTTCGGTCCGATGACGGCGATGGTGCGGTGACGGGCCACGGAGAGTGGGAGGGCCCCGGGGCGGTTCTGAAGCAAGACGATGCCTTGTCGGGCTGCGTCGAGGGCGAGCTGGTTGTTGGCCGCACTGCAGACATCTCTTGGGCCCAAGTTACCAAAGGGCTGGGCCGAGGGCTCACCGTCGAACATGCCCAATCTCATCTGGACCGTCAAAGTGTTGGCCAGCGCCATGTTGACGTCTTCCTCGACAAGAAGCCCGCCCTTGACGGCGCTCTCCGTGTGGACTGCGAGGAACGGGCCGCAGTCCAAGTCCAGGCCCGCTTTGATGGTGGCTGCAGCGGCTTCTTCAGGTGTTTTGGTGTAGTGTTGGTTGTCGTACAGGACACCGACCGAGTCACAATCCGACACTATGTACCTGTCGTTTTAAAACGAAATCGAACCAAAAATTCAAAATTAGAAATGTGGTGAATGAGGTTACAAGAAATTCGATCATGCTAAAACCAAATTCCTTACCCGTTAAGATGCCATTGGCCGCGGATGGTGCCCTTCAGAAGGTCAGGATCGGCACAAGTGGGCTTGCCATTCACTTGATTGTACGAACACATCACGCTAGCGACATTTCCTTCCACCACACACGACTTAAACGGGACGTCGTATGTGTCTTTCAAATCTTGCTTGCTCACCTATGATTAATTCGACCAAATGGACCATATAATTAGAATTGAAATCATATATATATATATATGGAGAAAGGAATTAGATGCCAAAATCCCTAAAATATTGAAAGGAATTTTTTCATTTGATGTGTCCCGACAAATTAGCTTTTCATTTGAAGATAACGAATCATTCAATGAAGCAAAATTGGGATTGCACCACCAGCACAATATTCTGCCACGTCAAGTGGGTTCCATGTTCTAAGCTCTCTTCCCTATCTCATGATGTCTAAATCAATACAGTTAGGAAGAAAAGAGAAACATCACCTAGCAATTTCGTGCAAGCAAATTTCACTTTATGTCTTTCGCTTTCATATATGTGGAGGTTGTATGCATGATACACTTAGGTGTATTTTTGGATCAAATCACAAGGGACTGTTTTTTTTTTTCCTTCCTTTCTCTCGTTCTTATAGTTATTACCTTTGCATTGAAATGGTACCGGTCCACACCGTTCCAATTGTCAAGATCGTACGCCGTGTAGTGCTTGCAACACGCGGCGACCTTCAGCCTGTTCCCCGACGTGCCCTGTAGGCCCTTGACGTAGCTGGCGGCGTACTTCCCGGCGAGAAACGGGTCCTCGCCGGGGGTTTCCTGGCCTCTGCCCCATCTCGGGTCACGAAATATGTTCACGTTCGGGCTCCAGAACGTCAACCCCGCCGACCCGCCGTTGTACATTGCTCTCGCCTCATCCGACACCACCTATCATACATCCACATAAAAAAAAAGCACCATATTAATCACCTTCAGTAACCCACCAAAATTTATCCCCCTATCCAAAAAAATTGAAATATCTCATCCATAGCTGATATCTATCTTCCCAATTGACTGACGATGATCGATCGATGTTAGACATACACAAATGGATGAAATCAAACGACACAACACATACAAATTTTCAAACGTGTCCATCCTTGTAACAAGTAAAAAAAAAAAAACTTTGGAATAAAGCAAGTGTCAAATCGATAGGGACACCCTAATTAAAAAATGCATGGATCCGTAACACAATTGGGTTGCGCAAAATTGGTCGTAGGTTGTTGTAGTAATCAAATCAAAACACCTAATCTAAAGCTAAGCTACTACCAAACCCATTACTTCAAGCTCTTAATGACACATGCTTTCATATCATTACACTGACCATGAAATTACTATTGCCATAAATGATCCAGTACTTTATAACTGCCCTCAATTAAAATTTCAGGACTTTTAGTGTTCACAATCACAAACGCTCTATACCGATGGATTGCTCGCCCACAATCCAACGGTATCGGATGCACTTATGAACACGTTGTCACATATGACATGTGATCATGTGAGCACAATAGCAAAATCTCTTCGCAGGTCATTACCCATATATTATATATAGACCTATGCATTGTTATTGTTTTATAGTATAGAAATGGGGAATGCGACAATTGCACACTTGCCTGCAAACAAGTACAAAAAGACATCCCTTGTGATTCCAACCAAAAAAAACAGATCGTGGGAGTGAATTGGTCAATTATTAGGAGTGAAGGTAAAGATATGGTAAAAAAAAAGAGGGAAACTGTAATAATTCTTTAAGTAGTATAGTGGATGCAAGCAGAAGTATGGGCCAAAAAGGGGTTCGTGGATTAAAAAAGTAAAAAAAAATACTGATGCCAATTGCCCAATAGAACAGCAGCTTTTTGTTTGACTCTCTTGTTTTTAAAGCAAAGCTTCCTCCTTCCCCCTTCCCCCCAGGCCCACCAACTTTCTCGGCCCATACCTTTGCAGGCGCCAGAAGAAAAGAAAAAAAAAAAGTATCCATATGATCCCAAAAATCAAATTATTAATTAGGTGTTACCAAAAAAACAATTCCATGTTAAGTTAAAACAAATATTGAAAAACTAATTATGTAGCGCGACACAGGAAGTAAACAAACAGCACGTACTGACATTGTTAGATTGTTAATACGAAAAACGACGACGAAACGAACGGGGCAACATCAATCCCTTGTAAATGTGGGTTAACAACAACACCACCGTACCTGGCCGATTTGCTGCCAGAGGGACTGGTTGAAGGAAGCGGCGGTGGTGATGACCTGAGGGAACATGGTGGCGCCGAGGAAGCCGTCGCCGAACTTGGTCCCCGGGCCGACGTTGGAGACGCCGTGGAGGGCCTCCGACCACCACTCGTATCCTTGGATGCCGAGCCTGGGAACCGCCGCCGCATTGTTGACCAGCAGCCGGATTTTCTCCTGCAGGGTGAGCCGGCCGATGAGGTCCCTGACCCGGACGTGGAGCGGGACCCGGACCCGGCAGAATTTGTAGCCTCTCGTCGCCGGGTTCTTCGGGTCGCAGGCGAACGGGGGCCGACCCGAAACCGAGGAGAAGAGGAGGAGGAGGGAGAGGAGGAGGAATGTGGGTAGTGTCGTTTCGCTCCTACGAGCCATGTTGTGGGGTGTCGTTTTGGAGGAAAGGGGAAGACAAGAAAGGGTGGTGAATGGGTTGGGTTTTGGCTGGGTGGGTTTATATAGGGAGAGAGTGAGCCAGCCAGTAAAAGAGAGAATTTCCTGAGGAATGAATTTTTTTTTATTATTATTATGTGTTTTTTTTTTGGGATTTGATGATGGGGTTTCCACGTCAGTATTGTTAGCCATGAAGGTTTCTCTCACTAAAATGGACAGTGAGTGAGTGAGAGAGAGAGAGTGTGTGTGTTTTTGTGGAGATTGGTTAGTAGAGCACGCAGATGGCACTTTCTAATCGTAAGCTATTGATGAGTGGATGACATAACTGTTGGTATCTGTTTCATCAAGGTAAGATTTGGGAGATGAAATAAATGTTTGATGGAGGATGGGGCAACACCAATAATAATCTAGAGACTTTTACATTTCGTTAAGCGAATTAAACTTGTTTAGTTCGAATTCGATTTGTGATTTGATTTTTAATAGTCTTCACATTAGTTTGATCATATTCTTCAACTAGTGTTTGATAGTTAGTTAACCACTTTTCTTATGATGTTCATTCTTATTTCGTGGTCTCAGTATCAGTTTGATCGTGTTCTTCAACCAGAGTTTGTTGTTCATTAACTACTTCTCTGTACAGTGCACTCTTATTTCGTGATCTCAACCCATCAAACCAATTTTGTGATCGATCATGAAATCTTGCTGACCAAACTTCGACTTTCTAAAAATCTAAAACTACATCTTTGATAATCTAAACTTAAGAATAGAAAATTTACCAATATTGTCCCATTCCCAATCACGATTGTACAGAGAAATGAATGATGGAAAAGTGATGGTCATTAGAAAATGTATATGTTAATTATTTATGGGTTAAATTATAATAAACCGGCCAGCCCACTTGGCCGGGTAGAGAAGAGCGAGTGAGTGAGTGATGGAGTCACGGACCACAGAATCTGGGTATTCTTTTCTTTCTCAGCTGGGTTGGTTTGATTGATATCTCTCCCTCCTTCCCTCCCATCACTCACGTTATCCCCACTCAGACACTCTTCAGTTTTTGTACATTTTGTTCATTTCAAGTATGCCTACCAAAAGCCACATCTATGCATAGCTATAATTATATATATGCTGGCCTGTCATACCATAAATAAATGAAAATAATTAGAACCACATGGTAATTACTTTTTTTCTCCCCATCTTTAAATGTCTCTCATTGTATGGTAGCAAGATGGCTATGGACGGGTTGGGGGCGGATTGTGATGAATTCATCCAAATATGTCTTCGTTTTTGTTTTTAACTTCTAAAAATTGTACATTTCTCATATGCTTGTGGGACGGATGAATCATTCCTTGTTCACATTCCCGATCTTTTGGTTTTTTCGATAATGTTTGAAAGCATGTGTGAATTCAGATCTCGAACATTGAAGATCGAACATCTTATGCCGCATGCGCTGATCACGGAGAGTACCGTGGTGTGCTGGGTCATGCTCGTTTTGCATTCGATCGAGCATGTCCGACTCGGTGACCAGTCTGGTTGAAGTCCACTCTAGCATGTTGCTGCTGTTGACGTGGTTGGCTATATGGCTAAGGAGTTTCCTTTGTTCGAGTCCATACAGAAACCCTCGTGTTTCTTGTAATACCCCGGTAGTCGCGTTGAAGGGTATAAACATCTCCTGTGAGGCTAGTTCGGCCACGGTTAACCAAACATACAATCAATAAGAGAATAAGACGAGAAACACCTCCCCCGTGAATTAGTTCTGATCAATTGGGGATGTCACGTAAAGTTATTGTATGTTGCATTTTCTTCTTCGTTAGAAAGTCTTTGGAGATAAGGTCAATGACTACCACTATGTCTAACCAATAACTACTGCATTATTAACAACAATGTACTGTTAAAGAACGCCTAAGAGAGGTACTTACTACTTAGTACTTCTATCATGTCAGTCTATAGTCTATACCTATACTCAGTTACTCACCTCAATAATTTTGCCCAAGTTCGCATCCCTCCTCCCTTTTTATCATAACTTCGTCATTATAAAGTCTTTAGAGACATCAAATTCGCGAAACCCACTATACGCGTAACCACACAACGAGTGGATGCCAACGAAGTATGCAAAATATTTACTAACATGAAAGAGTTCCTTTATCTGTGTATATCGTCTCTTCGAAGATATTCGATAAAATTAGAACGATGACAAAGTGTAATGGCTCTTTAATTTTGATTGCTGCTAAACCAACAATAACAATGTGGGGATGGAAAGTGGGAAGTCGGGTCAAAATTTCTGACTGATCAACAAGACAACAACATATGATCTGAATCCAATGCATTACAATTGGCTATGTATATACGGTCTGGTCTCTACTGACTTCTGACTGATCATATGTAAATAAGGAGGCGTTTGGCCATTAGTGTGTTTAAGTTTCCAATGAATCGTTAGGAAACAGGGCTCTCTGTTGGCAGTAAAATAATCACTTCTCTGCTCTCTACACTCGTGATGTCAAATGAGTACAGTAAAAAAGGAACGATGCGGGTGATCTCGTGACTCTCACTGGTCTGTGAAAATAAATTTTTTGTCCTATTGTTTTTTTTTACTGTCATGCTTCAGTCTGTTGCTCTGTTTTCTTGGTCGATCTTGTGACTGGCCAGTACATGTATTGTTCTTCAATCGATAAACTTAACACACATTTACAAATGTATCAAACCTAACCAATGATAAGTTATTCACTAACTGACTTATCGAGTTTTAGGTTACTTCATTAATTACTTATCGAGTAAGGGAAGAAAAAAAACTCTACTCGATTGTGCTCGTTCTCATCCCACCTCTCTGGAGGGCTGATAATGAAACTAGAAGCCACCAAGTGGGCAAGGGGTGGTGGAGATGGAAGAGTTGCTGCCGATTTGGGTTCAAGAGGTCCTGGATTCAAGCATATGAGGCCGCTATTTTTGTGCTATCATTTGGTGGCCACCGACAGAATTGTGCGCACGACTAAATTACTCTTATAAGTTTGTCGAGTATTCATAAGGGCTGAAATTTGCTATCTTTAACGAATTTTCCTAGTCATGAAAAAAAAATTAACTAACATTAATATGTTTTACTTAGCACACAATACTTTTGGAGACTGGATCATTCATTAATGAATCATTGGACTACCTAGAGTATGGCTAAGGGGAGGTAATCCAAATTCCAAACCGTGTCTGCATGCAATCATTAAGCCATAAAACGATTCTCTTAAAGCATAAGATATGTTCATTCTTAATCCATTTTTTTAATTACTTGGAGTGTGGATTATAATTATATGTATGACTAGTATAATCCACCACATCCAAAGGGGGAAAAAAATTCCCCATAGCCTAATGATGCTCTTGTTTTTGGCATCATCTAACTACCATAAGGGGCATTTAATTATTGCTTCAAGAAATCAATCAATGAAGCCCAATTAAAAGGAGGGACTTTGTTACCAAACTTCTGATGTTACACCATAACCAAAAAGGAATCTCAATTAAATAAAAAGTTCCATGAGCTAGTTGCACATAAAATCTTCTTTGTTCTTCAGATAGATAATTATTACTTTTCATGCCATACATTTGATCATATTATTAGATAAAACCATCATAGTACCATGGAATTTAATCAATTGTTGCAACAATTTCCTGCTTATTCATTAAACATTAACAAGACAACTTGCCCATTGCAAAAAAAGAAGGGGGGGGAAAAAGATTTAGGTCTTTTCACATTCTCATTTTCATACACTTAGATAAACAAGTATATTGGAAGAAAACGGTAAAATGCATGTGGAGCAAACCAAATCGATGAGATTGTTATCAAAGGGATCAGAGAAGCGCGCAATTGTACTTTGAGTTTTCTAATACTCCAGGTCTATAATATCTAATACGAGTATAAAACCTCATTTTTACATTTTTATGAAACAGCTAGCCTGCTACATCTCTCATTCCTATTCGAGTCTGACAATTGTGCGGTGTAAAAAACCTCACAACTTAACCAATAATTTCAGAAGGCTTTTTAACCCTAAATCCTAACATCTTATTGAATTTGTTTCATCACGCTTATGTACAAAACTAGGTCGAGTTATTTTGGCATACGGTTGAAGAAACAGATTTCTTGCTTGGTCTCCACTGTCTCCAATGGATGATCGTTGAAATATTGCTGACATTATTAACAGAAACATTAAAAGACATTGTTGACATTATCATCATCATGATGTGGGAAATTGAAATTTGGTACCTTAATTTGTAACAAACACATCTTTTCCTTCCTCGTCCCAACTGCTTTCCCCAACTGGGCCGTTGGTTTGTAGCTTTGCAACTGAAACTATTTGCAGTGTGCTTTACGCTAGCGCCAAAGGCTAGGTTTTCTCATGATCATCATTCCACCACGTGAACCTCCAAAACAACCCACCCATCAATTGTTACAACTGGCCAACTAGCTGAGTTGGTCCACCAAAACAGCCTAATTTCACCCTGAATTATTCGATGACGTACGTGAGCTAAGCTATGTTAAAAGAACTTTGTAATGCAATTAGTAGTTTAAATCTAATTCGATTCATGTAAAATGACCATCGAAACAATCGAATTGTATCAATTAGAAGCTGAAATTGGGTTAGATTCGTCCCAATACTCTGTCTGATCCCGCTCTTATAGGGTCAATTTTATAAAACTGGAATGCCCTTCTCTTATTTCATCCTTGACCCAGTCCGACCCGCTCGGGCCAGGCGCATCCAGCGGGTTGGATCAAATCAATTAGTAATTATTTTTTGGAAGTTATCTTTTGTTACACAAAAAAAATCTGACAATTTGGTACCTAAACTTTATTTTTTTTTAAATCAGGTCCATAAATTTTGGTGATGAATTATGATTTAGTACTTTTGCATTGAACTATAGTACCCGAGGTTTTAGAACTGCACATACATAATCAATATGTTGATATAAAAATTTTCAAATCACTAGTTATTGCTATGTGTCATAGGACCAAAAAGTAAATCGATTCTTACAATGTCAAAATATGACCCAACCCTAAACTGACCTCAATCTGACCTGCAAAGTCGGATCAGGCCGAATGAGTAGGTATCTAGGGCCAGACTTACTGCCCTTAGCACCACCCTACTCTGCCAAGATAGACGGAGCATGGTACACACAAAAATATTCCACATAGTAAATCACCTCTTATATACCGAGCACGACACATTACAATTAATTTCTCCCTCTACTTTTAAACTGATATAATTATCTTCTATTTCTAGATTAAGTTGTAGAGAGAGAATCATGAATATTTTTATGCATATCTGTAATGTAACGGGTCGATCTCCGTTATTCGTATATAACAGATCCTGTACACATCGTCCCAGGCTTAAGGCCTCTCTCTAGCTTCCTTTTGTTTGTTTGAACTAGGAAGCAACGTACATACATTGTCCAATGGAGATTTTCCAATTGACCTTCACTAGATTGCATAGGAATTGATTGATCAAATTTACTTATGGTCGGAAGACAAATCGAAGTGATCACTTTCCGGTTAAGTTCATTCGTGTCTTGGTCTAGAAGAGCAAAATATCATTTTCGTGCATTGCCCAATATTATCCAGAATTATTGCTTGGGTTTTTTTCATATATCTTTTGGCACCTAGCTATGTAATTGGATTAGCCTTAGGGTTATTGTATTGGCTGTTCCGTGTCAACCAAGAAGGTTTGGAAACCGACTTTTCATTTGTCTCATTGAACGAACAATTAGGGCTTAATCATCACATTAAGTTATGGATATATATGGACACAAGAAAGCTAAGGTACGTAGCACTATTCTATCAAATTAACGTTTCATTTGTATTTAGCAAAATGCCTCGACACATCCCCTAACAATTACCGGTCACCAGAAGGTAATTAACGATGATGAATCGATGATGACACTTTAACCACGAAACTAATTCCCTTTTCTTATGTAAAGTTTAAGTGTTTAACCACCACTAAACATTATGAAATATAGAGGGTCGTTAAAACTTTGAAGACACTTTTATATAGAGTCATTCTCTTAACCTAAATCGAAAAAACTCTAGCTCAAAGCGAGAGGAAAAACACATGAAAGAGATACGAAGTTGTATCCGTGTAAGGGGTTTGAGCTCCTTTTCCATGCCTATGCATAACCCTAGCTACGTAGAAGAATTAGGATTATACATATACACTGTAATCAGTTGTCATTAATGAAAAGTCAGGAAAGCATGTAATTCTTGTGTCTTATTTTTTACTCTAGTTTATCATTAATCTTACACGAAACTCTCGTACTACTAATCAATCATCAAACCAGACACTCAGACACATATTCAAAACATCTCAATAGTTAGATTAACCTCGATCATTAGTTTCAGAACTCCATGACGAGTCATCTTCAACCTCAACTAGCTAGACATTGACATCAACGAATTATGGGGGGAAAGAAAGATAGGCAAACCAAATGTGTCTCCTTGAAATTGAAAGTTTGCGTCTCCTTGAGGACTTTGCCAACCAAAATATATATCCACAAAGTCGCCATTTGATCCACTTCTGCCCTATCCCAAACCCTCCTTTCATTCGGCATCGCATAAAACGACAACGTTTGAAGGAGCTTGATCGTGATGATGTTGGACAACAAGGAAATGTGATTAGACAAGCAACGTGACCCATTCATATGACCCACTGACGTTGTTAGTTTGTTGCATTTTCAAGCCGTTAACTCTGTTTCGCCTTTTTATGGTTACGTAACAAGAATGTGTATGAACATATTTTAATGTAATTGTGACTTTACCCGCTTTGATTATCATAACTTTGTTGCAAACCCTATCCTGTTATCTCAAACTCGATTGTTATCCTCTTGTGGGTGCAATTACTGATGATGGATCTTTTTTCCATAAAGGATCGGCGACGAGAATCAGTGGTATTTGAAAACGAAAAAAAGAATAGCGACGATTCTTAATATGATTTCGAAACGTATTTTGTTCTTAGGAATTCGAATATGAGATATTCATGTTGATTAGTAAATACCAGTAGACCAATCCCTCGTTCTTTTCATGTAGGAATATTGATAGATGATTGTTAACCCGGTTTCGAAATTTATGGTGCGATAAACCTTTTTTTTTTTGCTTTTGTTATGAGAGTGACATAAATTTGTTATTATTGTTATGTGCTACTTAAACGATTAAAGTCACTAGATCTCAAGATTGAAGATCCACGGTAAACGTTGCTCGGTATCACTAGCTCAGTCTTTTAGATGAAGAACTAATCATTTTAACGGTGAAAAAACCCCCTCTAATGTCACGATATTGATAGACCATATCCTAATTCATTCTTATTAGCATTTATAAGTCACTGTTAACATGATCGAGTTGTAGTTGAAGATGAATAGAAGTTTAGAGCGCCCTTTTGGATCTTATTTTGTTGAAATTAGAAGGATTTCTCACTAACACTGTAACGTCCCGGCCTTTTTCTGTGAATTTATTGTCAGCTTTTGGCCTTACGCCTTACACGATTTTGATTTTGAGATGCAACATGGTGGCTCTTCAGGACGTCATATATCTCTACACTACTCAACACTGAACACGTTAAACTTCCGAATTCTTAAAAACTATAAGAACTTTTCCATTTCACTTCAAAAACACGTCTTGTAAGTTAAATCTTCACATTCCTTATAAACCATGAATTTTCTCTATTCTATCGATATGTGATTTGGCGAACACATTTCACATTCACGTATAATTTTTTTTTATCGAAAAAAAAAAGCCTCCATGTGTTGGATCTATTATTTAAAACAACAAATTGGTGAAGAATTGGGAGAATGATTGATGATGTGGGCAAGAGAGACAGGCCCAACTTGGCCTAACTGGATCAATAAATAACATGGACCCACATTTCTTGATCCAATCCGCGATTGCAGCTTCCTTCCTCTTATATGTCTATCATGAATCAACACAACATCGCCATTCTTATCTGTCAAGGAATCAAAAGAAGGGTCGTGCATGGTCATGAGACGTATATCACAAAATCTCTATTAATGGATAACGCACTTTTTCTTTCTATTTCCTCTATTATTTTCCCAGATTTTTTTTTCCAGATTCTTCCATCGTTTTACTCGAATGGGAATAAAAAAAATAATAAAAAGCCCGTCAATTATTAGTAATAAATTACATATATAACGGCTGATAGTGATGAAGACGTGTGTTTTTGTGGATGTAACATTGTAATATTCTTATCCTTAAAAAAAAAAAAACAGTATATATCCATGGATCCAGTGGTTCTTAAATTAGATTAGATAAGAATTGCCAAGTGTTCAATCACACTTTCACATTATCTAGTTAGCATTTTTTCTGTGTTTGCAGTTGAAGATATGGATAATAATTCAGCTCGCATGGGACCAAACAGACATTTAAACTAGAAAAAGATATTGTATATTAAGAATTTGATTTGTTCGGGATTATCGAATGAGATTTTGATTGATTTTAGCCACATTCGTATTATAAGAGTATGAGTAGTACGATGAGCATTCAGTAACATATATTATGTGATTTGGGATAAAATCGTATAGAAATTAAGTGTTAGTATTAAATAATTATGGAAGTTGATTCATTAAATATAAACCTTTTGATTTTTGGATTCGTCTGGATAGTAGAATTTAGATCTAGCATTTGGGATTTGGAATTCAACTTCCGGTAATTTGGAATTTAGATATAAAAAAAAATATATGAGATGAATTTCAAATACATATTCAGTATATAACTTGTGAATTTAAAATACACATCAACAACCGGTGATTTTAAATTCTCACATCTATAGATATGGCATGTTTGTAAAATTTTAAAAGTACATGTACCACTATGCAAGCCAAAAAAAAAAAGGTACTACCAAAATTTATGGACATGTTTGTGCACAAATAATTTTTTTTGGCAATAAATGGTAAGAAAAATAAATATTGTCCTATATGTAATTTTCCGACAATCGTAATGTGTGATCGGAAAGCTCGAAATTGATGGAAATGCCATAAAATCCAAAATACCAAAAACTTGCAAATGAATATCCAAACTATCAATTTGAATTACATTTATTTTAAAAGTAAATATTTTAAATTTGTACTTATTCTAAAGTCCAAACACACCCTACTAAAACACGGTTGATTTATCAATAATTCCTTCTTTTATCTGTTCAATCTCATATAGTGCCAAATAGTTTCCCCTCTCTTAATTACCTTATCAAATTGAAAATACCCTGGATCAAGCCTTATGTTATGTATAACCTATGAGTCGGCCCAAGTTGTATATTCCGCCCAGCCGAGACGTCTAATTGTCAAAGCAGTTGGGCTTGTCTACAACCGGCCCAATTACAAATGCTTGGATCAATCTGATAACCGTTACAGCCATAGTTAGTAAAATATGGTACGGAAAACTTGCGTATAAAATACGTACGGATATGTTACTTCTTCTTTATGCTAATTTTACGTTTATGCTAATTTTACGTTTAAGTACGTTAGCCTGGCTATCATCCATGTTTTGCCAGTTTAACAGCGTATTAAGAACTGTATATACCTAAATAGAAGCTCGGAAGAAGCACAATAAGATGAACATAGATAAATTTAAATGTTCGACCCGAAACCAACCCATACTCAAACCCATAACCGGCCCCGCCAATCTTGCTAAGTTATATGGCAGCTTGGCCTATTAACCCAGAAAGTACAACAACGTAGACATGAAAAGGGTTGTCTTATTTCTCTATCACAGCTGAATCAATGGCAGCAGAAACTCCTGCTAAGCAGCTCCTGTACATACATTACACAAATACACATACCTCTTCTCCATCCTGTCACAACTTGCTCGCCTTCACGGATCCCATTTCTTTAGCTTTAGCCCTCAGAACATGCTTCTGGATCTTCCCTGTAGCAGTCTTCGGCAAGGCCCCAAAGATAACAGACTTGGGAACCCAATAAGCAGGCATCTTCTCCCTGCAGAACCTCACAATCTCTTCCTCCATACCTCCTGTTCCCACACCATCCTTCAACGTAACGAACGCACAGGGCGATTCCCCCCACCGATCGTCGGGCCTGGCCACGATCGAGACCTCGTAGACCTTCGGATGGGTATACATCACGCTCTCCACTTCCAAGCTACTGATGTTCTCCCCGCCGGAGATGATAATGTCTTTAGCCCTGTCCTTGATCTCGATGTACCCGTCGGGATGCTTGACCCCCAAGTCACCCGAGTGAAACCACCCTCCCGCGAATGCCTCCTTGTTGGCTTTCTTGTTTTTCAGGTAACCTTTCATCACCCCATTCCCTCTCATCACTATCTCACCCAATGTGGCTCCGTCGGGTGGGACGGGGTTCATGGTCTTGGGGTCCACGACGTCGAGGCCTTCCAGGCCGATGTAGCGGACACCCTGGCGAGCGTTGAGGCGAGCTTGGGTGATGGGAGGGAGGTTGTCCCATTCGGGCTTCCAGGCACAGATCGTGGATGGACCGTAGGTCTCTGAGAGGCCGTATGTGTGTGTGACTTTGAAGCCCTTCTCGGTCATGGCGAAGAGGATTGAAGGAGGAGGGGCAGCGCCTGCTGTCATAACATGGACCGTTCGGGGTAAGGGGAGGACCGTGTCATGCTTTGGAGCATTGACTATGGTGTTCAGGACTACTGGTGCGGCGCAGAAGTGTGTGACGCCTTTGTTTGCTATGGCTAAGTAGACTGCCTTGGCTGTCACCTGTTCAAGCAAAGAGGGTGAAGGTAGATAAGAAACATTCACTTGAATAATCAGGTAACTACTAAATACCCAATGCTTGTGAAGCCATTGTTGAGTAGCTTTACCTGTCGAAGGCAGATGTTGGTGCCACAAAGAGCAGCAACCCCCCAAGTGAAACACCAGCCATTGCAATGAAACATGGGCAAAGTCCAAAGGTAGACTGCTCCTTCACTCATACCCCAATTCATAGGGCCGCTCAATGACATGAGATAAGCCCCTCTATGGCTCAACACGACTCCCTTGGGGTTCGCCGTCGTGCCAGAAGTATAACCCAAGGCAATGCTCTGCCACTCATCAGCTGGCGGCTTCCAAGCATACTCAGGATCACCGGCTCCCAAGAAGGACTCGTACTCGATCGCTCCTGCTGCCAGAGCTCGGTGGAGAGAGCTCGGGTCGCAGCCCTCGTCAGCTATGACGATCAGCAGGGGAGGTGTGAAGTTGGGATTGGTCTGGGACAGGATTTTCAAGGAATCCTGGGCCAAAGTGAAGAACTCCTGGTCGACCATCACTATGGCTGATTGAGAGTGGCCTAATAGGAAAGCGATGGTGGATGCATTGAGACGGATGTTGACACAGTTCACCACAGCTCCTGTCATTGGGACTGCGAAATGGGCTTCGTACATTGCTGGAATGTTCGGTGCTATTATCGCAACCTGCCATCGTCAATTGCAGAGAAAAGCAGCAAAGCTACACATCACACTTCGCAGCAACCGCTGAACAATAATTCAACCCAGATGCATAGTTTGACCAATTTCATCAAATCTTAATCAAATCCTGAATCTTTCAGCTATCTCTACAAATCTCATAAACCTCAAGATTCATAAACACAACAGAAGAAACAGAAGAGGGAAATGACCTTTCTCCTCACATATCAAACATCCAAACAATCCCCTTTTTGAACTCTATTTCGAGTTCCTATGATTTGAATGAACGATACCATACTTCAACCCAGATGCCTAGTTTGCCTAATCTTAACAGTTCTCAATCAAAGTTTCAATCTTTTAAGCTAGCAACTCTTCCCTCCAAATTTCCACAAACCCCAAAACGCCCAAGTAAACAGAATCAACTTCAGATTGAAATGGTCTTTGACTTTGGCATTTCCACAAACACATATGAGAGTACGAAACCGGAAAGCTCAGATTCGGCGATACTGAAGAGAAGCGGTGAGGGGGGAAGTCAGTTTGTAGTTACCGTAGAGCCAGCGCCGATGGAGTGGCCGGAGAGAGCGGATGCCAGCTTGCGGCAGCGCCGGTAAGTTTCCTGCCAGGTGTAGGTGAGGGATCCATGAACGACGGCGGGCCTGGTGGGATGGATGGCGGCGGCTCTTTCCAAGAACCAGAGCGGGGTGAGAGCTGTGTAGTTCGCCTCCTGCTTTGGGAGCTCGTCTATATCTCTCTGCGCCATTGTTGTCTGAAAAATACCTTTTCTCCGTCGCAGGACTTTTCTCTCCACAGCACAGTCTCCCCTGTTCTGGCAAATAAAAGAAAAGGAAAGCGCCTTCCAAATCCGACTGAGTCGACTTAATCCATTTTATATGTTAAATATGTGGCTGGTTGAACTCCTTTCCCAGCACGGATTCGCAGGACTTTATTTTTTAATCACCATACTTATACCTACTTAATCTTCTGATTTGATTTCGAACAATACGAAATCAACATGCATTTGTATTTCGCATATATTATGATCATTTAATTTCAAATAGTTCGTTTTCGAACAATATAAGATCAACATTTACATTTTGCATATATTATGATCATTCAATAGCAAATCTAACGATTAAAGAGGCGTAATCGCGCCCACATTTAGCAATCGGGGATTAGGTGCTAGCAAAAAACGCTACTAAAAACAACGAAATCACTACGGATTATTATAAAATCAATACAACATCTAATCTAAATCACTACTAACTCTTGGTTAGGACGGTGCTAACTCTTGTACAATTAGCACCGTAACCGCTCCCAGCCAAATCGTGATTAATCAGACGATAACTTCGTATTAAACAAACGGAGAAAACGAAGGTTACACAGAAAACGACAAGCAAGTTGCTCCACAGCAGCAAATTGGTTCCTGGCAGGCAAAGGTAATACTAAGATATACGCCTATAGATTCAGAAGCAACCAGACAAGTTAAAGCATGGAATCCTCTGGGCCACAACGTGATCTTCAAGAACCAACGCCAGACATCCGAATTTTCTAGGCATGGAGTCACGACGAAAAAACCAACATCATGAGTTGGACATGTTTGCCCATCTTTCTATATTACAAAACTGAACGAAGAAAGAACGAAAAAAGAAGACACATGATACCAAAGAAAATGGAGCCAGAAGTAGACTAGAGGCTAAGACTGTAAGACACATTGGATAGTGTATCTCTATACATGTGGTGTATGGTCACCCAAACTCGCTTATATGCATCACGTACGTTCGACATTAAACTCTGTATTGACACGATAAGAGCACGAAACTGAGATTTGTAATTTACACTAGCCAGGGTTATTTATTAGGACCATAATTGGTCATTATGATAAATATAACCTTTGCTTAACACCAAAGGCTAGATATCCACCTTCCATTCTATCCACATTTCACCATTTCTCTTAGCAGCCTCAAGAGTTTGTGTACCTCGTTTTATCATCGTTGTCGTCATATGTCTCCACAGCTTTCGGGTCCCTCACAATCTGCTCTTCTTCACAGGACCCATCTCTTTGGCTTTAGCTCTCAACACATGCTTCTGGATCTTCCCCGTGGCGGTCTTCGGCAAAGGACCAAACACCACAGACTTCGGCACCCAGTAAGCAGGCATCTTCTCCTTACAGAACTTGATGATCTCCCCAGCCAACCGTTCTTCATCCTCCTTTTTCACTCCTTCCTTCAATGTCACGAAAGCACATGGCGATTCCCCCCACCTCTCGTCCTCTCTCGCCACCACAGAAACCTCAAACACCTTCGGGTGACCGTACAAAACATTCTCAACCTCGACACTACTAATGTTCTCACCGCCGGATATGATCACGTCCTTCGACCTGTCCTTGATTTCTATGTAGTTGTCTGGATGCTTGACCCCCAAGTCACCGGAATGGAACCAACCTCCGGCAAACGCTTCCTCGTTGGCTTTCTTGTTCTTCAAGTAACCCTTCATAACTAAATTCCCACGCATCACGATCTCACCAAGTGTTTTGCCATCTGGTGGGACCGGGTTCATGGTCTTGGGGTCCACGACGTCGAGGGCTTCAAGGCCGATGTATCGGACGCCCTGACGTGCGTTGAGGCGCGCTTGAGCTATGGGAGGCTCAGAGTCCCACTCAGGCTTCCATGCGTTGACTGTTGATGGGCCATAGGTTTCGGAAAGACCGTATGTGTGGGTTACACGGAAGCCTCTTTCGGCCATGGCAAAGAGCACAGAAGGAGGAGGAGCAGCGCCAGCTGTGCTGACATGGACGAGTCGAGGTAGAGGATGGATGGCGTCTTCCTTTGGAGAGTTCACGATGGTGTTGAGGACAACTGGTGCAGCGGAGAAGTGTGTCACGCCTTGGTTGGCTATGGCTTGATAGACTGCCTTCGCTGTCACCTGCATACAAGAATTTTAGGCACAAGGGGAACTCCCATCAAGCATTAGGTGTAAACTAGGTGGAATATTCTCAGATGTCTGAAATGAAGCAGGGGTAAGAACTAAGGTTGCCTCCAGATCATCATTTGGTGGAGCAAATTCAATGACAACTACAGAGTTCATAGCGTGGAACAGCAATTTCGAGTGGTCGAAAAGTGTAAGATGGTTGGCAATTAGTAGTGCTGCAGCATCTAGAATCAATCGGTGGTATAGCAAATTCAGTACCAACAAGAAGGTCCCCTATTGCAAGACAGCATTTTTCCAGTGGTAGAAAGATGGTTGGTTATAAGTAATGCAGTAGCAAGAAATTACAATAGCGGAGCCACACCAACTACAAAATTCTGAACACAGGGCAACACTTTCCAAGGTTCGAAACAGAGAAACAAGGTTGGTAACCATATGAAATGCAGCATCTATATATCAATAATTGGCGAAGCTATTAGCTAATTCACTACCAAGTACAAATTCCCAAGCACAACACAACAATAACCAAGGCTCAAAAACTAGTGAAATACGGTTGGCCATTAGAAATGCAAGATCAAGAATTTTAACAATCGTAGCAAAATTTCTAAAGCTCAAAGCGAATTACCTGTCTAAGGCATATGTTAGTCCCACAAAGAGCAGCAAGCGACCAAGTATAACACCACCCGTTGCAATGAAACATGGGCAAGGTCCACAAATACACAGCAGCTTCATTCAACCCCCAAATCATCGCCCCACTCAACGACATCAAATAAGCCCCTCTATGGCTCAACACGACCCCCTTGGGGCTCGCCGTCGTCCCAGAAGTATACCCTAACGCAATGCTTTGCCACTCATCCTCCGGTGGCTTCCAAGCAAACTCAGGGTCACCACTTTCCAAGAACTCCTCGTAGTCCACCGCCCCTTTCCCCAGAGCATATTTCAGAGAACTCGCTTCGCAGCTTGGATCAGCTATCACGATCAAGAGCGGGTTGTAGCTCGTTTTTGTCTCGGAGAGTATTTTCAAGGCATCCTCGGCTAGTTTGAAGAACTCCTGGTCGACCATCACGACTGCTGATTCTGAGTGACCCAGCAGGAAAGCTATGGTCTGCGGGTTGAGACGGATGTTGACCGTGTTCAATACAGCTCCTGACATCGGAACCCCGAAATGGGACTCGTACATCGCGGGTATGTTGGGCGCAATGATCGCAACCTGGCCAAGCCATTGAAGCAGATTTTTACATTTCTTTTTGCGCTAACCCTAACATGGAAGTCAGCTACGACAAGTAATCACTACCAGAAACAACAACAGCAATCAAATTCAAACCGAGCAGGACAAATTTGAGGGTTATCGAATTGGACAAACAGTTAAACCAAAGTATCTGAACTTTGAGATCACGATCGTTCATGCAAGACAAAATTGTCAAGTAGCTAGTGAAGTTACCGTGGCGCCGGCGCCGATGGAGTGGCGGGAAAGTGCGGAGGCCAATCGGCGGCAGCGGCGGTAAGTGTGGAGCCAAGTGTAGCGCTGCGATCCATGGACGACGGCGGTTCGGTTGGGGTGGACGGTGGCGGCTCTTTCCAGGAACCAAAGCGGAGTCAAGGCGGTGTAATTGGCCGGTTGTTTTGGCAGATCGTCTATGTCTCTCGCCATTTTTGCCGTAGCTCGATTTTGCTCTCTCGCTCTCGCCGGAGGAAAAATGGATCACTGTCGGGTTTTGTAGTGATAATAAAGTGCGATTTTCGGGTTGGTTGGGATGGAGGAATGCGGTGGTCAGTTTGGTCACGGAAACGGTGGCTAATTGCAATTTGACTTTTGTTTCTAATGATTTCCTAAATGGATAACCAAGGCGAATTTGTCAATAAACAATGACAAAAAGTGAGAAATATGAAGGCATAAGATTAGTACGTATTTAGGAATTATTGGGTAAATTTGGTTTCTTATATAAATAAATCAAATTTGATGGTTGGACGGACTAGTATAAATGTTATATCAATGGAATAGTATTTCGGTCTAATAAGTGCACTTCAATTATTCCTCAAAGTAAGAAATTACTTCAAAATTTCTTTTAGAATTCTTTTGTGATTTCTCCGCATCAAAAGCATTATTTTCTTCACACGGCTTCGTCTTCACTAATAAAACTTTTATATTCACAATGCATCACTACTCTCTCATTTTATCATGCATTTCCTCAAAAACAAACGGTAAAAGGTTGAAAATGTGAAACGTTATTTCAAACTACTAAAAGTTACCTCATTCAAGTGATAAATATTATCAATAATTCGCTCTTTTCTTCAATCATTAAATTTTTTATATCCATTATCCACTATCAATAATCTATTTCTTCTTCTCAACGACGTCATAATCTTATTACTGACTACCTCCACCAATAACAAACTCTTTCTTCCCAGAATTTCACTATAAGCAAAAGTTAACTCGTAAATGTTTTGCAGTAATGAAACACCATTTTCGAAAAGTTAAGTTTTAGGGTTAATATATTTGTATTGTCTGAACTTTTCACATAATAAACATCATGGTCAATCTTTTCGATCTATAACATCCTGGCCCATACTATACATCAAACTAACGAAATTGGCCAAATCCGATGTTTGACCGTTATCTTGGATGGTCAAACACGTTGACTAACGGTCATCGCGCCAAATCACTGCCAAGTCATCAACTTTCACTTAAATTTTGTAATATTTTCCATCTATTACCATTTTTCTTTTTCTTGGTTCAAAATAAAAACAAATTTTCTTTCTTCTTTTGGTTCAAAATGAAAAATAAAATCGCACTAGGTGGAAAATATTAAAAATTTTAAGTGAAAGTTGCTGACTTGGCAGTGACATGGCACGTTGACTGTTAGTCAATGCGTTTGACCATCCAAGATAACGGTCAAACATCGAGTTTGGCCAATTTCGTTACTTTGATATATAGTTTGGGCCAGGATGTTATAGATCGAAAAGATTGGCCAGAATGTTTATTATGTACAAAGTTCAACCCTTACAAATATATTAACCCTAAATTTTATACTCAATCAATATGGAACAATCAAAGTAATTTTTATTCACATAATTTACACAATTTTTGTGTGCAAAGAAGATTGAAATCCAAAATTTTAGTAGGAAAATGGTTAGTTTTTGTTTGGCCCTGCTCTAAGTTTTACAAACACAACTTATGCTTGGAGATATTTTTGAAATGAATAATGAACTACATCATTAACTATTCTAATTTCTTCATTAGAATGACAACCTCTAACTAAATGCAAGGACATGCGAGGATAATTTTTTCTTTCTTTTTTCCTGGTGGAGGACAATAATATAATTTTCCAACACACCTTATTCTTCCTCATCCATCGCGTTCTCAATTTCTTGTCCATATGAAATACTAACGGAACTCTATATGAATATTGGTATGCTTTAGAAGAATGAGCATTGTTTTTTTTTTCATCCATTGCAATAGCATTCATATTTCATCTTTTTGTGATAGATAGTGTTTTCAACTGTTTGGTTCTCCGTCGTTACTACTTTACTCTCCGTAGGCACATGACATTCGCAACACAAAAGGTGAACTACATCCAACACACATTTAAAATTTCTCTAGCATGCTTCACCTGATGCAATGTAGCGACAGTCTAGATATGCTTTAATCTCATCAATACAAATATCATTTCTCTGTCTTCAAGTTTTTTAATATACTTGAACAAATACGTGATAGCCGAAACAAAATAGTAATTTAATCATATAACTCGAAAAGTTCAAATAATGCAATAATAAAGTAACAAAAATCTATTGAAATCTTAAAGCACTATATATTTACTCTTTCAATTTGGTTTCACCATATTTCGATCTATATATTTCCTAATCGTAATAATTTAGAGTTGTTGGAAGAAGATTATTATGAATTATATCACACACTAACACGAACTACAAAAATACACACTAATACTAATATAAAAAAAATATTATGCACCTTTGATTAACAAACCACTCTTTTCTTTATAGAGATTAACAAACCACTCTTAATCTTAATCATTCTATTCATATTTTTCTGCCAATATAATAATACAAAAACAATATGCCAATATAATAACCATCCTATTTATATTCATAATTCTCTTTTTTTTTTCTTCCCCGGCCGTCCCGTGCGTGTAAGCCACATGCCTTTGCCGACTGCTTGGAAATAGGCAGATGGGCTAGAGGGCCATTTGAATTAATGGAAAGACCAAAAAGTCCTCCCATTAGTTGCGCAGAAGCAAGGAAAAAGAACATTGAGTGTATGCGGGTGCGGAACCTCCATATAGAGATTCTTAGATTAGATTCTTAGATATATAAGAAAAAGAATTAATATATTTGTATGGCCCAATTTTTCACATATATTAGTATTACGGGAACTTAAACCATTTAAATCTAGTTACTAACTTTACTTCTACTTCCTCTTCTCTTATTATATGTGAATTTTAGTTTATAGGGTATGAACAATTTAAACTATATACTACTAATTTTTTCGTTCAATATTCAATCGGTCTGAAAATGAGAAAACTTGACTAAAATTTCTTCAATTTTCTCTCAATCATACAATTATAAGGTACGAAGTGACAAAATTTCGACATGTAGTTACATTAGTTATATAAACTTAGATTATTCATCCTTTTTTAGCAAACTATTTATTTGTAAGAATGACGAAAAAACACTATAATATTATGCGACTATAAGTTGATTAATAAGTAATGTCATTTCCCTAAATAAAATAAAATTCTAATTTCAATGGGATTTAATTGTTGACTTCGTCACAGGCAAATTCCAGCACTTTGTAGAAATATGAATGTTATCAATTATCATATGGTGCAAAAGTCGTCACATAAGAAAGTGACAAATTTGAGTTATTGCATCCTCATATGATCAGTTACATCTTCTTAGGAAATAATTTTTCACATTTTCCCGGAAAAAACACAGGCTTGAGACATTTTCCGTGGGGTCGGCCTGGTTTCTCAACCCTGCCCAAAAGGTTCCTGAAACACAAGCCTAGTATACATTGGGCCGGCACAAGCCGGTTGACACTTGACTCTAGACCGCTCCCACCTGCTCATGCATTGTACTGGAGTTCTAAGATCCAAAGAGTATATAGTATAGACACCAGAAGAAGGGAAAATGTTTATTTATGAAGATGAGGAAGGAAATATTTTACATAGCCTAATGAAAACGGTATGGCGTTAATAAAGATGTGAGTAGATTATTTTTGTATTATACTCAATTCATTAACAATAATGTTACATAAAACTAATAAATTTATTTATAAGAGTAGATAGTGATAACAAAAGTCAGATAACAATTATTGTACAATCTTTAATAATGCATTTGTATGTCATTGTAAGAAGTGTGTGAATGGATATCATAAATAATATATGACATAAGAGTTGATAATGATAAAGTTTTTTTTTATTAAAAGATTTTATAATAATAAGATAAATTGATAATGATTGAGCTCAAAATGTTAATAATGGCTAAGCAAAATTAATTGGGCTCCATTAAAAATCAAGGTTGTCAAACCGAATTAAGCCATCAAGGGTACAACATACCTTGAATAAGAAAACGCTATCTAGACCTCAAATTAACATGAACTTTGGGCATGATACTATACCCTAATCTTTGATGAGTGAACCCTAGGTCTTAGTTTTCAAAATCATAGAGCTAACCCCTAAGATTGTGCATGTAATTTATTGCATATATTTTGACGTATAATGACCTTCGATTTTTGTTTCTAATTAAATTGATCTTAATGTATGAGATTTATGGAATTAAGACCTAGATGTTAATCTTTAAGGGTTTGGGAATAGCATCAGATGTCAAACTCCGGTCAATTCGAGGTCCATACAGTGTTTTCTTACTTAAGGCATATTGTATCTTTAATTTTAGCCAAGGTACGATAGACTCACCCATATATATATACATTATACAATAGTGACTTACTAAATTAGAAATTACGATAATCAACTCACCATCCACACTCAAAAAAGAAATGCAAACCGGCAAAATATCCTTTGACAACAACACCCAACAAAACTCTACCATCCCCCCCCCCCTCCATTTTCAGAAACACCATTCATCCAACTTCCTTCCTTCATTTCCCCTTCAAACTCAAAGATCCATTCAATCTGACGAAGAGGAAGCCGAATTCTAAAAAAGCAGAGTGTATAAAAAATCACACGCTTGTATAAGGTTCCCGAATAAGTTGGACTTGGCGGTAATCCTCCAGAATTATGGTAACCAACTTCCTTAGACCAATTTACTTCGATAATTTAATAATGCAATATACTACGACTATTCTCAAAATAACAACAAGCTTAGATAGTAAGTAAATGATACCGAGGATTTACGTGGCATTCCCTGATTTGGGCCAGTACACGGGAAGAACAGCTCAAGAATATTTCTTCACTATTGCAATAGCATTTTAGAGAGAATTTCGAGATACTAGGAAATAGGACACACGATGTTTCCCATAACAATCTCAATATTTCACTCACAAGAAATGAGGGCTAGAGAATTCAATTCCCAACTGCCATTTTGGTGCTTTAATCACCGCCAATCTTGTTGGCCGCTACTCCACCACTTGTAGACGGTTCCAACATGATCATAGCTACATCTTCCCTTGCCGCATTCCAATACATAGCCAGATTAAACCAATGCTCATATATGCCTCCGTTCACGATCAGCGGCACGAATGTAGCAGTTCCTCTACGCCAGTACACCTGGCATGGTGTCTCTCCATCCACACCCAACCCCGCCAGTTCATGTTGTACCAAACCCATGAACCCTGCATAGTCATGCTCACGAAGCTGGGAACGTTGGATGAAGGTAGATCGCTGTGAACTCATACAAACTCCCAAAAAAGTAGCTTTCATACCATGTGTGTTGATCATCTATTATGCTCAGCCAGCTTGTGGGGAGATTCACCAATGAAATCCGATCTCCAGCAACCTCAATCCCTCTTAATACCTAGGCCACTACGCTTAATCCTTCGAATGGTTGAAGACCATACATTCTCATATCTTCCATTACTATCTGCCCCTCCACTAACTCGTCAACCACCCTTGGATTTTCCTTGACATTAAACAAAACACACACAAAGATATGGTGAGAGGGGAAGAAGTAGCTAGGAGAATCGCTTTCATAAGAAGAATGAGAATATCTCCTCACCTCAAGATACATAAGGATGTTCCTCCACAACCTCTAATCTGAGGCGAAATGACCCCCCCGTGGAGACAAAAAGATCCTCAGCGACCCCAAAATGCTGCTCTATGTCGCCAAGAACGAATAGGTTCACAGCTTCCGCATTCTTGTATTTGATCCAAAAAGAATATGGAAACAAAAAAGAAAAATAAAATGGAAACTCTAGAAAAGTATAGTAGAATATGAATTATTAGTTTTAGAATGTAGTTAGACCAAAAAAAGATTTGAATAAAGATTTTCTTTTTTCGAACGATCTGATCTACTCGAGGAATCCTTTTTCGAAATATTATAATATTATGTAAATGAATCCACTAATAAAAAAAAAATGAAAGAAAAAGGATAAAAATAAAAAAGTTTTTTTTGATTCAAAACACGTGAAGAAGACAACATCTCATAATGGGTTTGCGTAATTACTTAATTTTGAGTAACCACGGTGGCTATCATAATCTACACCGTTCATTTTTCTTATTTTCCCACTTTTTTAAATTGACGATTAAGATTATTCTAAGGATAATTTTGGAAACGAAAATAATAACACATCTGATTAATACATTTTAACCCTAAATATCTCCCTATCCGCCTCCCTCTCCTCTTTCTCCCTGGTGCCCGCTCGCCCCTTCTCTTCCCCCCACCTCCCCGGCGCCAGCCAACCTTCCTCCCTCCATCTCTCTATCTCTCAACTCTCAAGAGAATCCCCTCTCTCCCCAACCCCACACCACTCCCCCTCTCACCCACCACTATACATCACCACCGTTGCCCTACTCCTCCTCCTCCCATCTCTCTCTCTCTCTCCTCAGAAGCTCTCTCTTACAGACGGCTGGAAAAGGTGGGATGAATACAAATCCTAGATCTGGCTTTTTCCGTAGTGGTATTGTTTTTTCAGATTTGTATTATTTTTTTCACATTAGTATTGATTATCATGTAAGCGTATTGCTTTTTTGTGGAATGGTAGTGTTCTTTTCTGTAATGATAGTGTTTTTCGCATTAGTATTGTTTTTCTCTTTTTTTTTTTGCATTAGTATTGATTATCATGTAATGTATTGATTTACATGTATTGATATTGATTAAATCTGCAATGATATTGTTGTTTTGTGAAATTGTAGTGTTTTCCGGCATGAAAAACTTGTGTTTGAACTCAATGAATGCACATTTGACTTCTTGAACAACGACAATAACACGGTTCACTCCTCTCCGAACAATGTTCGAACGAGGGTGTTTGATGTTTTTGATGGTTTTTTGGGAACAAGCTAAGTTACGTTACTCTACTCCTATGGAGGGTCAGTGAGAGCTCCAGAAACTAAATGCTACGACTATGGCTACATTGCAGAGAAAAAGAGAGAGTTTGACATGTGTTGTCAAATGTTTGGTTGTGGAACCCTTGCTTCGTTTTCGTTTCTCCTATTTATAGTCACCCCTTGTAACTGCTGTGTAACCGCCTCTTGGTAACCGCTGCTCTACTGCTTGGTGTTTGATGTAGCTTGCTTGACGCCTTGACTGTCTTGCGTGCTTGCCACTTGATGACTCCACTTGATAGCTAGCACCTTGTGCCAAGGAGGTGTCTTACTTGGTGAGTGAGGGCTTCACACTTGGTGATACTAATGCTAACCATCCTGGCATGACATCATGTTTGATACTAGGATGCTTGGGGGTTTGATGGATGATCACTGACCCTCTTGAGGGTGACATCATGCTTGGCACCCTAGTGCTTGATAGGAGGGTATGCAACCTGCTTGAGGGGTGAGTGGCGTGGATACTTAGCCAACTTCCATCCCCACTGTTTCTACACCTTTTATATGATGTCATGCTTGACACCTAGTGCTTGGTATGTGGAAGCTAGGTGCTTGATTGCGGGGCAGGTCTCTTTGCACGACATCATCCTTGACACCTTAGCGCAAGGTAGGTAGGCCACATGGTACTTGGTGCTTGACCCCCCTTGGACGATGTCATGCTTGACCCCCCTTGTACTAGTAAATGGTAGGTGGTCGAGAGAAAACTCCATACTTAGTTGAATCTCATCCCCACTGTGATTGTAGGGTAGGTGAGTGGTGAGATGTCACTAGCACGTCTAGGGGTACTCGTGATAGCTCTCCTTGTACGACATCATGCTTGACACCCTAGCGCAAGGTAGGTAAACGACATAGTGTTTGAACTTTGAACCCACTTGCATGACATCGTGCTTGACCCCTCTTGTGGTGGGTTTCCATACTTAGCCAAATTTTGCACACATCATGCCGACTTGGGTGGTTGATGTTGAAGGGTGTCAACGCTTGACACTTAACCCCTCTGGGATGAGAGGTGGGTGTTTGGTGGGTCAAGTGGTGTGTGTTGAGGTACATGGTATGAAACCCAAAATACCATCATTTAGGCCCAGCTTAAACCAATTAATTAATATGGTTAAGTTGGCCTTATAAATCACTACCACTCCTTGAAAATAATCAATGTGGTATTGAGTGATTATTTTAGTGGTAAACAGGTAGTGTTTTAATTTCTCGAATGGTATTGCTGTTTTGTGCATTGGTAGTGTTTTCTTAATGGACTGATATTGTTTTATTGTTACAACGTATTAGTTTGGCTGAATGAAAACAAGGAAAAGATCGAGAAAAAGAAGGAAGAGAGATCTGGCTGGAGATTGTGGAAGTGAGAGAAAGAGAGAGAAATTTGTAATTAATACATTTTTATAACTTCCTAAAATATAATTTGTTAAAAGAAGGTAATAATATTATTTTTTTGTCATACCAAATTTGCCCTTAGTAACCACGGTGATTACTATTAATAGTAATCAATGTTCCCCAACATCTCTGGTACTATAAACAAAGCAAAGCTCCAAATACTGATACCTACTTGATTCAACGAAAGAAGAAGAACCATAAGAACAAGAAGAGCAACGAAGGGATCTGAAATGGATTTACCATCAGACGCGAGTCCTCGATGATCTCCGCTTCCTCGGCCTTCTCCGCGAGTACCTGAAATTGCAAATCGACGAAAGCTCAAATTGGAGCCAATGAACGAATTGTAATTACATGAAGAACAAGCACGAATTGAGGAATCAAGAGCGAGAATGGCAATGGGCAGGTCCGGGACGGGTATCTCGATACCCATACCCACCTCATGGCAGGTCGGGTAATTTATCATGGGGCGTGGGTCGGGGCAGTTCAACCTAATGGGTGTGTAATTTATATGAAAAACATAAATAATATTCGTTATTTTCATTATAAGACCAAAAAACAAACCATAATATTATAAATGTAGTTAAATTATTGGAGAACTTGAGGTTTTCACTAATTTAAAACTTTATTATAGCTAAAATATGATGTAATGAAAGGAAAATTCTTGTTAATTTGACTGAGATTACATGTAATTTATGCAAGAACGGATCAATAAATGGTGCGGGTCAGAGTAGGTCGGGTCGATGGGAGTACCCATGCCCGCCCCGGCCCACCTACGAGGCGGATCAGATCGCCCCAAACAGGACAAACAAATCAGGTAAAACGGGTCAGGTCGAAATTGTCATCCCTAATCAAGAGAAAGAAAAACATGTGAAGAAGACAACATCTCTGATATTCTAAACAATTTGAGGCTATAATTTCCCGCTGCTTAATAGTTGTGGCTAATATATTGTATTTACCCAAAAAACTATTATATTACAAACTAAATTTGTACAAATTCATACAATAATTTATAGTACAACCGAACATGTATCTAAATTTTATGATATAAATTTAATTTGTAATTAATCATTTTCGTACAAATTCATTTCCGATACAAACTAAACTTGTATATTCAACATTATGATATAAATTCAACTTATACCGGTTGAATCGCCATAGCTGGAAATGTACATTTCTTATAATATATATAATTACAGTAATTTACAAAATTACGATCATCAAGTCATAAAAAAAAATGCAAACCAGGAAGCAACTGGAATCCGGATTCTTTCCAAACGGTAGCTGTTCACCACACGTCAGAACATCGTGCGGCCCCGCCTCTTCCCTCTCGACTCGTCGTCGTCCCCTTTGCCGCAAATCTGCTCGCCGTGGAGGACGTTGATGGTGGCGTCGAACCCCGGGACCCGCTTCGCCAGGGTGTCGTTCTTGGTGGGCTTCCAGTTGCCGACGAAGGCGTCGTGGGCCGACGGGAGGTTTTTCTTCTTGTCCGGCGTCATCCACTTCCACATGGCAGCTTGAAATGCTAAGGTGGCGTTGTTCTCCAGGTGCTCCGGGCAGCGGCGGAAGCGGGGTTTGGAACTACCCGTCCTCTTTCGGAATATAAATATTTTATTAATAAATATAATTATAACTAATAATATCCAAACAATTCATTCGTAAATAATAAAAATTAACCAACTAATACACACTCTTAAATAAGTCAATTTCAATATACTATACTAAACAACCATTAGCAATTAGCAAATGTTGAATTCTACTTAGAAGTTTGGGCAAAAAGTCGAATAGGCATAAGGAAAAATATATATCCGATTAGGTTTTTATACCAATTGAGATTTCGTTTATAGTATAATAAATTAATTGTATGTCAATTTATAAACAAGTAATGAGTTATGTTGTAGTGACGAATGCCTTATATTACCTTTGTATTTCATTCTTAATATGATTATATATGAGTATTATATTTCTCTCTCAAATCTTACCCCTGTCCTCGGACAATGCCAAACATGCTTGGCTCTACCTATGGCTCCGGCCTCCGGGTGGGTAAGGAGGTCCACCTTCAGGGCTTCCCCTGTTTTGCTGTAGTTGTAGTTCATGCAGAGTGAAGAGCAATGCGATCCAGATGATTCAAAAAGAATTTTGGCGTATGCTGAGCTCTGTTTTAAGAATCGAATATTGAACTGGAAAAATAAGTGGTTTATCGTTTAGTTCTTAATTGTGATAAAATCGTTACTAGAATTGTTAGTGAACAGGGTCTAAGTCCAATCCTAATCACTAACCGGGTCATGTAGGGTCAAGCATCTAACTAGACCCGATCGACCTTATTCTTCCTTGGTCCTGTCTAGCTCGTATGGGTAGGACCAACAGAGCGGATGGGTTGACTCACATCAGTAAACATATTCTTTTTTTTTAATCATAATTTTGTAAAAAAATCTTATTTTTCTTACAATTTGTACCTAAACATAATTTTTTACAAAAATGTTTGAGAATTTTTCTGGTAAAATTACATTTTAGTATCTTTATATTTTTTTAATCTACATTATAGTACATAAATTTTTAAATATTTTTAAACTATTCGTCTATAACCATCCAAGCAAATGAACGAAACTACTATTGTAATGGGTAATGGGTTTGATCATGCTACTCGTCCAGCCGCAGATGATTTACTCTTATAGCACTCATCCACTAACGTCCAAAGTTTAACGATGAAAATCGTACCAGTAAAGCGGCAGAGTGAGGTTATGTCGCTAGGGGGGACAGTGATTGGGCTGGAAAGTGGAGCCCAAGTCATGGTCTAATTTGGGCTTTGTAGATGGTGTTTTGAGGTTTGCTTGAAAGATGGGCTTCAGTAGCATTTTTGTTTAACGCGTGGCCGCGTGAGAGATCATTAACATCGGCAGGCTGGAAGTAGGGATGGCAATGGGGCGGGTTTGGGGCGGGTTTGCCTAAACCATCCCCATCCCCATCTTCAAATACCCAAACCCATACCCGCCCCATACCCATGCGGGGGAATGTTTTGCAAACCCATCCCCATACCCGTGGGTTTCGGGTACCCATGGGTAATACCCATCCCCGTACATCCAACATTATTATACCTAAAACTTACAAGAAAAGTTTTAATTATAACCATAAACAAACCTATTATATCACGAAGTCAACAAAACACGGTCATTTTCTAAATACGATTCAAAGAATATGATCCTAAAACATCCATTAATACATAATATAGACTATAATATTTTTGAAATTATTATGCTCTAACTCTTGATACATTTACTAAGTAATAATTAACTAACATAATTTTGTTGACAAGGGGGAAAGTGAAAGAGTGGAAGGAGAATTGAGGGAAATGAATTAGGTTTTGATTAAGGTGGTTACTCAATTGCATTTCTACTATTTATTTTCTCGAGTTATCATCATCATCATTGATAGATTACAATTTAATCCACGTATTTTTTGATATGTGAAGAAATTCTCTTGGTGGGGCGGGTATGGGTATGGGTATGGGGCGGGGGAGGCTAAAACCATACCCGCCCCATACCCATCAAACCTTTTGCGGGTTTTACCCATACCCGCCCCATACCCGGTCAAAGCGGGGATTCCCCGCGTTGACTGGGTATGGGGCGGTCGGGTACCCGCGGCCATGGGTTTGATTGCCATCCCTAGCTGGAAGGCCATTACTTACTCAGGTGCATGGTTGTCATGCCGGTGGCATGCCACCCGGTTGAACCTGGTTTAACTTGTGCCGGTCATGAAACAGGCATGATACTACCGGCATGATCGATATGATCGACTTAAGCATTCTAAGTAAAATGATATCATTTTAATGAATTAAAATAATAATTTATTATTCATTTTATGGATGTAATAGTTAAAAGTTGATGATATTTGTTGGATTGTAACTAAATTGTCCACAAATATGTTTTATAAATGATTAAATACATTAGATATTAATTGTTTTCACATTTTTTAGACCGGCATGAACCGGTTATACCACCGGTCGTACCATTCCACTTGCCAAACCGGCACAACGGTATAAACCGGTTTGACAACCTTGCTCAGGTCAGGAGTCATTGAATTGAATACCAGTCGTACAATTTTTGGGTAAAGTCGTAAAGGAAAGGTCCTAATTTTTTTTATATTTTTGCTGTACAACTTTTTTGGGTTGAATCAGAACCGAATTTGTGCTAATCCATAAATTTTAGTAGTTAAAACAAACTATAATTGTGTCGAAATTGTTGTCATACAACGACAGCAAAAATTAAACAACTACCACTATAACTCCAACGCAGCAGCCAGCCACCACACACGTTTAAATGCTAATATCTTTTGTTGGTGGAGCATTTAACTGTTAATTTAATTTTTTTCTGGTCTTTAGCAGTTTTGGGTCCAATCAGAGGTAGCCACATAACTACTACTCTCAAGTTTTATATATGAACTGTCTCCATCGCCTTGCATTGCAATTTGCATGAGAGGATTGACGACTTCTTTCCTTTTCACATTTCTTTCCTTACAAATAGAGCTAGCTTTGTTTCCTTCCACCTTTTTGACAATTCTAAAATTCCAGTGACCGCGGTTGCAAAGAAGTAAAGTTTAACTCGGACGAGAGGGTTCGAGCGAGCTAAAGACTAATGCAGAGGGAGTTCCATATGTCTAACTGCATTCGTACAGTGTCGGCATGGCAAAGGTAATTAGTTGGTTGCGAATCAAGTGTGAACTATGTGAACTGGAACATGGGAAAGTGAGAAAGAGTTGCCTTTGAGTTTGAGGGGGATTTGTTCCCCAAATACACGTCTTATCAACAAGTCATACTAATTTTTTTTTTCCAATATACACAACTTACTAGAAAAAGTCGTTCGTTGTTGTATCAAGCGATCTAGGTATTGGTTCGCTGTGAATTGAACCGGGGGAGTCACCCAAGATCACGACCAATCGAAATGAACTGGCCTCGAATTAGTTAGAATCGAGGGAAACAAGAGCGACCAACCTAGATCGCTGATAAAACCAACGATTTTTTTCCAGAAAAATCGCTCGAGCGTTTAGCGATATGAAACTAACACACGTCAAAGTTTCAAACGACTGTAACTTTGCATTCGGTTATATGATTGTAGCAAAACATTTTTTTTTTATTATCCCGCCTAGCTTTTTTGATTTATTAAAAGACTCCAATGGTAGAGGTGGTTTGGTCCGCCTTCCTCGGCCCTCGCCAAAAGTTATCATTTTGCTGCCCCAAATTGGCCATTTTGTGATGTCCGTAACTTTGTACTTCGCTTCCTGATCATCACAAATCTCAAAAAGAATAGATATTTTTAATTTAAGGAATTTCAAACTGATTATCACAAATTTCAAAAAGAAAAGATTAAATATTTTTAATTTGAGGAATTTCAAAAATAAGTTTTTGTTTAATTTTCACCTCTCCGCATGAAATTTGTTATCACGTCATCTATTGTTAAATATTGTAGCATTCATACGCAGTTATTATAAAATTATAATGCATTGTATTCATGTATTGGTACCATTACTCTTCTCTAATTTATTTCTTTTTTTCTCTTTCAGACCAAATAAAAATAATAGAGCTTAGGGGTTGTTTGCTTCATGGATTTGGATAATGAATTTGGGTACCAAATTCCATCCAACATGGATTTAAGAAAAATTCATTGTTTGCTTGCACATTTTTAGAGACCTAATCCGTGGACCCCACAGACTTGTAAATCACACATGTTGATGTGGGATTTAGTACATGACATAAATAATAAATTCTTGATGGAATTTTACCTATATACCCTCATGGACTTTTAATATTTCAAGATTACCCTCAAATTTAACTACTATACATTATAATTAATCAATTAATTAAAAATAAATAAACAATATAAATATTCAATTAATGTGCAAACATGAGTTAGATTTTTTATGTAAGTTCTTATGTTCTAGTTTTCTTTGACCTTTTCGTGGTACGTGTAATTCTTTGTTCTTCCGATTCTAATATATGTTGTTATATGTTACTTTTGAAAAGGATGACAAAGAATTGGTAACGGATTATGTTACGTTAAAAGTTAAAACAAAATTTCTTCATTTTATTATTATTGTCCTTGTGACAACTTTATTCTTATTTAATAGTATGTATTGTCATTGTTTTGTGTTCATATCATAAACATGTCAAACATGTAGAAAAGGAAAGTAAGGTGATTTTGGACTTTAAGTACTAAATAATCTCACACCTTCAAATCCATGATAAAACATCTCAACAAACAAAAGATTGTTACAAATTCATAATGTCATAAATCCTTGATAAATCATTGGAATTTTAATTTACAAAATCCCCATTTTCAAATTCATGAAGCAAACGACCCCTAAAAATAGTTGGGCCGAAAGGCTTTCTCGGAATGAAGAGTTTTGGTGGGTCATGAATCTTTGACTATCCACAGCATGACCCATGAGCAATCACTTCCCTTCGACCTTAGACGCCCACCGTGGCCACTGGCCTGTACTTGAGATTGCTCCCAAGCCCTAATAAAAATTTTCTTTATAAATTTGATAACTAAAATATTATTCTTGCTAAAAGGAGAAAAACAATACTCTCTATCTCTCGACTCCGAATATAAAAAAAAATGCTAGAATCAGGTTTAATAATTGTCGCAAGTCGCAACCTTTCTCTTAACAAATATTTTAGTTTTACTAGGAGTAACTGGGCTGCACATCTTGATTTATCACTGTTTAGAAGTTACCAAAAAGCACCGTATTATTGGTACAACCTGTCCCTCATTAAAGAGGGAAAAAATACAGTGAACTGAAACGCTCCAATCAAATAAAATAACCGCTAAAATTCTAAAAAGTTGGGATTATTTATTATTATATATATGTCTCCGTCCCGTTCCAGTCTCTGCAAGACCAGCGGTGGTTGGTATTTTTCCGTTTGGTATTATTTGAGCTTGTGGCTGAACGAGCCGCCATTGATAAAACTTCACCCTCCTGCTAAGTGCTGACAGTCTTTCCAGCTCGTCTGTAGAGAGAAGAAAACGCGAAAAGCTAACATCCGCCGTACGTTTCTCCTTCGGGCAAATTTTTTCTTTCTTCGTCATTTGGTGTCTGCTTTTTTCCTGGAAATTGACTTGAGTTTTTTTTTTTAATTATCATTTTTGTCTGGTTAAGTTCAGTCGATCGCACTTCAGCTGAGCTCTCGAGCAGGTAGCTGGCGATGGCGACCGGAGTGCCAGGACGGCTCGTCGGCTCGGAGATTCATGGATTCCACACTCTCCAAGGTACTGTACGGTCGATGATTTTCCTGGAAAATTTTATGGGTAAAGTTAGTAGCCGCGTCGATGGAGCTAGCTGGGACCACCGTCCTTTGTCGCTAGGTTTTTTTTTTTCGCCCGCTCAGCGCCGAAATCTCGAGCTCTGTTTGGCTGTTCTGGCATCGTTCGTCTGCTTTATCTGATGATGTAAAGAGGAACTGAAATTAACCAGTAGAAAATTGGCGTTTAGCCAGTCATTTTCGAGGTCCATTTAGTTTGGGGAGAACTCGAATCAATTGTTAATGTTTGGAGAGAACCTGAATCAAGGCACGGAATGAATTGGACTTGGTCTATTTTTGGTTTTACTCCTAGTCTGTCACCAGTTGCAGTTGTTTTTAACTTTGATGACCTGTTGTTGTTCTGGCCGCAACAGATTTGGACGTGGTGAACACGTTGGAGGAAGCGAAATCGCGATGGCTTCGTCCTAATGAGATTCATGCCATCTTGTGTAACCACAAGTACTTCACTATTTATGTCAAGCCTGTCAACTTGCCCAAGAGTAAGTTCATCTTCATGATAATGTTGTCATGTTAAGCTGAATTCTGATGGTGGCTGTGTGATTTCTTATTCATTAGCAAGCAAGTCACTCGGTCGAAAGGCAGCTGCAGGTTTACCGTACATTCCTTGTGTGTAATTGATGTGCATCAACTGATTCTGTTGCTTTTTTATGTACCAGGTGGAACCATTGTATTGTTTGACCGTAAGATGCTTAGGAACTTCCGCAAAGATGGTCATAACTGGAAGAAGAAAAAAGATGGAAAGACTGTTAAAGAAGCTCATGAACATTTAAAAGTGAGGATTTCTCCTGTTTCTTTTTTCACTCGGATAAACCGATTTCCTTGCTTCACACCGAACACATTGTTCATGTTCCATAAGATGTTAAGTTCCGATGACGTTGGTATTTGGCGAATATTCATTTGACCGTTAAGTATGAAAAGGTGATTCCTCCAAGTGGCTGAAAGACTGGCCTACATGGCAGGATCATATATGTGCTTGAAATGTAACCAACTACCTTTGTTGTTTTGGCTGTCTGACTTTGTTATCCTTTCTTCGCCTCAATATGCACAGGTTGGTAATGAAGAAAGAATTCATGTATACTATGCACATGGCCATGATAGTCCAACTTTTGTTCGACGGTGTTATTGGTTGCTCGATAAGTATGTCCTTTCGAATTACACTTGGTTTCATTTCTATCGTTGGTGCACTTAAGAAGGCGACTTTGAGTAGGGATTTCACATGTTCTTTCTTTATTCTTCTACTTCAGGACTCTAGAACACATAGTGCTGGTTCACTATCGAGAGACCCAGGAGGTTAGATTTCAACTGTTTATCTGTTCTTATTAAATGCGTGTCTTGAATCTGCCCCCCTTCCGAGCGGCAGGAATGTTGGAACAATTTAAACTGACTTGGGCACTTGGGCAATGGATTTAGAGTTAGTTGGTAATGCATACTTGTCTGATAATGTACTATGTTTGATGTGTGAATGGAGGGATTTCAACTTCATGCGAATTCTAACATTAATATCTTCTATTCTGATAAATGCTTAACTAATGACCATATGAGCATCTATGCATTCCTTGTGTAAGGACAGTTGCAGGTTGTTTAGCTTATTTTGCAATTCTTGATAATAGTAGCTTTATAAATATCATGCCCTCTTTTGTTTGCTTATTGTACAGCTGCAAGGATCTCCCGCCACACCTGTGAATTCGAATTCCAGCTCAGCATCTGACCCATCTACACCTTGGCTTTTAGCTGAGGAGTTCGATTCTGGAGCTGGTCTTGGATATTCTGCAGGCGAGAAACAACGTATAGGTGATGATACTTGCATGCTTCAACGAGGAAATATTTCCTCTATCTCATTGGTCGTTTTCATTAGCTCCTTGTAGAGAGATATGACCAATTTTAAAGGTATCTCTTGTTCACTTATCAAAATGCATGTGATAGACAGATCTTGGTAATTTACCTGTGAGCGATCATCAATTGAAGCTCCATGAGCTCAACACACTTGAATGGGATGACCTGGTGGCAAGTGATCCCAACAAGTTGACGCCCTTTGCTGGAGGTATGGAGTCTTTTGTTCTTGTTATATGCAAGTGGATTTCCTTAGAGAATCCTTTTTTATTTTCTTCCTGGTATCGTGTTATATCTTCATGATTGCTACTGGCTATTGTTAAAAGGATGTGCTCTTGGCTGTGAACAGATGTGGGCTCCTATCTTGACAAGCAAAATCAAGTTTCTATGAACGGATCTGCTATTTATGTGAGTAGAATGATGTTTCTTATCACAAGCTTATTCCCTGCACCTCCCCATGGTCTCTTTCTGTGTGAAGACTTCCCCCACCGTTATTATATTGTGAAGCAGGTCCAAGGAGTAACCAACGTTTGTCGAATTATTTATTTGTTTATTAAGTTATGTTACTGATAGTCCTGGAAAGATCCATTTAACATTGGCCTCAGTGTACGTAGTGCGTAAGTGTTATGTTCATCCTTGTTATGCTGCACATTCTAATATAAATATTGCTTCAGATAAACATGACTCTAGCAGATCTTCTTTAATGTGCCTACATATTTTGTTGCAATCTCCAGTATCTATAAGCTTATCTCTTAGTTAGCATCTCTCGAGTTGTCTTTTCTATTACAAAGAAATGTTTCACAAATGTTGATGCACATTATCTGTTTGCAGCACCATGGCCTTCCATCCTCTAATACATCCGAGGATGCTACCTCTGTAAATCAAGTCATTGCCCCATATGTCAACATTGGGACCAGTTATACCAGTACTGCAGATGGTGTTTATAGTCAGCCGGGTAATCTCCAAGTAAATTCAAACTGGCCAAGCACGGATCCTCGGGTGATGAACCCTGATTCTTCAGTGGACATTTTACTTGCTGATGGTTTGCAAAGTCAGGATAGTTTCGGAAGGTGGATTAACGACGTAATGGCCAAATCTGCGGTTTCTCTTGACGATCAACTGCTTGAACCTTCTACCTCATCCGGTGATGGGTCATCTGCTTCTCCATCAATTGGTGAACATCAGTATTCTGTTGAACACTCATTTGTTATAACTGATGTCTCTCCTTCTTGGGCCTTTTCAACTGATACCACAAAGGTTTGTTAGTTCCACTTTTGTTGATACCATCTTTTAAGACTTGGCACCTCTCATATTTAACCCAAATCTAATGGTTAATGCAGATTCTTGTTACTGGTTATTTTCACGAGCAGTATCAGCATCTGGCCAACTCCAACCTGGTTTGTGTTTGTGGTGATGATTTTGTTCCCGCTGAGGTAGTCCAAACTGGGGTATATCGCTGTTTCTTATCTCCTCATTCCCCTGGATTAGTTAATCTCTGTTTCAGTTTGGATGGTCATAAGCCGGTCAGCCAAGTCCTGAATTTCGAGTACCGCAAGCCTGCACGGCATGTTGATGATGTGGTGTCAACCGATGAAAACTCCAAGTGGGAACACTTCCATCTCCAGATGCGACTGGCTTATCTGCTTCTATCTACATCCAGGACCCTAAACCTGGTAAGCAGTAAAGTATCCCCGAGTAGCCTGAAGCAGGCTAAGAAGTTTGCCAACAAAACCTCCAACATTTCCCGCAGTTGGTCATATTTGTTCAAGTCGATCGATGAGAATAGGATCTCACTGGCGCAAGCCAAAGAAGACATGTTTGAAATTGCTTTGAAGAACATACTTAAGGATTGGTTGTTGGAAAGAGTGGTTGAAGGGTGTAAAACCACTGACTATGACGCTGAAGGTCAAGGAGTAATCCATTTGTGCGCAAGACTTGGGTATACTTGGGCCATTTACTTGTATTCATGGTCAGGTTTGTCCATAGATTTTCGTGACAAACATGGATGGACAGCACTTCACTGGGCATCTTATTACGGAAGGTATAGGCTTCTAAATTCTTTTGTTGCATTTGCATTTAGCATCAAGCCCATAGTTAGCACAATCATCCTGATTGTCACTATTATCAACAACAAATATTCAGGGGTCTTATGGATGTAGGATTTGGAAAGTGATAGATTGTGTAATGTCGATCGGCTTGAAATGTTATAGATTGTGACTAGTGAGGATTTCAGAATTGTGTATCTGGATGTGTTTCTTTTAGTAGAATGAATAAGCTTGATACCCTCACCAAAATAGATGGGGTTGGGGCCTGGGGGCATGGATTTTCAGCTCCATAGAATTCGGTATCCTTTTTAGCTCGAACTCGCTACTCATGTATTTTTGTGCTTGAATCCATCATCGTTACATCTTTGACTGCCAATAAAATACCACTTCAGGGGATAGGGTTAAGCGGAATGAAAGGAAGTGAAATTCTGTTCATTTGATCTATAGCTTCTAATTCTCTCTAACACTGCGGTCCCTCAAATGTTTCAGGGAGAAAATGGTTGCGGTCCTTCTATCTGCAAAGGCAAAGGCAAACTTGGTCACAGACCCAACTGCAGATAACCCTGGTGGATGCACTCCTGCTGATCTTGCCGCAGCTCGAGGATACGAAGGCTTAGCAGCTTACCTATCTGAAAGAGCTCTGGTCACACATTTCGAGGACATGTCAATAGCTGGGAACATCAGCGGCTCACTACAACTGGCTTCTGCTGAACCCACTAACGTCGAAAACCTGAGCGAGGAAGAACTATACCTTAAGGATACATTGGCTGCTTACCGCACAGCTGCCGATGCGGCAGCTCGTATACAGGCGGCATTCAGAGAGCAGTCACTGAAGTTGCGCACCGAAGCAGTCGAGAACGCGAGTGCAGAGGATGAAGCTCGGAGCATCATTGCTGCAATGAGGATTCAACATGCTTTTCGTAATTACGAGACCAAGAAAAAGATGGCTGCTGCTGTTCGCATCCAGTACAGGTTCCGCACATGGAAACTAAGGAAGGAGTTTCTCAATATGCGGCGCCAGGTCATCCGGATACAAGTAAGTTTCTATGATTATAGATCCTTGTTGTTGTTGCCTTATTGGCCTTGGTCTATAAAGAAGCTAACTTTGCCCTTATTGTTTTGAAATAAGAACTTGTTCGCAGGATCATCTCCGTTATAATTATTTCACAAGTTTTAGACTTTTTTTTATTTGCTAAATAAACCATATCTGTTCTAATGTTTTATTCCTCTTTAGTCTTGCTAAATAAACCACATATGTTCTAATGTTTTATTCCTATTTAGTCTTGCTATCTTATTACTAAAGACATCTTATATTCTTTCGTGCCAAAAATCCTTTCTTTGCTTCCTCCAAAACTTAAGTTCAGAAACAAAAAACCTCTCCACCTAATGTTTAAGTTCAGAAGCCATGTCATGTCTTTTAAGCACTTAAATCTGTCTGCATCTGCAGGCTGCATTCCGAGGGTTCCAAGTCAGGAGACATTACAGGAAGATCCTGTGGTCAGTCGGAGTGCTCGAGAAGGTAATCTTGAGGTGGCGTCTGAAGCGGAAAGGCTTACGCGAACTCAAAGTCGAACCAGTTGAAGCAATTGAAGAAGACGGACAGCCAATTGATGCAGAGGAGGAATTCTTCAAAACCGGTCGTAAACAAGCCGAGGAGCGTGTGGAGAGAGCTGTTGTAACCGTTCAAGCCATGTTCCGGTCCAAGAAGGCGCAGGCTGAGTACCGAAGGATGAAACTGGCCTATAATGAAGCTTCGGTGCGTCGTGTTGATAGCTTACATTCTTGTGTTAGTCCTCATGATTCAATACCAGTTCATAAAAGAACTAATGCGCTCTCCCTATTTCTGGTTTGCAGTCCGAATATGACAGTCTTCTTTCTTTCGACGACGAGATGGAGAAATGAAGGGAGAACAACAGCAGAAGAGAACTGAGTAACAGAGGACGGATAATATTGGAAAGGTATTTCTCTAGCTAAGGACTTGTTTGGTAGCCTGTACATTATCTGCCTAATGACACTATGCATTAAGCTAGAGGTTAACCTTTAGGTGTGCAGTTGTTGCCTTTTCATAGTTTTTTTTTTCCAGGTATTGAATAGGTCCCCTGTGGTTTAGGTGTGAATATTACTACTGTTGTATCTATATAGCCATGGGGAAGTTGGTGATGGTGATTTTTAGGGGTTGATTAGGTTTTATCGACATCAACAGTTCTGCTATTTGTCAACCGTTTCGTCTGTTATAATTATCTATCTTTGATCTTGCTATTTATTTATGAGAAAGAAAAAAAAGATAAATTTGTAGCTAGAACGTAATCCCATTTTATGGAAAAGGGAAGAAGCTGCAATCTGACTTCTCATAGTTTCTCTTTACATGTGCTTGTGTTGCTTACTGAAATGAGAAAGATGTGACGATGGATCTCAACTACGTGTTTGATTGCAACTAATGCAAGTTTGCGTGAGACGGTTACACAATGGATGGATGATTGAGAAAAATGAAACGAGTGGGTACCAATATTTAGATACTTTGCGTTGGACAGATGATATGGCGGTGTGAATTGTCACTGTCGACCTCTTGACTAATGTGGAGATTGACGAGAAATTGTTTGAGGTAGTGACAACTCATTTAAACAAAATTGGTGTAGCCGGCAGTGCGTCGGCTACAAGCTCTCGACTGGCAAGTAGAAGTTGTTCATGTGTATCGGGAAGGGAACGTCGTCGCAGACTACCTCGCCTCTTTTGGACATGGACGTTCGCCTGGTGATCACTTTGTGGATGCTCCTAGTCCGCTTTTAAACTATTGGCTGTATTTTGACTGTATTGGAGTTCTCACTCATCGTTTAGTAAGCATTGATTGAAGGTTGGGTGCCCTTAGCACCCCGTTCCCCACCAAAAAAAAAATTAACTATTGTTGGGAGCATAAATGTGTCTAGTTAGCACTTATGCGGAATTCTTGGGTAAATGCCACATTTGATTACTGGGATTACTAAATCGTGTCATGTTTAGTCACTAGAAAAATTTAATATCAATTTGGAGTTGAACGGAAACTAACGGGAGAGTGACTAAATGTGACATGTTTCAGTAATTCGAGTGACTAAATGTGACATGTTTCAATAATTCGAGTGACCTGAGTTGGACAGATGCTCCAGGAGAGTGACCAAATGTGACATGTTTCAGTAATTTAAGTAATCAAAATTGATATTAAATTTTTCTAATTATTAAACATGACACGATTTAGTAATTTTAGTGACCAAATGTGGCTCTTGGTTGGTCCTAAATCCTAACCCTAGTAGAACAAACGAACATGGAGAAAGGAAACATATATATAAGCCCCTGCTGTCCAAGAGTGGTGGTGGTCCTCTGGCAACGGTTAACTCTTCTCATCCTTCAAAGAAACAAACAGAATTTCTCCCAGAGAGACGATGGAGCACGTGCTTTCCCTTTTCAAATGGTGCAGTAAGAAATAATTCACAGCCAACCCGTCCCAAATTGTGCACACATTATCTTTCACCTCAGTTTGTCCTATGCCCATACATGATCCATTCAGAATCATCCCCACAACCACGTTGAAATGCTCGTCCACCTACCAACTCTCGCAATTCACAACCTTCTCTAAGCTTTCTGCACAGTTTCCACTTTCCAACTACCTCAAAAACATGTCAAATGTGGTTTGAACAAGAACAGCCAAAGCATATCACCCGACTTGTCTAACAATGTTCAGCAATACCTGCAACAACCATCCATTATTATGCCTTCAAACACCAGATAAATGACAAGCTTGACATGAACAGAGTTTGCTGTGCTAACACATCGATTCAGATATCGGCTAGTTTCTCCGCATATGGGTGAGAGCTATATCAATAGGGGATGGTTCATACTGCCAAGTTTGTGCTTAATCCTTCAACCAACCAAACCAGTTTTACCCATAACAACCACAAAGAATTCCATTCTTCCAATCTAATTGTACCAAGTCACAGCAAAAATGACACGAAGACAAACCCAGAAAAAGGGGGGGCAAAGAGAGAAAAAGAAGGAAGAAGCTCTGGTAAAGAATACAGAACCCATCTATTATATCTGCTGCTTCATCTCTCTCTACTTGATGTACTGAGAGAGCCACTTGAAGCCATCCCCATACCCCATCTTGCGGACGATGCTGCACATGAAGACCTCAAGAGGCCGGACGTTGGAGTCCATGAGGTTGACCTTCCCCTTGCCAGTTGTGAAACTGGTAAGCCCTAGATGGTATCGAAGCTCCTCTTCTGAAGATGCATAGGGAATGTCGATCTTGTTTCCTAGGATGAGAAACGGGACGTTGGCCAGTGCTTCGTCCGATAGGAGGGCGTCCAACTCCTTCTTGGACTCTGCAAACCTCTCCTTGTCATAGGCATCCACAAGGTAGACAACTGCGTCCACCTGTTCACGCAAAGAAGATGTGTTTTAGTTCCGGTTTTAGCTCTTCATAGATGTGACACAAAAGCAAGATAGTGAAACATGGAATTCAGAAATCATAAAGGACAACTATAAACCTCATAGACAACATACAGAGGGATTTGTCTTTACAATCAGTTAAGATACAAGCTTCATACGAATTCGACGAAACAAAAGAAGAGGAAAAGGTTGAGCTCATGTTTCAAAACAAATGAAATGTATGGAAATCTACTATTAGAACACCTTCCAGAAAGTATAAAGAGGTGCCATCAGCGAAAAAATCCATGTTGGGTATCGGCCTCCCATGAATCAGATGAACACAAAGTCAGGTCATCTGGGATTAATGAAGGCCATTCAACCGATTGCATTCATCCAACTGAGACCACATAACAATATAGATGGTAGCACAACAGTAGTATGACAACGATACACCGGATAGAGTGTCAACAGCAACCTCAAGAGCACTGAATAACACTCCAATTTACACTGGATCTCGACAGAGTCCAGTCTGAAGAACATGCTGAGATCTCCAAAAAAATTATGCATTATTCCTACCACTACAAAGAATCGATCAACCAACAAAATCAGCAAAGCCACTAAGCTCAATTTCACAGCTCCCAATCAACAAAAATAATGCGACAAGACTAGGAGCCGTGTATTCAAAGGGGCAATCAATCAAACAGATCGCGTGCACTCTCGAACACAAACCAATGAAACCATCCAATTTCACACGAGAAAAAGAACAATAACGTCAACACCTACGAACCTTGGTGTAATAGTCCTTCCAGATGCGGCGAGCGATCTGATGGCCACCCAAATCAAAAGCCTTGAACTTGATCTTCCCTATACTCAACTCCTCCGATGTAGGGTGCTGGGTCGGCTGATGCTGGACTAGTCTCTGCGATAAGCGCCGATCGAGAAAGAAAACAGATCCCCCGCCAAAAACCCACCATAGATTAAATCAAGATTCCTTCAAAATCCACCATACCCAGAAAGGGGAATAAAACTGAAATCAAAGCGAAGAAGAAGAAGAAGAAGAAGAAGCGAACCTCGTCTTTCAACATGTGAAGGAGAGTGGTCTTGCCGGCGTTATCGAGACCCAAGAAGAGGATCTTGGCCTCTTTCTGCCATAACCCAAGCGATGCGAGAACTCCATAGAACCAGTCGAATAGAAACATTATCGGTCGGCGCTGACGAAATTGGTTGTTGCTCTAGCTGGCTGCTGATCCAACGGACTTGTGGAAGGAGAGGTGGGGGATTGCGAAGCTCTCGAGTAGAGAGAGAGAGAGAGAGATGAGAGAGAGAACAACCCCAAAGAAATGGATCCAAATGGAGATGTGGGAGAGAGAAGCAACGTATTTATACTACCACTGACAATTTACAAGTTTGTGATCTGAAAATTGGCTTTGCTAAGGGGAGTGAGGGGGTGAGTTGGAAAAAAAATGAAAAATGACAATAATATACAAGTTTATTTGATATTTTTGTACAATATTTTTTCCCATAAAATTTGTAGGAGATATTGCAAAAATGGATTTGAAAACATGAAAATAATTATTAATAAATTAATAATTACAAAAAGGAAGAAAAAAAAGATTAGGCATACAAATATGGAACATTTTTTTACAGAAGGCATTGAAGATTGAATTCTAGTCTTCAAGAGTTACTGCGATTGATGCTTCAGTTATTATTAATTGTAAAAATTTCCAACATGATTTTTTTAGTTTGCATAATTTAATTTTTTAATTTGTTAAGTGATCGAATTAAAAAAATTTATTTGGTCGTCATTTGAGCAGGTCGAGAATGAAAATAAATTTTTTTATTCAAACCAATATTAAGCATTTTAGCCGAATTTGATTTGATCCGAACCAATGTTATTTACTTATTTTGCTCTTGATTTACTTGACGTAATAATGTGTTAATAGAAAATTGAATTTCGTTTTCATTGGTTGATTATATTACATCTAGACGGGGAGAAAACAAATAGGAGTGTGAACAAAAGAAATGGAAATGATTTTTGGACGCTAGGGTGGACATATAGCATGGATGAGTTGGTTACGGTTGGCAATCGTCATTTGCATTGGTTGGAATTCTTTTTTGTGTATAAAATTTGGATGTTATGCATCATTATTATGGTCATATAGCATCATTATTGACAAGAAAATTAGAGGATTTATCTGGGGGAGTTCGGAGCAGGGACGAAAGATTCATCTTGTTGATTGGGACACAGTGTGCAGGCCCAAGGAGGAGGGGGGTTTGGGGTTGAGGAATACGACCAGGATGAATGAAGCCTTTATGGTGAAGATAGCGTGGCGGCTGCTGACTGAGCAAGAGAGCCTCTGGGCACGGGTGGTTCGAGGAAAGTACTTAAAGCGAACAGAAGGGGGATGGAAGCCGAGAGAGAAGGGTCGGTTATCCAACTTATGGCGAGGCGTATTGCGCATCCTACATTATATCCCGGAAGGTCTAATGTGGAACATCCAGAGCGGCATGCAGACGAGGTTCTGGATGGATAGATGGTTATTTGATGGACCACCTCTAGTGCAGTTTGCGGCCAGCCTCCCTAACGAAGCACAGCATTTAACTGTGGCCGAGATGATTCTAAATGGCAGCTGGAACATGGATTTTATTCGGGCTTTCCTCCCTGAAGAGATAGCTCGACAAGTGCAGCTGCACCCGATCCCGCAAGCGGCAGGAGATGATACACCCGTTTGGCGATTCTCGAGCTCAGGGCGATTTACGCTTCACACAGCTTACGATCTTGTTCGTGGGGAAGATGAAGACCCGCACCATCATCCCAAGTGGCGGAATATCTGACGCATTGAAGGACCCCAGCGTACTCGCACATTTTTCTGGTTAGTATCACATCAAAAACTTCTTACTAACTCAGAACGTGTTCGTCGTCACTTGGCATCGTCGGCGGATTGTAAGATATGTGGGGGTGAGATGGAGACAGTGATACATGTGATAAGGGACTGCCCTTATGCGAGACTAATTTGGTCCCATTTCCTTGAAGGCGAGCCTGATGATCTTTTTAATGAAGGGGATGTGGATAAGTGGATAATGTACTATCTTGGCGGTAATAGTAGTGTGGTCGAAGCTCCTATGTTTGCTATTCTGTGCTGACAACTTTGGAAGAACAGAAACACTATGGTGTTTGAAGGGAAGCTTGCGCCAGCCACCCATCTAGCCTATCAGGTGCGCACGCTTTACAACTAGTCCCGCCAAGCTCATACTTCGGCGAGCGCAGTTACTGGAAGTAGTGGGGGAAGCCGAAGTGGCATGATCAGCTGGGACCGGCCTCCGACAGGCTGGGTTTGTTTAAATACGGATGGTTCTGTGGTTCTAGCTCAGAAGAGTACTGCTGCGGGTGGAGTGCTCAGGGGATGTGATGGGAGATTCATCAAGGCGTTTGCTGCTAATTTAGGTGGAGGTTCGATTACCCACGCAGAGTTGGGAGGTATTGTTCATGGGTTGCGTATGGCCTGGGAGGAGGGATCACGGAAGGTGATATTACAGACTGATTCGACAACGGCAATCAACCTGCTCAAGGATGCGGATTGCCATAACCCACACTACACCTTGATAGCAGCTATCCGAGAGCTGCTGGCCAGAGACTGGGAGATCGAGCTAGTGCATGTGTTTCGCGAAGGCAACTATGTTGCGGACTATTTGGCGTCTATTGGACATTCTTTACCTATAGGAGTTCATTTGATTGATATCCCGAGCCCTACCCTGAGGCATTGGTTGTATTTCGACACTATTGGGGTCCAGACCCAGAGAATTATCAGGAATTAAAGGGTTAGAGCGCCCCTAGCGCTCTGTTTCGCACCAAAAAAAAATTATTATGGTCAATCAATAGCCGGTCCAACTGCCCAAAAAGGTTGGTAGGTGGGATGGCCACCTTTGACACCTCCATTTCCCATCTTTGCATGTAAACACATATCTTCACTAGCCAATTGCCAAACAAATTCAAGTAATGCACACGAAAATAAGGGAAACCATTAATCATATGTAATTAAAAAAAAATAGAGAATGAGGATTTCTAAAACCGTCCGTTATCTAAGGTCCGACTAGAATAAATTTTGTATCGGAACTAAAATCGTAGGTGGTTTTTAGCGGTTTCAGACATTAAAAATACAGTTGAATCATAATTTCAGTATAAAATAGGTCACCGCTAATTTGTACACGATTTTACAATTGGAGTAAAATAAAAAACCTTACGCAGTGGAGCTGGCGAGACGCTTCCATTTCTCCGATGTGGAGATCCAGATGGATTGCATGTCGGTGAAACGCCTCATCAAGGGGGAGAGTGACTCACAATTGGAGGTGGGCCGGCTATGCAAAGAAATCAGGAGGAAAGCAAATGAATTGGGCCTTTTTCGGTGGAAGCAAGTGGATCGAAAATGGAATGAAGCGGCCCATTTCATAGCCCATTGGGATTGTGGTTGGGAGAGAGAGATCATTTGGGTTGATAGTCCACCAAATTCTCTTGTTTCTCTGATTTTGAAAGATATTCATGTACCTAATCCCATTTAATTAATAAAAGCAGGTATTTTACTTCAAAAAAAAACCTTAAAATGAAGGGACATTTTGTGACCATGACAATCCTATGGGCCGCCGTTTGCATTCATAAAGGATATGGACTTTCGGTGGTAGAATTAGTTACGCAAACAACCCAGCCCATCACGAAGCCTTCAAGGCCATTTTACGGTTAGGCCCAGCCCATACACGCCTCACACTGAAGAAAGATATAAAAACAGTCCGTCGAGATTTAGGGTTTCCCTTCAGAAACTCCCCAATTCATCCTGAATTCCTCGACGCAGCCGCATTTTCCCTCTTCCTCGCTGAGGTTTGTTTCCGTGTCTCGATTTAGGGTTTGAATCCGCCATCAAAACTTCTTTGCGTTTCCTTTCCTGCTTTCTTACTCTGTGTTCATCGTTCGTTGCAGAGATGGCGAAGTCGAAGAATCACACCGCTCACAACCAGTCCTACAAGGCTCACAGGAATGGCATCAAGAAGCCTAAGAGGCATCGCCACACTTCAACCAAGGGGGTAAGTTAACTTATAGTTTTTCTCTCTCGATCGATTCGGTTATGTGTATGCTGGTTTTTCGCCATGGTTGATTTTTCTGGTTCGGGCTGGGTTTCAGATGGACCCGAAGTTTCTGAGGAACCAGAGGTACGCGAAGAAGCATAACAACAAGAGCGCCGAGGAAGGAAGCGCTGAAGAGTAAACGTCACTTGCCTTGTGAATGGCGGAGTTTTTCATGTTTGTTTAGTTGCTGGATCCTTAAGAGCTTGAACTGGATTTAGTTTACCTATTTTGATAGTTTGGATGAGCTGAAAATGGTACTGAATGATGAAGTTTTCGTTTTGAAGAACTTGCTACTGATGTTAGACCTGGTTTATTGAGCTTCAGTGAATTTTGGAAGGCATTCTATATATCTGTTCTTGTGCTGTCTTGCTGGAAATTTGGCCATGAATTTTGCGATTTAGTTGAGTAATTTGTAGGTTATGTAGTCTATGGGTTCCCAATTGGATGGATTAGGCTTCTAGTGTTGCCTTCCAAATTGTGGTGTTCCTCTGTTTCGAAGGAATATGATTCCAGGGTTGTCATTACTCATTAGGTTGGTTTAGGTTGCTTCTTTCTGATGTCATTGATCCTGTTATGAGTCTGGACATGGCATTGTCCAAAAAACAAACCTTGTGCTCTTTCCTCGTCATGGTTTTCGGTATATCAGGTTCGGCAATAGTAAGACTGTTTCTACATATAGAGTTATGGTGGTTGATTTAGAGGTTGTGCTTAGAATTGAGTCCCCCTTTTGAGTTTAGATTAGCTAGGCCAGAGGCATCAAGCACTTTCTTTTCTTATTAGGGTTTTCCCCCCGGGATATGTTGGGGGTAACCATGCTTGCTCGTCTGGTTTCATTAAGAATTTGAGCAGTGTGTTGCTTTCCTCTTTGGTTTCTTGCTTTATTTTTTGCCTTCTGATTTTTACTTGTGGGTTCCTGCTCTTGTTAAATCTCTAATCACCTTTAGGTAGAATTATGAAGAAGAGCATTTTTTGCGTATGATCAACATAAATTTTGATTAGTATCCCCGATCCAACTTCTTTTAGAAACATAGAACGAGATGCTAAATAATCAAGGGAAAGATTGCCGCTAAAAGTCTGTGCTTTGGCGCCTCGTTCCCTTTTAAGTGCACCTTGTTTTGTTCACAGAATTGAAATGGGAACGACAACAAAATCAAACTAAGCATGTACAAACTATTTGTTTGAATCGTATTGAATTAATATAATTTGATATTGTCATTTTTTAGCCAGCCACACAATACATCTGTCATTCAGTATGATTCTTGATCTAGTTCCTTTGAAGGTAAGGGCCTGTTTACTTTCATTTCTGTTTCCTGTTTTTGAGAAAATAGATGTTGAAAACAGGTGAAAACAACAGGCTAAATTACACGTTTGGTCACTCGAATTATACGAATCTTTCACGTTTGCCACTCGAATTACTTTTCTTTCTTATTCGCCACTAACTTTATGAATCATTTCACTTTTAGTCACCGACCGTCACACTCCGTTAAATTTGTCCTATGTGGCAGTCAACTATAAAGTTTGACTGTTAACTAGATTATGTGGAAATTAAAAAATAATTAATTTTTCCACTTCACCATTGCTTTATCATATTGTTTCTTTAAAAAGATTTAATAAATCACATAAATTAATTATTGGGCAGTGAGGGATTTTCGACAGGCCACTTTTACACCCGCTCCTCTGCTTCTCACCGCCCCTTCCAATGGCTTACTCTACCAGATCAGAAGGCCACTACCGATCCCTTCATCGTCCCAACAAGGCCACTGTCACTCATGTTCGTAAACGGCGCCACCGCAAAGTTTAGCGAACTCGACCTCGTCATTTGGAAAATCGAAATCCCTAGTTGCTCGCCGCCGCCGTCGCCCTCTCTTCCACCTGCTTGTCACTGGATCTCAATTCCCCCACCTCCGGCAACAACCCCCACCACCATTTTCCTCCACCAGCACCAGTGAACTGTCGTCGTCGCGGGCCCCGCCTCTCCCTCTGAGAGGTCCTCCGGACTGGCATCCTCAACAAAATCACCGCCGAAAATCCCGTCACTATCGCATCCGCGGCTCCACCGCCGGATAATTCTTCTGCCGTCGCTTTCCTTCGCTTGATTCGTCTTCCTCAACTCTTCGTTCATCTTTCCGATGCCACTTAATCCTCCCAACAAGGTTCTGAGCAAGAGGGATTCAGCTTGCGAAGATGAAAAAGAGGAATAGGAACGGCGTAAATCAATCGTCGCCTCTGATAATTAATTTTTATAATTTTTTATGAAATAATTAATATAATAAATCACATAGATCAAGTAAGTGAAATGATGAGGTGGAAAAATATATATTTTTTTTTAAATTTTTTAAATTTCCACGTCATCTAGTTAACGGTCAAACTTTATAGTTGACTGCCACGTAGGACAAATTTAACGGAGTGTGACGGCCGGTGACTATTCGTGAAATGATTCGTAAAGTGAGTGGCGAATAAGAAAGAAAAGTAATTGGAATGGTTAACATGAAAGATTTGTATAATTTGAGTGACTAAACGTGTAATTTAGCCGAAAACAACATTTTGTCGTTTCCGAAAACAGCAGGAAGTTGCCACTTTCTGTTTTCATAGTTGGAAACGAATAGAAAACGGAATGAAAAGTAAACAAGTTTTCTCATTTCGGTTACCAAATTTATGACATGAAAACAGAAAACAGGAAACGAAAATGAAAGTGAACAGGGCCTAAGGGTTCTAGCCAATTGAAGAGATCTGTTCATTGGGTTTTGGAAATGAGAATCCAATCCAACCATTATCCATGAGTTCACCAACATAAGTGTTAGGTTGTACCCCATAAAATATGCATTGGGTTTTAGAAATGACAATGCAACACAACTAGTATCAATGAGTTCACCGACATCAATACACATGATTTCTTCGACCACCTATATTCCGATATTATCGAATTTGTTTCTTATATACATCTCTATAAAAGTAAAAACTAATAACATTTACAAATTATCCATATTATTAGGTTTATATTGCCATAAAGACTAGAACTATAGATGATTTATATTGTACTGGTTAGAAACAAAATAACGACGTTTTATATTATGGGTGCAGATAACGTGAAAAGCGGGTCGAGTATGACAATCCAAAATCTACCCGCCTATTTCAAAAGCGGTGAAAATTCACATTCGAGTTGGATAGTTATGATTCGGAGTGATTTGCAATCCCTACTTACAATACAATCCCACACACAAACTCATTAAGTTACCCTTTTTTATACTTTTACCCTTTGAAATGTGAGGAAAATTATATGACCGAACGATGACAAGTATTCGCTAAAATCGGTATTTTACTACTTTTCTTTAGTCAAAACAAGGTGTTTAAAGCTAAAGAAAACCCCATCATTTATCCAAGAAAGCTACAAGGAGTCGTAAAGAAATGTACTCTCACCGATATGGTGTGCCCAAAGAGATAAATAGTCCGCAACACAGTTTGTCTCTCTATAGACGTTCTCAATATCAACCTGCCAATCTAGGGCTAGTAATCTCCTAGTCTCAGCGATTAAAGCATAATATGGATGACTGGAAGTGGTCGTCTCTAACAGTGTCTTCACCGTAAGAGAAAGAGAGTGTTTGCACAAGAACTTTTCTAGACCTGAGTTCCCAAATAAGCCTCGAGTCCATGGACAATTCCTGCTAGCTTTGCACGAGCCATTGATGATTGAACCCCCCAAGGTTCAGTGTATAGGCTCGAATGAAAGTGTTCTACTACTTTGTGCTAGGCAAGAATATAACTGCGGTATCGTTCTCCATCGGTCCAACCGTCAAAGACAAAGCGACGCGCACAACAGGTGAAGAAAACCAAAGCCAAAAACAGTACAAAATACAGATAGTTGATATTAGCGTTAAAAAACAAGGTGGTTAGTTCATCAGCCGCGCAGCTTCGTTAACTCCGCCACTCCCCCGAGTCCCAACCATATTTCTCAACGGACTTCTCAGAGCTCTCCGCCACTTCTCCTCCTAATAAACCCGAAACCCAGAGATCCTTCCTTCCAATTCTATCCCTTCTTTCATCTCCAGAAACACCAAAATGCAGGCATCGCTCAGTCTCTCGGTCTCTAACCCCGCCGCCATTCCCAGATCAAGCCACGGCTTCGAGTCCTCCATCCCTTTCCCGTCGAAGCCCGTGAATCTCAGGTTCTGCGGTCTCAGGAGGGAAGCCTTGGGGTTTTCTTCCGCTTCTACTTATCCTCTTTCCACCTCCCGGTCAAGTAGGAGCGTAGCTCGCTCCAACAAGGTTTCGGCCTCCCTCGGCAGCGCCAATGGCAGCAGCAGCGCTCCCAAGTCGTTTGATTACGACTTGATCATCATTGGAGCTGGCGTCGGCGGGCACGGAGCTGCACTTCATGCTGTTGAGAAGGTACGGTGGTTTAGTTTGCTGGGTTTGATTTTATCGACATTGCTGCTAGTTTTTGAGGCAATTGAGGACTTGGGAAGTTTGAAGTAGAGTTGATCTTGAAGTTCTCGTGAATGGGTCGAATTGCTTCATTTGAATTTGGTGATTGGCGGTTGAAATTATTCTATTCTAGTCTGACATTGTTTCTGGGCAGGGTTTGAAAACTGCTATTGTTGAGGGGGATGTGGTCGGAGGGACTTGTGTTAACAGAGGTTGCGTGCCGTCAAAAGCTTTGCTGGCCGTCAGTGGCCGGATGCGTGAGCTTCAGAACGAGCATCATTTGAAAGCTTTGGGTCTCCAGGTAAATGGGGTTATGGTGTTTCTACGACTGGTTATATTACAGCAATTGCATATAGGTGTTTGAAGAATGAAGATAATTTGTATGAGAACCCACTTAGCAATTTGTGATCAGGTACCCATTTGGCCCAAACATGTGGTAATAGGGTTTTCTCAACCTGTGATAGGTTTCAGCTGCTGGTTATGACAGACAGGGAGTTGCTGATCATGCCAATAATCTTGCTATGAAAATTCGCGGCAATCTGACGAACTCAATGAAGGCATTGGGTGTGGACATCTTGACCGGTTTTGGTGCAGTTTTGGTGAGTAGGCACTCTGTGCTATGGACATGGCTGCATCATTACTCTATTTCTTGACAAAGTTGTGATTTCTATCAAAGACAAGTCATGCTCTGATCTGATTTCAGCAGAATGGCTTCTTTGCCTTGTTTCATGTCTTAAAAGTTTCTTGTTACTTGGCTCAGGGTCCCCAAAAGGTGAAAGTTGGGAAAGACACAGTAGTGACTGCAAAGGACATCATCATCGCCACTGGTTCTGTCCCATTTGTGCCTAAGGGGATTGAAGTCGATGGTAATTTTTCTAGTGTTTTCTGTTTCCTTGTGGATATTAGTTGTTAACTTTTTGTGGCAGTTCAGACAAGGTATCATTGATGCTTATAAATCCGAACTGCATGTTTCCCTGATCATTTTCCCTGTTAGTTTTCTAGTGCAGTATAAGTAATGAATGCATGGATCGAAGATCATGACCTTTAGAAGTGATACCGTCCAGTTGCTTGATAGTGTTGACAAAAAGATGCACATTCAACACTTTCATGTTTCATTACAGTAAGACGTATGCTACTAGGAACACACAGATAAATTGATCCATGAAAGAAGGCACATTTATGTAGAAGGCGTGTCTCCAACCTTACGATTCTTGAAATAGTGAATTGTTGTGTCCTTGTTAGAATTGAGCGCCTTGCTGAAATTCTGTGGTCTTCTGTTGTCTTGGTAGTTGTTACTAGGAGGATCTCTTATTCTGGTTAATGCCTGCAGGGAAGACTGTCATAACAAGTGATCATGCCCTCAAACTGGAGTTTGTACCTGATTGGATAGCTATTGTTGGAAGTGGTTACATTGGTCTTGAATTCAGTGATGTGTATACTGCACTTGGAAGTGAGGTACCGATTTATGTTCACCTCTGACCATACATTTCTGCCGCAGAACGTGCTTTCTCATTTTGCTACGATATTGCAAAAACTGCATCTTAAAGCATCTCTAAGTCTGGTGCATTTGCAGGTGACATTCGTTGAAGCTCTGGACCAACTCATGCCTGGATTTGATCCTGAGATTGGGAAGTTGGCTCAAAGAGTCTTAATTAATCCTCGCAAAATTGACTACCACACTGGAGTGTTTGCAACCAAGGTGAAAAGATGCACACGGCTGTATTTCTAGAAAAGCACATCTTCATGTTGTATAGTTTCTTGTCGTGGTCCTTTTGCTTACAAAAGGACTGCATCTGACTTGCCTTTTCTTGTCATAGATAACTCCAGCAAAAGATGGGAAACCAGTCACTATTGAGCTTATTGATGCCAAAACCAAGGAACCAAAAGAAACTCTCGAGGTATTTGAGCTATTATGTTCTGTTTGGAGTTCAAATTAGATGACTGCTTTGTCATCTGTTTATTTTAAATTAATGACCTTTCATACTATTGCCATGCTGATTCTGTAACTTTGATTTTACATTTTCTACAGGTAGATGCAGCTCTGATTGCTACTGGACGGGCACCTTTCACAAATGGTCTCGGCTTGGAGAATGTATGATCTGTTGATATAAAACTAGATTTGATGATGTCAATGAGTAACAGAGAAAAAGAGTCAGTACCCTGATATATTTTCATCTTTTTGTTTCTCCTTTCACTACTGCAGATTAATGTGGCAACCCAGCGTGGTTTTATTCCTGTTGATGAGCGTATGCGTGTCATTGATTCCAACGGAGACCTGGTATGCTCAGAAACCTTTCTCGTGTTTTTACAAGTGATGGAGGTTGCTACATCCTGATCCTTAATTTCTCAATGATGGTCACTAGGTCCCTCACTTGTTTTGCATCGGAGATGCCAACGGTAAAATGATGCTTGCTCATGCAGCCAGCGCACAAGGAATTTCAGGTTCGTTAAATGAAACATTTTGTCTACATTTCGATCTAGCTCTTCGCTTTTTGCCCTTTCCTTATTTCCTCTACAAACAGTGGTGGAGCAACTGACTGGAAGAGACCACGTGCTAAATCATTTAAGCATCCCGGCTGCTTGTTTCACTCATCCGGAAATCAGTATGGTTGGACTGACAGAGGTGTGTCTTGAAGACCTTGCTATGGGCTATACAGAATCTATCACATGTCATCCATATATATTTGTTCTGATTATCTAATTTTTCTTTCTGGATTCTGATTCACAGCCTCAAGCAAGGGAAAAAGCTGAACTAGAGGGATTTGAAGTAGCCGTTGCCAAGACAAGCTTCAAGGCGAACACGAAGGCCTTGGCCGAAAATGAAGGAGAGGGTCTTGCTAAGGTTATATTCGTCGACTCTTCTTCTCCTGCAATTATCATTCTTCTGAAAATTTTAGATGATCAACAATTGTATGATGGTCGTCCTTTTTGCATTGCAGTTGATATACAGACCTGACAACGGAGAGATTCTTGGCGTTCATATCTTTGGGCTGCATGCTGCAGATCTCATCCACGAAGCATCTAATGCTATAGCTTTAGGGACTCGCATCCAGGTTTGACTTTACATCTTTCTTTCTTTTTTGTTGGTGAAATTTTGGCTCATCTTTTTACTCATAAAAACGCTATAGCTCTTGCTTCAGCACTTCCCTCATCTTAAGATGTGATTCAAAACTGAACATATCTACGCTTTTTCAGGACTTGAAATTGGCAGTTCACGCGCATCCTACGCTTTCTGAAGTCCTTGATGAACTCTTCAAGTCAGCAAAGGTGAGCTTATGATCCTACCTCTGTGCTTGAGAACATCCCGAACCACCAACCCATACACTGATCGGGTTTACACGCACTGGAAATCATATCTTCTGCACCAATTGTCTGCAGCCAGTAGTCCTAATACAGTGTTCAACCGCATTTTCTCTTTGTTACATTTGATAAAGCTGGAGACAAGATCACCCTTCTTCAAGCTAGTGATGGACGTTGTTAATTGATGGTACAGGTTAACGCACATGTTGGCAGGAGCCCAGTAGCCGAACCAGTTGCAGTCTAAAGCTAAAACCTCTGACGCCCCCAAATTCTTCGTCGAAGTATCAAATCCCCAAGTGCTCGAAAGAGAGTGTACCCTGATAGAACAAAGATAGGAAGTCAAGTCATCACTCATCAGCATGGTTCAAGTAATGCAGCAGCTAGCACTTCATCTCTTCCGATTCGTTCATTCGACCATCGATAACTCTCGAGTCAATAATCATCCCCCGGTTTTGTACTAATTTATGATTCCAGATACCGGATACTTGTAGTTGTAGAGCTAGAACATATTGAAAGGCTTCCTCTTATGGTTGTCGTCCATTGTCTCATTCTGTATCCTAATTTGTATACCAACATGTTCCGCTGAGAGTAATATCAAAGGTTGAAATTTCTTATCCCCAGAGTGCGTCACCACTCACGTCACCACCGCCACTTATGATACGCGCCGCCGCGGAACCTTCCATTCTCTATCCGTTTACCCTTTACCCATCTTCCTTCCATCACCACCGACGTCACCGTTTTAGTAGGTAAAGTCAAACGCCACCCCAAACCAGCAAAGACGAGTCAAAAGTCAAAGCAGTTGCAAAACACGAAAAACTCAACGCTTCCTTTCCATCCTTCCGATCAGTCAGTCAAATCTCTCAACTCCTTTTCGCTCTATAAATAATACCCACCTCCCACATTCCCACCATCCCAACTTCCATTTCCCATCTCCAACTTCCCCTGCTTGCTTTCCTTCGTTCTAAAAAAAACAGAGCTTCCCAAGTTTTGGAACTTCCATCAATGGCCATGAAGAGAAGTATAGAAACGGCAGAGCTAGAGACACTAGACATGGCGAAATGTCTAATCTACCTATCTCATAGCTTCCGCTCCGTCACTTCCAATTCCAATCCCTCCTCCGCCGCCGGCGGCGACGCCTTCGAATGCAAGACGTGTAACCGGAGGTTTTCTTCCTTCCAGGCGCTGGGCGGACACCGGGCCAGCCACAAGAGGCCCAAGATTGCTTTACTCGGCTTAGAAAAGTTGGGCCAGGACGGGCCCAAGGTGCAGACAAAGCCCAAGATGCACGAATGCTCGATCTGCGGGGTGGAGTTCGCGCTGGGCCAGGCTTTGGGCGGTCACATGCGGAGGCACCGAGCAGCCGCCACCATGGCCGTGGCGGCTCCTAAGCTGCCGGCGGCGGGGAACTCGAACAAGCTGCTGCCGGTGCTTAGGAGGTCGGGCAGTTGCAAAAGCGTGTTCGGCCTGGATTTGAACTTGTCGCCGTTGGAGAACGACTTGCAGTACTTGTTTGGCAAGATGGCGCCCAATGTTTCCATTGTTTGATATCTTTCTGATTGGTTTTCCTTTCGATTTTCATTTCTTTTAGCCTTACATTACATGTACAACAATTGGTTGATTCTTTTACTAACTTTGGTCCCGTCCGATGAGGGGTTTGATTTGTGAGTTTAATTTATGGTGTTTCCAACGAGTTTTTGGGTTCTTTTCATAGCCGTAACTATTTCACCTATTATTGATGATCTAAATTAGATATTTGTGTCCTCATTGTAACTCGGAAGCGAATCAAAGAAGTAAAAACTAAAAAGGAAATTGAATAATCATTTGTTTTGAAAATTGGACCGGTTGGTCCGACGATAATGAACTGGTAGGTCAAAAACTTATTGTAATGATTAGTTATTCAAATAAACCGAATCGACATACCGATTCAAACTACAGTCACTCAATAGCAAATCAAATTGTCTACCGCTTGTGCCACAGCTATTTAGAAGAAACAAATATACTTAATTCAAAGTACTTTATATTTTCAAAAAGGATCATGACATAGTGTAAAGTTTAGATATTAATAATTAAATCTTTTTTTTTTTGGAGAACCATAATATTTTAATTTTATATTTTTAATTTTTTATACACATCTTTGTTTACTTGAAATTTATTTTATTTTGGATTTATGGTTTATGCATATCTTAATTATAATATTATTTTTTTACGATGCACCGGTTTGTTAATGGATTTTTAACGATTTAGTAGCCTTAAACATTTAAAGTGTTAACCACTCGCCACACCGGTTCATACTCTGGTTCGGATATGACAATATTAAAAAACATATTCAAACCAAAATACGATCCAAAAATATCCATAACAAATGAACTTTCGATTCCATCACGGACTGACTAAATGGGGTCTCGGTATGACCATGTCTCAAAAGTAAACCAAAATTTGATTAAATCGAAACCCAAATTCGTTATGTCCATGGTGGAAACAAAATTCATTTCTTTTTAAACACAAAAATATCGGGGATTGAACTTTGCTGTGTCGACTGCAGAGGGGAGTCGAATAGGAGTGACTTTCGAGTTATGACTCTAAGAAACATTTGGAAATTTGAATGAAGGATGGTTTGCGATAAGCGAGAATTAGGAGATTTTGAAATTGCGACTTTGGTTGATCTTCAATATTGAATTTTCCCTTAATCAAAGTCCAAAAACATGTGATTATACTTATGGTGGCTATCGGGTTGCTTATCAGTTAACCAATAAGCAAAGTTAGCTACAACCAATAACTACAGTGGCGTAGCCATAAGCTCAAAACAAATGTATCATTTTACAACATATATGTATATGAATAAATATCCAACAAATTAATATTCAAGTAATTCATTCACGAAATAAAAATTTATCTTTTATAAACAAAAAACAATCATGATGTGTTCTCATATAAATAAAGGAGTTTTAAAAACATTCATTGCCTATATTCTTAAGTATTGCATCTAACTAATTTTCGTTTATCGTATATAAACTTCTCGTATTACAAAAACACTTGATATTCAAATACTATACATACACATAAGTATGGATAATACATTTGACTCAAATTTTAGGTGCGTCCTGAGACAAATCAAACATGCTTGGATTCACCACTAAATAACCGAACCACTAAAAAATTATCTATTATAGATTAACCACTAACTAACGTATATTAGTTCATTAATCGATAAACCCGACTAACCGTATATCAACCTAAATAGGAACGGACTCATTCTATCGCCGCCTCAACACGAGTTACACATATATATTTTTAGAACACACCAATGAAATTGTAATTGAAACTGATGTGTCACTACTCACTACTCACTAGAGATAAACTCTTGTCGACCAATATGCTGATTCCCGACGACGACGACCGATGACCAACGCCGAGCATTCCTACTTAGAAATCGACCAATCATGACGGTAGCAAAGATTGATGATCAACGGTGGTCATCACGCCACGCAAACATTGCTTTCCGCGAAAAACCCCGGGACATCAAATAGTCGCGTGTTCAATTTCATTTTATCGTGTTTCGTCAATTGCAGGAATTTATTGCGTGCGTATTTTTCAGTCGTGCGCCAAATATATACCTACTCTCCCGCGCGTTCGACCCCCCGGCTGCTCCAATGGTGAATCGAATCGCGTGGATGTACGCTCCGGGCCGGAGAAAGAAAGCGTGGATGGCCGAATACTCGTACGCGCTTGTATTCTTGGTGGAACTACTTGGGTGATGAGTCCCGTAATTAAACTGTTCTCCATACTTCATCTCCAACATTTTTCATATTAACAGTTTTGTCCCTCGTGCCCTTTGTCAATCGTTTATGAAAGGAAAATGTGCAAGGATAAGCAAAATTGAAGGGGTAGATGAGAGGCAATCAGCGAGGCATGGATGGGATTCAACCTTAAGTTCTTTACGGGATACACTTTCGCGTCATCGAGACATTTGGTACCGAATGAATAATTTTCTATAAAAGCTAGCTATCCAATTGTTCTTTTTTTTATCAAAGAAAAATAGAGGCATTCGTCTAGATAGTTGATTACTATATACAATTTTTGGATGAAAGCATTGCATTACATTGACACAATCATCTAGCATTGATTTCGAGTGAAATTTTGACCAAAGCAATAGCTTAGGAGTTAGGATGAGACATTTGATGAAATTCTATCAACTGTAGGATAACCAATGCATTTAATGTGTTTATACTATGCGTTTCGTTGATTAAATTATATGTTGACAATTTGTCATTAAAATTTACAGACCATTGGTAATTCGCTATCTAATGCACCTATTATTCAACATATCTTAATTGGTAATTTTAATTTTTAGGGCTTTGCTATTATGTACTTGCAAGTCACCATAACTTGTACAAAACGGTCGACCTCTTCACTGATCTGGTCGACCTATATGGACAAAATGGTCGACCTCATTGTTGGAATGGTCGACCAGATGTACGATTTTTCATTTGCTATTTTCATCAAACGGTCAAACTCTTCCACTAAAAGGCACTATACAAAAAATGGTCTACCACTTCTATCAAGTGGTCTACCTCTTTCTCCAAGCAGTCCACATCTTTCAATAATTGATCCACCTGATGAACCATTCCTAGTGATATCATCACATATAATTAGAGTCTAATAACAATAGATATGCTTTCTAGTAAGAGATTTAAAATTAGTACAAAGGCTGCAAACATAGATGACAAGGTTCTCGAGTGAATGTTCTCCCGTAGATTTGAAAAATATTACACATATTTATTTCTTATGTTGCATTACTAAAAAAAATAGCTTTATAATATTGGTCTCCTATTGTCCATTATTTTCTTAATGTAAGTGTAAGGTAACTGTGTTATCTGGTCGACTGGTCGCCGAAAGCGGAGATCATTTGTTGAAAGAGATATGTAAATCATTTTGCGGAATCGGTAGGCTGTTTTGGCGGAAGCGGTCTACCTCCTCAGCAGTTGTAAGTTGATGGTAAGTGTGTCACATGTCGAGTGGTATACCACTTGTTGGAAGAGGTCGACCACTTAAGGTAGTTATGTCATCAGGTCAACCCATTTCCGAATCGATAGACCGGTTGATTCAAGTGGTATACCACTTGGTGGAAGAGGTTGACCACTTGGAGATAAGTGTGTCATCAGATCGACCCATTTATGGAAGTGGTAGTCCGGATGACTCAAGTGGTAGACCACTTGGTGGAAGAGGTTGATCGCTTGAAGGCAAGTGTGTCATTAGGTCGACCCATTTTCGGAAGTGACAGACCGGATGACTCAAGTGGTAGACCACTTAGTGAAAGATGTTGACCATTTTCTTGGAACATGGTCGACCACTTGATGGAAGAGGTCAACCATTTTCTCCAAGTTACGGTGACTTGCAAGTCACCGTAGGCATACACTAATCTTTATAATTACCACTTGTATTCAAATTCCTCATCTGTTTCTCCTAATGCATGTCTATCACTACTTATGAAACCGCAACAAAGAGTGGGCAATGATGGATATTCAGATTCATGAGATTTTATTCGGATGTATGGAGTGGCGGAGTAAGGAATCTGAATGAGGGGGCTGATTTGAACTGTGATAATTGGGGGAGGGGGGCTAAGGCTCTATCTTACTTTATTTCCTAAAGTTATTACAGAATTTACAGATAATCTCACCTATATTTCAATTTTGAGGGAGGGAGTAATAGCTCTTCATGGCTTCAACCTAGCGCCTCCATATTACAGAGGATGCATTTGTTTTTTTTTTGCTTAGACAGAATACATTTGTTAATGTGCCAGTAAATATACAAACGATGAATACGATGAATAATGTTTGCAAATATTTAACAATCAAGATGCTGGTAGAAAGTTGGCGAACAATTTATTTTATTTACAGTCCATATTAATATATATTTTTGTTGATAAATAATATAATAACATCGCTCATTTCACAACATGCTTAAGGAGATGTTGTTTGTAGTTGGCATCTTCCGCTTTAATCTCTTAATCAATCTCTTGAAACTCAATTATGAAGTTGTTGTCCTTCATAAGAAAAGTGTGTTCACGAGTAAAACTATGATATATTCCAATTCTGGAATAAGAAAGGATTTGAATGAAAAACAAAGGGCTTGGGGAACCGAATTGTGACGAAGTATTATTTTGAGGACTAAATGGTAATACATGGTAACTTGGCGGCTGGTTTACATATATCTCTATTTTTTTGTTTTACCGTTTTTCATTTCTTTCTTCCTTTTCCCGGACTCCCTCGCTTTCTTTCTCTTTATCGAAGGCCGGGGCAGACTCTCCCGCAACAGAAGAAAAGAAGAATAAAAAGGGAAAGAGAGAGAATCGGAGAGGGAGAAGAGAGAGAAAGTGGGAGGGGGGGAGAGAGAGAAATCGAAAGGTTCACTTCTAACGTCAATGGCGGTTAGGGTTTTCAGCTGATTCGCGAAGCTCAATACTTTGCTACTTTCGTACACGTCCTCTCTCTCTTCGCCTATCTTCCTTCGGTTCTTCGAACCCTAATTCGGGCGCCTTGCTGGTTTGATTGCGACTCCGCTTTCAGTATCGGGGTTGGTTTCACCTTTCGTGCCCTGGAAGTGGAACCTAGATGGGCGCGCAAGATAAATCCCAAGCGAGCTCCAATTCGCTGCAGGTATGCCCTCAACTCTGAAGATATTGTAGAATTTGAGCTGGAATTGGATTGGATGCTAGCAAGTGAGCCGGGACTTAACTTGTGGATTGCAATTTGACGATTTTGGTTCCGTGGAGTCAACTATTGTATTGCTCGTGTTCACTTCTGTAGCGGTGTTTATGCTGGATTATTTTTCTTCTTCTTTCCTCTACTCAAGACGTCGGTCGAGGGTTTCAGTTGTTTTTGTTCAAGTCAAGAAACGTGCTTATAGATTAGTCAATTGAATGAATGTTTAAATGACATTTCCTTCGTAGGAGTGCCTAGTAGCAGAGGGTGCCATTGCTCAGTCTTGCTTTTACTAGCATGGTGTAGCAGGCTAGTTATATGGCATTGACTCGTGCCCTTTCCGCTAACTTCATAGTCTAAGTCTATAATCGACAACCAACTGGAATGCTAGACAAGTTGGGTAGAGACAAAATGAACAATTCTATCCTACAGTAATTGCAGCAAATTCCATTGGTTTTTAGGAACACTAGGCGACAACTGTGTATTTCGGCGAGTTACTGGATTTGGTAACTGATGTTTTTGTCTTCAATAGGTTGGGTAATTAGATACTATAAGTACCGTGGATTTAGATGAAGGCTGTCTGCTTATTGGCGTAGAGGTTGTCCGTTATGCCGAATGAAATCTTCCACAGATGGCAGTAGGGTGATGGAGGCATGCTATGTCTCTTTGATTCTTTTTGGTTTTTTTCTTCATTCCTTTTACCCATTCAGGAAAAAAAAACTCATTGTTGCTCATTAATCCAATTGTCATTTGTGCTCTTTATTATGAATAAATTCTCGTGCTTGTATGCTATGTCAATTTGGATGTCTGGCTAATGGTCATGATATTGGTGAAGTCTGAAAAGATTGTTGTGGTGGAAATGGAATACTATAGGTTGCTGAAACCTTTCTCATTGATAGATAGTTATCAGAAGGAGTTGTTTTGTTACTGGAAATAGATTGTTCTTTCCAGAAAATGTTATTGAGTGACGATTCTTATTCTCGTACCTTGAATTTTGGATCTCAAGAGATGTTCATACCTTGAACCTCTAGCTTTGATCACAATTACTACAGTTCCTGAGTCTAGGTTCTGTCTGCAAGTGTTTTTTTTTTCTGTTTAAATCACCAGCTTGTCGATTGTTTCCTACTGTAGATGCATCCAAGTGTTTCTCTTGGTGGTGTACCAATCTTATGTGCCGTTGCTTTGTGTGCATTGGCCTCCTAATATATTGTCTCATCTGGTGTAGTTGGACACTACTTGCACTTGGCCTGTAGGCTTCTGGTTCGTAGAAGCATTTGTTGCTTTCAAATGGAGTTTTAATCTATTATATATTGGGCCTATGCAAAGACAATTTCTCATGTAGCACTTGTCTTTTGAGCTTTTGCTGTTTTAAGGTTTGGCAAAAGCTAATGTGAGCATATTCTCTCTGATAGGTGAAACCAAGGGATGCTATTTTGATATTATGGCTTGATGTTTGAGGTTCCTCTGTGTGAATCACTGCAGCATGATCTAAAATTTGCATATTCTTTATCTTAAAAATTTAATGGAAATTATTATGCTTTGTGGCATTGATTGAGAAGTGATGTATTGTGTACACGTGATTCCTTTTTTCCTTCTTCCTCGGGATAAAGGATAAATGAAGTATTGGAATATGGATGATAAAGAATGCATAAGGTTCTAAGATTCAGAGGACCTGCAGGGTTTGCAACCCGGGTGACAAGTAACATTTTGGCCTAACTAATCTGAAAACCTTGAGTGCCATTGATTAACCTGAGACTGCTAACTGAACACTACAATCCCTTCTACTTGCTAGCTTGTGAACCTAAAGCCACCTAGCTGTCTGCTGGCAGCTACTGCTGATGGGATTAGCCCTGTGTTTTTATAGGATTGTTGGTGGCTTGTTGCTCATGGTGCTTTAATGATTTATATAAACACTTATTGGCGGTTGTGCTAATCTATAGGATCAACAAGTATTATGATGATTTGAGTGTTGCATTTTGAATCATGATTTTGCTAGTTATCTTTCACATTGTTTTCTGATCTGCTATGTGTAGTGGCATACTCCCTTCCCCGTTAGTCTTGTTTAGGAAATGTTTACATTTGATTCTCCTGCTTCTGGCATCACTTGTTTTTGTGTAGATAAAGTTTCTTTGGCCTCTGCCTGATCTTCTTAATTATTTGTCGATCACAGAGGGTTAAGGTCTATCGCCTGAATGATGATGGGAAATGGGATGACCAGGGAACTGGGCATGTCAGTGTTGACTACTTGGAGGTTTGGTCAAGCCTATTTGAATCTTAAGTTTCTATATAATTGTTGTTATTTGTTTAATGTGGATTTTACGATATCAGAGATCAGAAGAGCTTGGTTTGTTTGTAATTGACGAAGAAGACAATGAAACACTTCTCTTACACCGGATCATGCCAGATGACATTTACAGAAAGCAAGAAGGTAAGACAATGCTTGTCCTATCCATAGGAGTAATAACTCTTATAGCTGACGAAATTGCCCTTTTAGTATCACCTACATACCTGTTAGTTAAACAGTGTCTTTCTTGAACCTCTCAGATACAATAATTTCTTGGAGAGATCCTGAGTATTCGACGGAAATAGCCCTAAGCTTTCAAGAGACTGCTGGGTGCTCATACATATGGTACTGAATACTGCTTTTTGTCTACTTCTTTTCTTCCCCTATGGGTGGTTGTGGTATAACTTAACCAAAAGGGTATTATTTTTATACAGGGATCATATATGTAGTGTGCAGCGAAGCCTTCAGTTTAACAATCTCAATAGTAAGTTGTCCTTTTATCTGCTATAACCTTTATCTAAAGCTATCCAGTAAGTTGGTTATAAAGAACCAGTCTTTCTGGACTTTTTGGTTTAGTTTAGGCTGTGGCATGTCTCATCTCGTGGGATCAACCCAACCAATTTGCTGCTTGTCTGTAAATGGCTTGATTCCTGTGTTCTAACTCGATCGTGCTTTAAACATTGTTGTTAATTCTGTCAATCCAGGTGGTATTTATACTTCTTTATGGACCTGGATACCCTTTTCTCTGATGCTGATGTGAATCTTCTGTTTAACATAATCAGTCCCAGTTTGAGCACCCTAGTGGAAGTACAATGAAGATAAAATGTTAGCTCTAATCTCTTTTAGCTGTTCCCTTTTTGTTTTTGGTTAGAGGGAATGAGATGGTTAATGGTTTAATTGGAGAAGAATTTTCTTGGATGTGGAAGTTGATTACTTTAAAGTAGAACTTCAGGTTCAGTCACTCTTGCAGACTGCCGTAGATCTATGTGATTCTATTGCAGTCGTGCAGCTGGCTTTACGTACTGTTATAATTTATAAAGAACGTGTGCTGCCACATGCCCCGTCTATCTAGTGGAACCTCACAACTGAAAAGAAGATCTGTTTCTGCTTTGGGTAACCATTATGTATCCAGCTTTTATGGTCTGTCCTTGTTCTGACTAGATATATTAATGCTGGATTTCAAATGAATTCCGGTTGGATAATTTGTGTGATATATGGGTTAGGAGATGGAGTTTTAGGTGTATAATCGTTGACAATCTTCCATGTCTGCAATCTATTTAGTTGTTACAGATAGTTTGGAATTCTTGCTAATGATTTGTTGGTGGTCCCAAAAAAGTTTGTTTATGTCTCCTAAAATATCCTGAAGCATGAGAGATATGTCAAGGCCTCATGAGGTGGCAAGATGTTATTTTCTTTACTGGAATCCGTAACTGTATTGTTGTATTCTGTTGGAACCGTTATGTTTATCCCCTGATCTCTTTAACTGTGTACAGGTGAGACATTTCACAGCATGAACAGCGAGCTACGGGAATTGCCTGCTGTTGAACTGTCCACACTTCCTTTGATACTCAAGGTTCTGAATATGGTTACTATGGTTTTTCTTTATCATTACTTGGTGTATGTCTTGGGCCACTCTCTTTGTCGTTTCTTTTGAATTTTTTTCCTTTGTTCCTTCAGGGCAGAAGGCATATTAGTTTGACATGTGATTCTCTTCCTTTCCTTCCTGTCATGTCACTGGTTCAGTCTCAAGGATCATATAAATCCAGACCCTTTAGAATCCTGTATTCATGAACTTAGTTTGGTTCGGCTGTTATCTCCTCTGGTTTTCTTCGCAAGTTCCTGTCTTCTTTAGTTTTTGGTAGGAGAAAGCCAGGGGAAAAGACCCATTTAGCTACATCCTATACCTCCGAGGGGTGGTGGGGTGTAGCTGTGCGCCTGCGCCAATCCTTATGTACCCATCTCAGACAGCCCTTGGGGTTATACCTGTAAAATCCTTTTGTGTGCTTGAGTCTTGGGATTGAATTTGTTTTCCCATACTAATTTCTTATGCCTGGTTATTGTTGAATTTCCTTCATTGACTCTAATTGAAGTATATATATACTAATTTTTTGATGGACGCTCCTAAGCTGAATGATTTTTTAACGTGCAGACAGTCTCTGAGAGTGGCATTGCGGATCAGATGAGGTTGCAAGAACTTATACTGAATGAAGTATGTTGCATATGTTATCTTCTGAATCCATATTTTGTTGGGTTTATGGTAGGCTTTTTCTGTTATATGTGGATTAGTAACTACTATGTTACTGGTACTCTGAGATCACTTCTCAAGTTTGAAGGTGATGATTGGCGATTAGCTGCTAATCATATATGTGAAAGTATTTGCTGATGTGATTGGTTTTGGGTAGTGTCGGGCAGCCTGTTTGATGTATCTGCATCATGAAAGTTGCAGCTCTAATGCGATAACAAGATTGCATTTGCATCTGATAAAAAGGATAGCATATTGTGGTCGCTTGAGCTGCATCATTTAGGTAGTATGCTCTTTTGTTGCTGTTGGTTTTGCTCGAAGTGTTGCTAGGAATTCCTGCTCTCTGGCATACCATCTGTTAATTGGCTTTGTAAGAGATTGTTGTGCTTTATTTTGATAATTTGCTTTTTTGCAACGCAGCCAGAGTTTTTCCGCAAGTTGATGGATCTTTTCCGGATATGTGAAGACTTGGAAAATACGGACGGTCTTCACATGATTTTCAAAATAGTGAAAGGGATCAGTCAGTATTCTTTTTCTTATTTTGTTGACTTTTCCTTTATGTAGTGGGTTTCTGCATACCCTTCATCAATTTATGTAGTTGGGTATTGTTGCTTGCAGTTTTGCTCAATAGTCCTCAAATTTTTGAAAAGATATTCGGAGATGAGTTTATCATGGATATCATTGGTGCTCTTGAGTGTAAGTTCTCCTGTAGCTAGGTTTTTACTTGTTAGCTTCTTCATTGTTTTACAATTAGAACTGTATATTGTATGAGTTTTTCTAGGGAAAAGTGGCTTTGCTTTTCCTGGTAAATTTTTTACTGGCTGTACTATTATCTTGAAGAAGTACAATAAGCATAGGAAAGGAGCAATATTAATCATGCATTTGATCGATTGAAATCATAAAAGATCGTGTTCATGGATCCAGTTCTGTGGACGTTCGATTTATATGCACACTTAGATTGAGCATCTCCATTGGATGATTAAGTGTTTGTATTTCCGACTAGCCATGTCTGCTGGTACTGGTTTTGTTTTTCCGTGGACAATTTTATTCCATATCCTGGAGAAGTCTTCGATGTGAAATAATGTTGTGATGAGTTTCGAGTGTCCATGTTCTAGCAGCTGAGATGTTTACATCACATATATACACTTCCCTTTGACAAATACTCTATACTCTCCATTGTTCATGTTACTTTCTCAAGTATTGACAATGCTATTTCAGTCAGTGATGGATTGTGGTATAGTTGGTTGCAATAACTATACAGGACCGAAGTACTAGTACTTTATTGCATAATTTGAAGTAAGCTGTCTGTTATTGGGCAGATGACCCTGACGTTCCTCGTGTTCAACATCATCGTGATTTCCTGAAAGAACATGTTGTGTTTAAGGAGGTAATGTGCAATTAGGTTGCTGTTTCTTTTCTGTTGTTGGGTGGAGCATGGATTATGTTGTTAGCATAATGTTTAATTCCATGTCCTAAGATAGAGCAAAATGATAACAATTGCTGCAAAGAGAGAAAAACATCAAGCACACTGTATTTTAATGAAAACTAGTAATATATCGGGGAACCGTTTATGCTTTATTACAGTTGAGGAGTTCTCTTATATTTTCCTACTTCATGGCTGATCCATCGAATTTTTCTTTCTTTTCATTAAGGCCATTCCAATTAAAGACACTGCTGTGCTGTCAAAGATACATCAGACATACCGAATTGGTTATTTAAAGGTTTGGTCTTGATTGATGTTGTATTATGGTTGTGGTTGCTTCTTTGTTGTAAGTCTCAACTCCTGCACTTTGTCTTCCAGGATGTTGTTTTGCCCAGAATATTGGATGAGGGAACTGTTGCAAATCTAAATTCCATAATCCATGGAAATAATGCTATTGTAAGAATCTGAAATGGACTGTTTACTTCTTCCGAGACTTTGAGGTCTCTCATTCTTTTTTTTTTTACCTAAATGATTGTATTTTCTTGCAGGTGGTGTCGTTGTTAAAGGATGATGGTACGTTTATTCATGAATTATTTGCAAGGTTGAAGTCACCAAGCACATCTGCAGAATCAAAGAAAAATCTGGTAAATACAGCCATATAGATATGTTCTTTTAACTGGTTGATGACTGCAACTAGGATTTGGCATCCAACTATTGAGATGTCCATTATGCAGCCTATAAATTAACCTGACGTTTGTACGGGAATGTTGCAACTCATTTGACACTGTTTGGCTGGAATTCCAGTTTGAGAAGTGCAGTATGCCTGCACTAGATAAAATAATGGCGTCCTTCATAGGTGATTTCAGTATATGATTAGATATTTTATAATGGAAGCTTTTAAAGGGAATAACAATAGCAACTGGTAGATTGCTGAAGACGTGGTTATTTCTTATCATGATATATGACTGTGTGCTCCTATCACTTGGAGCCTCACATTTGACTAACTCTTTTTTGTTCCCTTTCTGAATAAACAGGTGTACTTCTTGCACGAGTTTTGCAGTTTAAGCAAGAGCTTGCAAATGGTCCAGCAGCTCCGGTTGTTTAGGTATGTGTACCTTGAGGTTTTCTAGTATTCCTGTCAGTGACTGCGTGATTCACCCTATATTATACTTGTTTCTCTTGCATTCAATTTTTTGGACAGGGATCTTGTCAACGAGGGTCTCTTTGATGTTGTCACTGATGCTTTGCAGAATGAGGACAAGAAACTTGTACTAACTGGGTAAATGGTGCTTTATTATCTATTCGGTTTTCGTGTTTCATCCTTTATGTTTGTATTTCAGGATGTATCTTGTATTCATCTAATGGATAGTTATTATGATTGATGCAGGACAGATATCCTCATTCTTTTCCTGAATCAGGATCCAAACCTTTTGCGATCTTATGTTGTTAGGCAAGAAGGCATTACGCTTCTTGGTTTATTGGTATGTTAATCTATGAGTTGGAAGCTAGGCTGATGATGTTGAACTGTTGCTAGTGTGCAACTGTACCTGCAAAATATTGTTGTTGTTTCTTGATGGAGTAGTAGGAGACAGGGTCCTTCTCTTGTGCTTATAGGTTAAAAGGTTTAGACCTCTCAGTATTGTAACAGTTGTGCTTTCAGTCTTATAACGAGCATAACTCTCTCTTGGTCTCCCCTCTTATTTGGTTCTTCTTATATAAATTTTGTTGGGGTCTTTGCTTTTAGGATCTGTAGGGTGTGCATAAGTTTATAGTAAATGATATTTTAAGTTTCTTCTGCTGTAAATTCTGAGCTCTTTTCTTGCACATTTTTCTTGCAAGCTGAGTGGTGGCGTTTTTCTGGAAGTAATTCAAACAGTGTTTACGTGCAGGTTAAAGGAATGCTAACAGATTTTGGAGAGGATATGCATTGCCAATTTCTCGAGATTCTTAGGAGTTTGTTAGATTCGTATGCACTATCTGGAGCTCAGGTGGGTATCTATTTGATGCATATATGGGCTGCTAAGTTTGGTCCATATAATCTTGCACTGCAACAGCGTGTCATCTCAGATCTACAAAATTATTGTTTTCTTTTGTGCAGAGAGATAATATAATTGAGATTTTCTATGAGAAGCACTTGGTCCAGTTGATTGACGTGATAACTGAATCATGTCCTGCTTGTGGCACTTCTGAATCCGGGGGCACATCTTCAGTAGAAGTTGGGAAACAAAATGGCGTGAAGCCAGAGATACTCTCCAGCATATGTGAATTGCTATGCTTTTGTGTTCTTCACCATCCATATAGGATAAAGTAAACATCCCTCATGCCTATGTTTGTTTCAGAAATTTCTACAGTTGATTAGTACAATGTTCTGACACCCTGTTGTGTCATGCCTTTTTATGTGTGCAGGTGTAACTTTCTTCTTAATAACGTTATAGATAAAGTTTTGTTTCTAACTCGGAGGAAGGAAAAATACCTAGTAGTAGCTGCTATTCGGTTTATCCGGACCATTCTTTCTCGGCATGTAAGTTGTGCAGGGGTTAGACATTGTTCAGTTAGTCACAGTGCAATATATTAATTGGAATGTGGCCTTCTTTCCGTAAATGGCAGGATGAGCACCTGATAAATCATTTTGTCAAGAACAACCTTCTCAAGCCAATTGTTGATGTTTTTGCAAGCAACGGAAATCGTTATAATCTTCTGAACTCGGCAGTTTTGGAGCTTTTTGAGTATATCCGTAAGGTGGGTGGTTAAATGTTTTTGGTAGTGACTAATGGTTCATTTTCCAGAGTGAGCATTTTATTTTATCTTGTTTGATTGATACAGGAGAACTTGAAACTATTGGTCAAGTACATAGTCGATTCATTCTGGAATGAGTTGGTAAACTTTGAGCACTTGACCTCCATTCAGTCTCTGAAAGTCAAATATGAGCAGGTATGTTTTTTTGATAATGGTGAAAATAATTTGAGCAGATATGCAATGCTCCATTCACAGCAGGACTACGCTGCTGCGAGTGTTTGCTCCTTTTTCCACAGTGCTGACGTGATGTTCATGCAGTACCTAGAGAATTCTGGGACGAGGAACACTGGTAGTATCTCAGACCCGAGGAAAAGGGGGGATGAGCGTGCTTTAGAAAAAGAAGAGGAAGATTACTTTAACGAGGACAGGTAAGTCTGCACTCGGACATTTAGTTGAGTTATCAGCTTCCTTTGATTGAACTCGTGTGAGGCCTATTGGACTTGTCAATAGAAATGAAGTGGAAGTATATGTGAAAACTATATTGAAACAAGTGAATGAAGAAAAATACCAGTTTTGTCCGCGTAAACTTTTAGAATCTTATTGAAGGGAAATGTAGAAAAGATGAAGCTGAGGGATCCACATGCTTTAAAATTAGATTTCGAAGTGGAAGTTAGAAGTTAAAACTTCATTTGAAAAGTTGATTATGTGACCCAATCGAGGCACCAACAACAGGTGCCAATTGGTTTTAATCGATTGAATCATCTCCACCTTTGGTAGAGCATATTTTCTGACTCGATTCTGAAAAATTGATCAGTGAGGAAGAGGACACTGCATCTGCATCACAGACGACAAAAAGAGCACAAAGGCAACAACCGTCACTGTCCAATGGCATTGCTGCAAGGCACCCAGCCTCAAGGTATGATTATTTACTTTATTATATATTAAACTAATTGCCTAAGGCGTGGCTCCATTTTAACTTTTGAATCTGTAGTCCAAGACCTGGTGCTGGACTCGTTGACTATGAGGATGACGAGGATGACGAGGACTACAGACCGCCACCCCGAAAGCAACCTGAAACATCCGAGGAGGATGAAGGGATGATGGAGTCTCTCAGGTTGAAGCGTAAGTTGCCGCCTTCAAAGGAGAGGGATCCAGCCGAGGTATCAAAGAAGCAGCGTTTGAGCAAGACCTCCAAGACTAGGGATAGTGTATTTGCTGTTTTGTGCTCGACCCTCAGTCAGGCAGTGCTACCCGGGAAGAAGAGCACTACAGATACTGTTCGTAAGGCTGCAGCCCCCGCTGCAGCTGCCTCCCCACGTACTTCAGATGGGACCATCGAAGGTGATAATCAAAGCACTGAGCCGTCTCCTGTTTCTAGAGGGTGCCCTCCAGGTAGTAAGAGCAATAGTGACTTGGTTGAGGAAAATGAGAATGAGAAGGAAGTTATTGGGGTGTCCAGAAGCTGTTCGGCTGACTGTGTGAGCAGCAGTCCATCGGAAGGTAGTAGGCAGTTAAACGGGGAGGATGCCCCGCTGATACCTCCAAAGTCATCACCGGAAATGGCCGGTAATGGATCTTGAAAGCGCCATTTGGGATTTCTAGATGTTTTAACTCCCTGTCTTGTTGTGTATTTTATAGACTGATGGCGGAGGGCTGTGGCACATATCATTTACAGGCTAGTAAACTTAACCCTAAAGGGCGAGGGGCTTCGATGGCTTTCATCCATGGCCGGGAGGGGGAGAGTGAGTTTGTATAGCTGCCTGAAGGTTATTAGCGTACGAGCATGGTGGAAACCTTAGGCCTCTGGAAAATTCCCCTTCCAACTGCTGCTGGCCCTGCTTGCTGTCTCTCCGATCGATTGTTTGTTGCTTTTATGAACACGATCTACTTGGTGGATTTTTCTTTTCGTGCTCGTTCCTTGAAATAGCTTTAGTTGGTTTTACTCCAATCCGTTGTTTTAAGCCTTGTTGGTTCTAGGGTAGAATGTGGGAAAGCAGAGGGCATGTAAAAAAACTGTATGCCTGTGTTTTCTTTTCTGTTTCTTGTTCAGTTTTGTGACGGGGAGGGGTTTTGATTTGTACTGTATACTACAAAACGAGGAACAAGGCTTTCTAGCGAGCTGAGTTGGGTTGGGGGTAGAAACAGAGGCCAGGCCGTGTTTTTTTCTCAGTTGTAGCAGAATGTTGGAACACAGAATCAGTCAAGTGTTACTGTAAATGTGAAATAACTCTTAATTTGCAGTAATAGGCCGAGAAATCTCCCTTGTTATCTTCAGACCAACAAATACGGTTTGTGTTTTGCTTCTCATAGGTTCACAGATCACAATGTAAATGTCAAAGCATTTCGAGCTGACGTTGAAGCTTTCCATTGATAGACAACGTTTCGTATTAGAAAAGACAGAGTCGAGATCTTCAAGTTGAAAACCAGCGGTGGTATAGTACAATAAGCTTTTTATTTCCAGGAGCTGCTCCGTTCATTTGGCCTTACAGCCATCCTGATCTCCGCATTCTTTTTGTTCTTTTTTAATTTCTGTGCAAAGAACGGGATTTGACACACGTGGATCCTTGCAAACGCCGTGAAGTACGGGAAAAGCATCCACGTAAGTGACCACGTGTCGCGTCCTCTTGCAACCTTGCATGCACGCATGCCACTCCGCTCTCGCCAAGAGATAGCTATAACGCAGACACTTCTCCTCCCCGCAGATTGTTTGCACTGCACCGTGTGACCGCTTCCAAATCTTCTGCTCACATTTGCGTACCAGCTTTCTGAGTTTGAGCACACGACTGTTCCGGCAAGAAAATGGGCAGCAACTATGATCTGAAGCCGACGTCTTCCACCTCTTACAGCGCGCAGCTCGGCAAGGGAGGGCCGCTGATCGACCTCGGCCACCCGCTGCTCAACCACATCGCCGATAGCTTCATCAAGGCCGCTGGGGTAAGCGCGCGTAAAAACGAACATCTCGAAATCATACCGATAATCTGTCTCTTTAGACCACGTGAGATCGGATTCAAGTAACTGAATTGTACCTTCGTTGGGTTCTCTTTTTTGTGCCGCAGATCGGTGTAGTCCAGGCGGTGTCGCGGGAGGCTTGTTTCACCGTTCTAGATGGTATGCATATAACGCCGAATCTCGATTCGTAGAATGCGAGATGGTATATATACATGGTGGTGTTGATTGTGTTTGGATGATTGATTTGATTGCATCAGGAATTAATGGAGGTGGTGGTTCGGAAGGCCTCCCGCCTGAGATCACCTCGACCGGTGCCAAGAAACGCCACCGATTCAATGCCCTCCACGGTACTAAATTCACGATTTTACGTTTCGGAGCGCGTGATCTTATGAATGCCTATGCCCAAATGGTTGCATCATCTTTGTCTTGTGTCGTAATTTTTTCTTGCAGGTGAAACCAACAACAAAAGCCTTGAAGCCATGGTAATTGACTTTCCCTTTTTACCATGCTTTTCTACAGTTCAATCACTCTGTTTATGGAGACTGAAAAATCCATTGCTGTTCTTGATGTGTGTATTAGGTGAAGAACACGGGGAAAGAATCTCTACAATGGGGTAAATCTTACTCCGTCGTGCCATCCCGAGTTCCATTCTCTTAGTTAAATGTAGTGATGATCACTCTGAATTTTTGCCACGATGTGGACAGGCCTGGCTGCCGGTGTATACTCGGGACTGACCTACGGATTGAAGGAAGCCCGCGGGTCTCACGATTGGGTAATGATTTTGACTGATTCAACATGTCCTTTGTAGAAAGGATTAATGCTTACTGCCTGTTGATGGATACCAATTCATGTTCATTTGTCGCGCAGCAAAACAGCGCGGTGGCTGGTGCTATAACTGGACTGGCTGTCGCCCTGACGGCGGAGGATCCTTCACACGAGCAGATCGTGCAGTGCGCGGTCACTGGAGCAGCTGTCTCGGCGGCTGCCAACCTTCTTTCGGGTATCTTTTGAAGGTTTGGATGGAGGAGCGAACACCTACTTGCTGCATCTTGTGCTTGGTAGTAGTACTAGTAGTCGTTGTTGTCATAGAGAAGAAGATTAGTAGTTTGTATTTTGGTTTAGGCTCTGCCGGGATTAGATTTCGGCCGTGGCTCTTCTTTTACTGGACATGAACAGCTATGTGTTCTTTTTTTCTGCCTCTTTGTATTGTACGTCTGCTCAAGCTGTAAATCAGCATGTCCAGGACAGGGTTCATAATGGTTTTTGTTAAGACTATATTATGATATTGTCAGCTGGAAAAGATTGCAATCCGATCAAATCAATCGGATTAATTTCTAAAGTATGTTAACTAATTATCATGAGAACGCATAAAGATCAATCAAGAGAATACAAAGGATACAAATCATTGAAGTCAATGAAGTAATGGCAGTCTCCAGTATCCTGATTGATTTCTCGACTTGATCATACCTTCTACAACAAACTTCCTAATGAATTGGCGCAGAATGAATTCATTCAAATTCTGATACCTCACCAATCAAAATGATATTGGTGGAAATGATGCACATTGAGATGCCAATAATAATAATAATAATATGACTCAATTGGTCTTGCGTTCTACTTTTGTTAGTAATTAGTGACTCTAAAATCTTGATCCATGGGATTAATTACGGGCGTAACATCTAACTGTCTGTGGTGTTGCCTTCTAATCACTTGCTTAACTTAGGATGCCCAATGAAGAAAATAAACTAATCTCGTTGTGGAGCAACGGTTAGACCATAATTGATGGGCTTATTCCCTAGCAACTCTACTCAGTGGGCCTGAGCCTGGGCCAGGGCCGAAAGCCCACAACGAACAACTCCGCCTTGGCGGTGCAGCCTTTACTTTTGTCGCGTTTACCTCCAAATCTCAATTTCCGTTCTCCGTCGGGAAATCCAATTCACATTCCGTCTCTTTCCGCTTCAAAACAAACCAGTCTTCCTCCTTCATCCTTCCTTTTGAATGCTTCTCGCTCGCTCGATCTCCTAGTAAGTAAGCTCCTCTGCTTCCCTCTTCTTCTCTCTACATATCCCGTGTCCTCAGCTTGTCCTTGAATCTCCATAGTTATTATCAGATTCTCTCTTTCAAGTTCTGTCGCAAGCGAGAACGGGTGCGTCTCATTAGAAATTTAGGGTTCTTGCTGTGTTCTTTCGTTTGCCCCGCGGAATCGATGATTTCTGTTTCTGGGTAGTTGCAATTTCAGATTTTGTGTTGTAAGATCTCCCGTTTCTTTTCTGTCTCTGCCGCTAAGATCAGTTGTCTTCGGTTCTTGATCGAGCTAGGTTTTCAATTAGATTGATTTCTGACTATTAGGGGACTGGCTGCAGGTATCTGAAAGTTTGACGGTGTGTTGAGTAGCACTGCAACGATGGCGGATAAGAAAGAGGAGAAATCTCAGGTGGCGGCAGACAGAATAAAAGCCGCAGCCTTGAGCGCAGCGAAGGGTCTGAGTCGAGCCCAGGCCGAAAGGGCAGCCACCGCTGCTGCCCGCAACGTGAACGCTTATGGTCAGAAGGAAGAAGGGCCCAGCAGATGGCAGGAGAAGAGGGAAGCCAAGAGGCAGATGTACTTGATGAGTACAGAGAAGCAAGTTCGATTGGGTGAGAGGAAAGACATCAAGTCCTCCATGACTGCAGCTGGGGGCACAGCGCAATGCCAGAAGTGTTTCCAAGCCGGGCACTGGACGTTCGAGTGCAAGAACGAGAGGGTTTACATGGCGCGACCGTCCAGAACCCAGCAGTTGAAGAACCCCAAGTTGAAGATGAAGGTTTCGATATCTTACGATTTGGAAGACCTGCCTGAAACTAAAGAGGAAGAAGAGAAGGGGAAGGGGAAGGGAAAGGGTAAGAAGGTGGAGAAGAAGAAGAGCAAGAGGAAACATAGGTCGGATTCTGACTCCAGTGATAGCGAGGCTTCGGTTTTCGAGACTGATAGCGAGTCCTCATCAGTTACTGGTTCGGAATCTTCGTCCGCGGAGAGTAGTTCGGAGGATTCCAGTTCGTCGTCTGATTCGGAGGAAGAGAAGAGGCGGAGGAGGAGGAAGAAGAAGCAGAAGATGAGATCGAGGCGTAGGAGGTACAGCTCGTCCTCGGAGTCTTCTGATTCTGACTCGGGTTCGGAGTCGGATTCTGAGGAGGATAGGAGCAGCAAACGAAAGAAGAAACCCAGCAAAAAGCGTTGAAGAAAATGTGCAAGTGCCCGGTAGAAAGCTTGTGATGTGAGATACAGATTTTAGCTTGTGCTGTTACTCTCCTTGAAATAAGTTTGTAGACTAGTCCTCTCTTCCTTTGAATGTTGTTAAACTTTCGGTGTTCTGTATGAATCCACATTAGCTGTTTGAACTTTTGAATCTGGTATTGTTGTTCTGTTCTGTTCCTTTGCTAGTGTTTGTGAATTTGGAGGTGCCAGTCAGTTTGGTGAAAGCTTATGAGCTTCTCGCCTTTTGATCTTCTTCCATTTATCCCACACTTTCCTGTATCTGTTACTGCTATTTATTTTTAGTCTCATCAATGTTTGTATTCAGAAATTTTTTGAGCAGGAAACATTTCTTCGCTGGATCGTGTCTTTCACGATGTTACTATGTAGAAATTGGAGCTCACAGAGTAGATCTAAGCTTTAAATTCACCATAGTATTTGTGTTTCTAAGTCGGAGCCTTGGAGGTGAAATTCTCTTGAATGTGCTCAAATTTCCAGTTCTCTACTTACGGTTTGTTGTAGAGAATAGAGATCAACTGGATAATCAGGGACATTCGTATTTCATAGTCTGAGCAACCGTCAAAGTCTGATGCTAGTTCTTGTTGAAAAACTCGAGAATTTTCCACCAGTTCCCCTTAACCTTCTTTCTCAAACGCTGGTTGATTCAAGCTGCTGCTGCTTGACCAGAACCTCCTGGTTTCGTGAAGTGGACTTGCAGAAGTTCAGCAAAGGCAGTTTACCATTCCATTAGGTTTCTTGGGCCCGTTCTGATGTTTGTGCTGATGAATTGGGCCTCTTATTGTGGGCTCGAATTTGGAAACGCAGCGATGGTTAAAGAAACTTGTCGACTGTGTTAGCGTTAGCGTAGTCAGTACTCTACGGAGGCGAAGAACCTCTCCCGTCCCGCCAAAACGCTCGCTTCTCTTCGTGTCTCTGCAACTCCAGAAGGTCTGCAAAGATGAGTACCATGAAATTCTGCCGCGAGTGGTAAGATCTTGGACCTCTCCTTCGTTTCGCTTCTCCCTCTTCTCTCTTGGCTTCTTCATTCTCGCTAGCAGAAACCGTGGTTGAGTTTTTTTTTTTCTTCGTCTCTGTAATTTGTTTACGCAGCAACAACATTCTTTACCCGAAGGAGGACAGGGAGCAGAAGATGCTCCTCTACGCTTGCCGGAACTGCGACCACCAGGTACCGTCTCCCCGGTTCTCCCTCTTCGTCTCTCGTTTTCGCGCCTATTTATGTTCCGCCCGCGTCCAGTGTGGAAGATTAGGGTTTACGGCTGTTCGATTTAGAGGTAAATGTGTTGCTTGAGAGGTGTTTCAGATGTGATAATGCTGGTGAAATTTGGTTGAAAGAAACAGCGGAGAGTATGCTGGCCGTGTGCTGCGTTAGAATGCTGAAGGAGTTGCTCCTACATTTTGTTCTAGGTTGAAAAGGGAATAGGAGATGTGAGGTTGTGGTTTTTGTTGCATTTCTACTGTTAAAATTTGGCTCAAGAACCCTAATTGCTTGGCCTGTCTATTTAGATACGATTTTTCTGAGCTCTGTCACGTTGTGAACATGAAGGAAATCTATGTGAGCTTTCATTATGAAAGCAAGAGCAGATGTTGGTTATGTACTTCGTGAAAGCGGTGCAGAAGTTTCTCCCTAACTGTTTTCTAATCTGAATGCGGAAAGAGTTGTTTGTTTCAACTTGTTTTTGAATTCTCTTTCCTGTTTTAACTTCCTTTGTTATCAGTTTACCTTTAATTGTTCCATAGCCATCACTCTCACAGACTGTCATATGGACAAGGTATAATATAATACGTCAGCCATTACTGCATGTAACCAGAGGATGCTTCCTTGGAAATTGGCATATTTTGTAGTTTCTTGTTTATCCCTTTAGAATGATGTTAGCTGCTTTGGTATTATTACAATCTCACTGTGTATGAGAAGTTTGGATGTGTTTACTCAGATAAATGTGATGCTTTGAACATGTTGCAGGAAGTTGCTGAGAACTACTGCGTATATAGAAACGAGGTGCATCACTCTGCAGCAGAACGGACCCAGGTATTGCAAGATGTAGCTGCTGATCCTACTCTTCCTCGCACTAAAGATGTTCAATGTGCTGAGTGTAAGCATCATGAAGCTGTGTTTTTCCAGGTTAGTTTTTTTTTTTTATCTTGACTATGGTTCCATGAATTTGTTCAGAAACCATAACGGTTTAGTTGCTTTCTTGTAGTTTCCTTTTCTCTATCGTTGTTCCTATGGATGTGGTCTAAAATATTAACTGACTGGTGTGCTTAAGAGTGCCTTAAGTCTTTACATGTCTACACAGGCATTAAAGAACAAGGAAAATCTGTTATTACGTTAAAGTTGACTTGCGTCTGTGCAACTTGCAATCCATATGTAAAATGATGCTTCATGAACACCATATTCTCTATTGGAAATCACGTAACTGAGCTGAATTACTGCGTACCAACTTCAACACATTAGACACGTCGGCCATGTGTTATCCATCCAAGTGAATCGGGATGATTATGTTCCCAAATTTAAAAAGAGGTGGGAGGAATATTGGGATTGCTTGTTTTCTGTCTGGGGGTTAAATATTCATTTTTCCCCCTGTGCACCCACTTCTCTATATATTCCATTCGCCTTCTTTTCTGAAGAATTTGTAGATAATAATTACACTGCTGTCGTCAGTTTTCAGGCTACTTTTGTCTTGATTGTGGCCTAAAAGGGTAGCTAGGAGGTGTTGCACGTCTTTGCTGTCTGAGTGGGTACTTTGAGTACGTTAGGTTACTTTGTCTCGGCCACTTACAGTCCATAGGGAAGAGGATACACTTCACGACCAACATACTAAAATTGTCTCAGCCACTTAAAGTCCACTTACACGATCGAAGATGCTCAAATTCCTGATGCTAGTTGCATCTGTTTAGTCTTATTTAAGTTGCTCAAATTCCATGCTCTGCATCCTATTTTCAGATGCGCTCCTCGTTACCAAATAAAATGAAAGGAGTGCACAAAAGGAGCTCTTATCTTATGCTTGTTTGTTAATTGCTATACTGTTATATCTACCACCTTTCGTAGGATGCATTTGCTGTAGAGATTTATCGTTCTGTGACATGCTAATGGGTGCCTTAAAGCATCTCACAAGTGATAATGGTGTTGTACATAATATATTGGTATGAATCTAAACTGCTGAGAAATCTCAATGCAGGCAACGGCCAGAGGAGAGGAAGGTATGACGCTGTTCTTCGTCTGTTGCAACCCAAATTGTGGGCATCGCTGGAGAGATTGAGGCTCTGGGAAGGATTGCGGTCCATGGTGTATCCGATATTAGGCTTGCTGTGGAGTTCCAAGAGTTTGTGGCTACGAAGTTCTGCCATCTAAGTTCTAACAACAGCCGTGCGGAATGTATTCTAGTGTAGGGTGTGACGATTTTTAGTGTTTCAGTGTGTTCAGTGGCTTTGATGGGCCAGAAATGGGCTCAGAGATGTCCAATTCTGAATTTTTAGGCCCACTACATGCCTTTTCAGTGTTTGACATGGGCTTACAGAAGGCCATAATGCATCTTGGACGTTGATGCACTACTTCACCCTTTCAACCATAGTTAAGCAAGGGAGCATCTCTTTGCTACACTTTGCAGTTTCACAAACCGCAAAAAATGTAAGAAAACAATATATACTCATAAAGATACCAAAAAGAAGAGGTGGGGAAACAGGAACTCAAAAATGATGGTAGAAGTGTCAACACTTATAGCGTCTGGATTCTGGATAGTTCCAAAAGTTGAATCTAACATAAGAAATCTAGAAGGAGAATATATTCATGGGGGAAACCTTGATCAAGAACTGAAAGATATACATCAACGTGCAACCACACACCAAGATGCACTCAGCACGTTAAGACCCGTGGCGCACACTAAACATGATCCAGAGCTGGTTTGTTAGAAACAGTGGCTACGGCGTAGTCAGACTTGGAGTTCATTGGGGGCCCTTAAAAATTTAACAACACTAAAACTTGTGCATATAATGAATTTTGAGTTGATTGGAGTCCTTACGCGAGCTAACATCGACGTGAATATTGGATTCTAAACTTGAAAAATCATATACTAAACCATGTCTATCTAAAGAGTTTTGTTGCCTCATTTTTCGTCACTACCTCTCTCTGCCACTGGTTAGGAAGTCCCGCCGCGCCTTGAGAGTTACATTCCGAGCAAACATAGTCAATACCATTCGCAGCATTCTCCGCAGCTTCATCCCTTGTCATGCCTACACAAGGTGGATGGAACCTACAAAGTAGTGCCACATTTTACAGAAGGACATGCAATTTTCTATGTTCTATCGACTGAAAAACTTTGGATGAGATGGGAGCAACTGCAGGACTCCACTTGTGATTAATAAAAGCTAGAAACAGAAATTGCAATTGCAGAACTCCACCTGAATAAAAGCTAGAAACAGAATTGTACACGCGGCCTGTTGAATTCAAGATCATTGCTTAACATAAAGGACGCATGGATGACATCCATCAACTTTCTCTTCACTTTTTATGATGCACATAATCCCTATTATATACTGTAAAAGTTCCTTCCCTTTTGGCGCAACTGTTATCGCTCTAAGTACAACTCTATTTCAGTTTCTCATGGCCATTTCAACTGACATCTTGCTAAACCGATGCAATTGATTAATGAGGGCATAAAAAAGATACTGAAGGCAGAATAGAAGAGGATGTTGAATACATTTCTAATGGTTGGAAATAAAATACCATTCCAAGCTACCAACACACTACTAGCAGGCATACGATTCCAGAATGGCTGTAACCACATGTATGATATAATGTAAGCCATTGAAAAAGCTAGAAACATATACTGAAATGTAATCGCGAAAGGAAGTAAACTTACAATTCACCGCAGTCTATGCATTCCATCATAGGGTTGTCCGGGTTCCACGGCATTTCACAGATGCAAATCCTGAGATCAAGCAAGCAAGCAAGCGAGCGCGGGTTAAGAAAACCTACAACAGAAGAAGGAAGGAGTAAATGCGGAGGGTCATCCAAGAAACTAAACTCACACGGGCATCGCACCGCCGGGGCCGGGGTGAGCTATGCGACCAGAAGGGCGATGATAGTAGAAACGCCAGAAGTAATCTTCTTCGCCCGCCGCATTCTGGAACTCGAAATACTCCTCGGCAGAGTGAACGGTGACCTTCGATTCGATGCTAGTCACGCAACGAATCTCTGTGGCCTCGGCGAGGAAGAGTTCCCTTTTCGAAATGAAGGGCAGGATTGCCAGTCTGGTATCCCGGGAGCGGATGTAGAATCGGGCATTGATATAAACACCCTTTGAGGTTTGAAAGAGGCGTTCGATTTTAGCCGCGCCAAATTTCATCTGGACGCTGTCGCCGACTGGGTGAAAATGCAAGCAAGAGAGATTTAATCAAACCCGCCATTGATTGCTCGGGCGTGGAATGGAGAAGGGAAAAGGAGAAAAATATACCTTTCACGGTTAGGCGGGGAAGGAGGCGAATGGTGTACGATCTCAGGTCCTTCTCGTCAGCAGCAGCAGCAGCAGCTTCGGGCTTTTTGTTCCCGATCGGTACGCCTCCTCGCCCGGTACCAGCCATGGATGGAGATCTGCGGATTGGGGATGGTTGCTCTCTGCTCGAGGGAGGGGAAGAGGAAGAACAACACTCGAAAGAGAACCCTTGGGGGTTTGTTATACTTATACATTTTGGTCTGGATTTCAGAGAGGCTGCTGCGAATGTCTGTGGGCTAGGCCCGTGTTGTTGGGCATTTTCGATTGACAGTGTCTTTGAGAGCTATAGTTTGATTACGAGCTACCTATGATTCCGGAGTGAATATGGTTCTTCTCCTAAACCGCATATCGACATAGGCAGAAGGGTTGTCTGGATTGTTTATGTGAGGAGGGAATTCAGGACCTAAAGGGCCAAAGTGGCTCAGCCTACAAGAGTGAGAGTATCTGCTTCCCAACCTGCCAGTTTCTTATCAATACGATCAAGAATATACCGATAGGTGTTTGGATATTAATTATGATCAACCTGCCAGCCTGAATGTTTTGTTATACGATCAAGAATATACTCCGCGTACCTGCAGCTCAAAATTATGGGCATCTCCATTTTCCAACCTGCCAGTTTCAAAGCATCACAAAGACACAAACTAGTATCCAGATAGCAGATACCAACTAATATCCACAATCAACCAACTAGTATTCAATACGGATACTTTTATGTGTTATCTGGATACTTTTATGTGTTATCTGGATATTAATTATTTGTTGTATGGATACTATTCTGTGTTGTGTAGATATTAGTTTGTGAATTTTGGATAATAGTTGATTCATGGTGGATATCAGTTAGTAAACCTTTAATACTAGTCTGTGCTCTCTAGATACTTTAGTACTTGGATACTAGTTCATATATTTTGGATATCAGTTAGTATCTTCTAACGAATTTTCAAGTTAGCCGATTAACTTTTTCGCAATTTCGTGGCTTTGATGGGCCAGACATGGGCTCAGGGAAGTCTAATTGTTAATTTTGAGACCCACTACCTACCTTTTCAGGGTTTGAGATGTGCTTACAGGGGGAGGGAGTTGAAAGATTTCATACTATAAAGGCCAAATTCATTTGTGTAGCCAAAACTTTGACGTTTGTGACAATAATAGCGACTTTTGGGAAAATACCAATAATAGCCAGAATTTTGAAAGTTTCATGACAAATATAGCCATTTCCGTTACAAACTTTAACGGTGTTAGAAACTCCGTCAGTTAAGTTAACGTCAGGCTGACTAGGATGCCAAATCATCACACACGTCAGCGACAAGTCATCGATATCATTGCCACATCATTTTGTTTTATCTTTTAATAATTCCAGGTGGATAAATGATTTTTTTTTTCAAATAGTCTTTTTTTACCTGAACTAAATTTTTTATTTATGAAAACTAAAAACAAAGTAAATAAATAATAAATAAATACATTTTTTATCTCACGTCTCTCTCTTCTCTCTGCCGTCGCCCGCAGAAGACTTCTTCTCAATTCTTTCTTTCACCTTCCTCCCCAAATTCTCTCCCATCAATCCCTAATCCAGGTCAAGCGGCTTCAACGATGAGGAATCTCCAGCAATCAAAGCTTCCCCGGAATCGCCTCCGAGATCCGTCAATCCGGCAGCCGAAACGTCACCTCAATCGTCCAAGAGAACCCCCACTGCTCATCTCCATAGCCTCTGACCCTGCCGCCGTCTCAGTTGACCCTGCTGGGGTTTCGAAATAGAGAGACACCGAAGACTGGACAAGCGAGAATTAAAGAGAGAGAGAGAGAGACGAAGGCGTAGCATACCTTTCACCGCAGGAGATCTCGAATACAGCCTACCAGGGCCGTCGGAGAAGAAGATAGAGAAGGCGACGGCGGGGGGACATCCATCCGCTTCGACGATAGACGATAGCTTTCACAAATGGAACGACCCTGTATCTAGTCGATTTGGGTCAAATCTCAACACCCAGTGGGATAAGGTTGAAGAGACAGTGAGAGGGATGAAGAAGGGTTGTGGAAGGCCATCGATTTTGGTCAGGAAGAAGAAGACGGAGAAGGAATCGACACAATGACTGGGCAAAAGCAAAGGAGAATTCGACGAATCGACTACTATTGATAGAAATCCCTAAAGCATTCAATGAATTTACTGCTACTGATAATACGACGAATCGGCTGGACAACATCGAAGAAGAATCGACCCAGAACTGTCCTCGGGCTTTTGCATCTTCTTCTCCGGGAACTGGGGAGGAGGAGAAGATTCTTTTTGGAGATGGGGAAAGAAGTCGGCGACCATGGCGAAATTTGCTGACGAAGTTGTTGTTTTGTTGGTTTTATGATTTTTTATTTAATTTGATTAAAATAAAAGGATAATTTTTTTATTATTGTCCACCTAATATTATTTTAAATAATATATGCCACGTCAACCGCTGCTGTTAGTCCAGTCACATTTTAATTCACACCGTCAAAGAATTAGACGGAAGTGGCTATTTTTGGTATTTCTCCAAAAGTGGCTATATTTGGCCAAATCGTCAAAGTTTTGGCTACACAAGTGTATTTTGCCTACTATAAATGACACTTGGCAAAGTTCGAGTAGATTCAATCAAGTCTAATATCTTGATATCGAGCCCCTATAATACCCTGGCTTGGAAACAAAAGAATTATTAAGTAAACCCATGAAGAATCGCCCATTAGGACGAAAATTAAACACCAAAACAGAACATTTCACTGTTTATCTGGCGACTTGACATTCGCCTAAAGCGACATTCATTATATTCAGGCACAATGCGTTCTTAATATGGCTCTTATTTCCTTTGAACTTGCAACTTAGGCGACATCAAGACAGCAACTTTTTGAAGAGTTAAAACCAGCAAATGAATCAGCCTGAGGATCACCTGATTGTAAAGCATGTAAGCTCTTGTCAATTCTGTGTTAGATGTGTTAGTAGCAGAACTTACCTGTGGTGTGGTGCATCTGATGGCACGAGCAGTTACCGGCTGAAATCTTCCGCTTTTTGTGATCTTCCATAGAAGAACTCTCCGCCTAATGCTATGTCACCTCGCTTCCATCAACCTAAGGCATCCCTCAAGAACTAAAGGAGTACATTGACTAATCCTCAAAACTGGATAAAAAGTCTCCCCATTAAAACAAATCATAAATTAGAACCAAAAAATTTTATCTACAGAAGTGAAAGAAAGTAAAGACCTAGCGCTGGCTGTTCCTCCTGTATCTACCCTAATGTCTTCTTTAACCAGTCCGAAAGGCGACCCATTTTTGTGGAGTACTCTGGATTCTTTCCAAAGTAAGTTTTGGCATTTGACAACATGACTTGAATGTCATGCTGAAATGCCTCCAAACTTCGGTAGTAGTTGTTTTCCAACCTTGCCTTGATTAAACCAAGAGAAACGGGAACCGGGAACCTGGGGAAACGGTTTTGCAATATGGTCACAAAATAATTCGAAGCAGTAGACACCACAATTATAATGGCAGAGGAACATAAATATATGAGGATACTGGTAAAAAGAACTTACATGTTTATGAATTTGGATTTCTGCGCTATCTCACTCAGCTTTCGAACACCAAATGGATCCTGAAACATTTACAAAGCAATGAGAAAACCGTCAAGATGCAGAAAGAATTTGATCAAGCCCTATTAGCTCTCTTCCAGCATGACTAACCTTTGTTTTAGTCCCTGATTGCTCCAATTCTTCCAAGGCAGACAGCAGGCCAACCGTAGTCTCGTCGTCAATATGGGGCTGCTCCCATTGAATATCGTCTCCTTTACTTTCTGAAAACTCCCAGGGACTGTGGAGATGGGTCCCATTATGGTCGTCCTTGTAACTTACGGTATATCTCTCCCATGGGCTGTCGGGAAATTCCGAGGATTTCGGCTTTACAACTTGGATCCTGCCATCCCACCATTTCCCTTGGTGTTCATCGTCATTCCACCATACCTTACACCTATCTCTCTTCGTCCAATTTCTCTGCAAAGAAGCCTCATATCTACTTCTTTCGACGAGGAAATCAGGGAAGGCTGTAAGTTCAGGGAGAGTCAGCCTGAATGTTTTGTTATAGACATCAGACGTTGGATCTACAAATCTAAGCATCAGTTTACAGCAACTATCCCCAGAACCAGGTAGCGTGGCGTAATCTAGGCTTTCAACTCTGCAAAACTCAACTGCCCTAATAAATCCACCTTTTACATTCTTCCATGGCACAACTTCTTTTGTGGGAGGCCCAACTTCCATGTACTCCTGATGGCCCTACAAAACAGAAGCTTACAAGATTATTAATCAAAATAATGCATCGTCTGATCTACTCAGTAGATGGTACAAGAAGCAACAGTAGAAGTGGAAGTGTCTGTTCAAAGTTGTTAATATAAACAAATGATTCTGGAATATGCGCACCCTCCAATTTGCTGATTTTTTAGGTACAAAACATCATAAGACTCTAGAAAAGAGAAAATAGTGAAAATGTAGAAATTAAAGGGATAATTTCATCGAGAAGTTGATTATTAAACAAACTGGATGAAGCAACAATATGTCACCAGGTCCAATGACAAAGACTCTAGAAACCAGACGCTTAGTGATTCCCTAGAGACTTTGAAAAAGGAATAAATCTAAAATACTGATAAATGAATCATACATACGTACCTGTCTCAAATATGCTATTTCATCACCTAGTTGAGGGATATAACGAGAACCTTCCTCGTGCTTTGGCAGCACTAACCACGATACCGGCTTAGCTGATTGCTGAACTGTCTCATGAAAACTGTAATTGGTTCTCCTATTCCTAGCAGATCTAACTCTGACGGTTGACCTGGCGCTCGAACCCCAATCTTGTGATGGCATTTGCCCCCTGCGATTAGGAGCATTGGAGGAATCTCTGTATGCATTCTCCAACTCATGCTCATCATTCTGCGAAATGTTGGGGTCTTCTTTTGGAATTTTCATTCCCATGGATCGTGTCCTACGGATTCCATTGGTAAGCATCTCAGTTCTACTACCACTTACATCATCACCGGGGTTTGATGTACTATCTCTCATGCCACTTTCACATTCAGAGTTAGTTCTATCCCTAACTGACTTTGACCTTCTATAAACGGCACTGTACATCCTTTTTGGGCGTGAATCAGCACCTGCTGATGAGTCATCCAATGTCCGCACAGAATTCTCGTCAGCATGATCACCTGATCCCTGGACCGCAACACCCTCATAATATTCAGAACTCGTTCTACCATTGGCTTCTTCGTGGTCTGGGTCCTGCTTTATCTCCGCAAGCCTTCCAGGTGATGCCATCATCAAAGGTTTCAACTTTATTCGTAATCTTGTTGGGGCAGGCAGACTACTGTCTTTCAGTTCCATCAAATTATCATTTTCCAAGTGAGCACCAGCTGGCACTTCATCACTATTTCCATTCGTGCCAATGATCGGGTGGTCCTTGTTGAACCCATTATTCAATACCTCGGATCCATCAAATTCAATGTTTTGACCATGCACTGGTGCCAAGTCATCAGTCTTATGTTGGTTCTCAGGAGGGTTCAAGTACCCATTCTCTTTGATATTGGGTAGACGCAAGATGCATTTGGTAGGTGTAGGTAATGACGAGGTTTCACCCAATCTTTGACGCTTGGACGAGCGAACCTTGGCACCTCCCCACCTGATATCCCCATTCTTAAGATTTTCAGTCTGGGTACTGTCATGATAGTGTGTCTGTTCTTCTTCATCAGAAGAGTACCCTGGAACTAGAGAGCTTACACGAGTGTCGTTGATCTCCATGGCTTTCTCTGGAGCATAAGATGTTGACCCGACATAATCAGCATTCTCTGGCATTGTCATGATCTTACTAGAATCACGGACTGGAAATTTAAGAACTAATTTCTTCCTGATTGGAATATTTGGATGGGACTCCTGAACCTTAAGAGGTCTATCTTCAGACACAGCCAAAGCCTTTCCTTTCAAATACCTTATGTGATCACTCCTCGATGACATTTCTGATTCATCACTCTCCATGCCGGATTGCTCAGTCGACTCACTATCTGAAGCATCACCGGTAGATAATTCTTCTTCATCTTCATCAACATCTTCAGCTGTTACCTTGATTAACAAATCGCGAGCCTGCTGCGCAGCAGCTCTTTGCTTTCTTTGAGGTCTCGTCAATGCCTTAGATTTGAAAGACTTTTTCTTCTTATTCTTTCGGACAGTGTGTGGTTTCCGACTGCTACTGCGGCTGATTCTCAATGTATTTCCCTCACAAGCATCCAAATTCCTCCTCTTGATAAGTCTTCCAGAAGAAGTCATCACCTCAAGCTGCAGTGAAGCAAACGAGGCAAGTTTCTAGCGTAAAAATATAATAGGAAAGATAGGGGCCAAGACCGAAACCCACCGAGGAGGTGGTAATTTGAAACAGAAACCAAACTTATTACCAAGGGGCCAGGAACAATAGCCCCGACAGTTAACTGGAAAACCAATATGAACTTGATGGATATAAACCGGTTTTCATGTTCTTTGGGTCGATGTTATTCAATTTAATTTTTTCCTTCCTGTTTTGCTAGTGATTTATTTCAATACCTTTCCACTGCTTTTCAATTTTTTATTATGTTTTCGGAAAAACTACTTAACCAGTATGGATTCTAGTTAAGGAGAAAACCAAATCAGGTTAGCCACCCCTAAAAATAGTTGCAAAATACAACAGTTCGAAGATACGTACTTCAGCCCGGTGTTTTTTCTTTTTGGACCGACGGAAATCATCTCTGCCCTCATCCATGCTGTCATCTGAGCTACATTCTGGATCCCCAGAGGAGAAAGAATTCAAACTCCCTTGCTCGCCACCAGAAGAATATTCTTCAGGGACATTGTACTCAGAATCAGCATCGTCGCTCTGCATTTCGTGTTCGGGTTCCCAATCGATAACATCAACAAATTCAGGAAGTGGCTCCATGGGCAGATCCAAGTCAGCCAAGGGTAATATATGGTAAACTGGGTCGAGACTGAAGTCAGGACCAATAGCAAATTTCACAATTGATGGTTTCCACTCCAAGCCCAGAGCTCCTAATCGCCTCTTTTGGTACATGCTCTGGTAAGGTTCTTCATAAGGGATCATGCCTGGCAGTTGCAAAACGAGGTAGATATGAGATCAACCTTTTCCGATAACAGTTGAAGTATACTGTTGCTAAATCAAAGTAGCAAACCTGAGTCGCAAAGGAGATCCTGCATATTTCTCCTGTATGGTACCAACTGAGTTTCCTGAACATTAACTTTTATTAATTAGAATTAGGCTGCTGATTCAGAATTCACAATACGCATATTCACCAACCGAGCTCTAGAAAAAA